CTTATTTTAATAGGGCATCGATCGCCTTGATTATATCGAAGTAAACTATTTTAGCTAATTTTCAGGCGTTTATACTTAAAATAATACGCTTTTTGCTTACGCTTAAATTAACCGAATATAGTATATTTTAGTTAATACTAATCGAAGGTATTAATTCGATCGTTGATTTTTCGAAGGATCCTCTGCGGATCAGTAGCTTTCTATAGCCAGTAGGGATTTTTGATATTTTTGATTTTGTATGCGCTGGTGCGCAGGGGCCTTGGGCCCAGGCGACTTTGCGCCGAAAGGGTTGGCTTTGCGCCGAAGCTGCGTATGCAGTGTTTTGATTCGATTTGGTTACTTTGCAAGTTAGTGCCTAGGCAGTGAGGAAGTGTAAAAACCTCACTTTACGCGCCAGACAGGGCTCATAAGCTGAGGAGATACAGCTACAGTAGGGGCAGCAGTATCGAAGTGTGAGAGGGATGAGGAGTGAGATTGCTGAGGGGGAGAGATTCTACCTAAGCTATGAACTGTGGTGAGTGGCAGAATCACATGCTATGCAAACATCTAGAAATGATATCCTAGAAAGATCAATATGATGAAGATACATGCTTTTAACCTACCACAATGAAAGACCCCGTCGGCATCAATTGCTGACTCTAGAACAACATATAGGATCTCGCTCCCAGTTCCAGCACCTAGGCTCTTTTGGTGTTCACTGTACTCTTTCACGTGTCGTCGAGCCAGTCCCATGTTCAAGTACCCCGAACATGCTCATTCGGTCTCACCCGGTTGAACACTACGGATTATTCTTTCCAACAAGTGCATTCCTCTAAGAGAAAACAGGCTTACGCTAAAAAAAATCCTCAGCTTACGTGTGTTTACAGGTTGTTCCATTGTGTACGCGCTCACCTTGACGGCCGTTGAAGCCGCAAACCCTGCAACTGATTTGATCAGTACTTATCTTGAAAACCATCCTGACCATATCACCATACTACGGTTTGCAGAAGACAATCGAGAGACCCGAGTTCGGACTTCGAAGTACTTATACTCGTGAGTTCCGGACAGATCAGAGTCACCGGTTTTTCATGCCAGGCTTGTGCGAGCAACTAAGTTGTGCATGATGCGCAGACACGAGTCTCCATCTCAGTACCAACCAGTTGTCTTTGCGGGGCACTTAATTGCTCACAGGAATCGCTATTCATGCTTCCGTGGCTGAATCGCGCCGACACAAGAACGTAGGTAAGGTATATGGCATACTTGAGCATGGGATCTTCGTAGATCTCAAATCTACACAGTCAAGTCAAGAGCAATCAATAGGCAAGTGGCGTGTGGAAAGATGAAGATACAAGCTTACGTTTTTGAATTCAGGTTAATCAACTTCAAAGCTAGCCATTGCTGTATCACTTTGGAGATGCTAGAGGTGGCTGGCGAGAAATGGAATGTTTCTCGGCTGTCGAAGTTGTCTATGTCGCCCATTGCAAAGATTTGATGCCTAAAAATGCCTCGTTATCATTCGGGCTCTTGCAGTATATTGTATGAATCCTTGCATTAGATTGAAACCAAGACGTCACGGACCAGAAAGAAGATGGTGAAATATGATAAATGCAGATCTCTATAATAAAACGAATTGCCTAGAGGGTCTCTCTTATGCCATTTGGGGCGCACATGGATTACTATCTGTATAAATAAAATTCGAAGTAGCTTCCCGGACTTCATAGCGAGGCGTCGCACGAGACGATAGCTGCCGTATTTGGGATTGTAGCGCGTGTAGCGATTGTCTCATATCCTTATTTTGTCGACCATAAGACCTGGAGGTGTGGTAATTCTTGACTGATTGTGATATACCGGATGGAGCGAAGTCTCTGTTCGAATTGCAATAGAAAGGTCGTGCTTAAAAGGAAGAACGCTTGGCGTCTACTACTCGATTCTCAGCAGTATCTCCTGCGCCAACCACCATATCAGTACATGATAGGGTCCTAATGTTTGCACATGCTGATATTCTTCTAGTGTAAGCACGAGGGTATGACAGGATCGACTGCGCAAGTTCAGTGTTTCGTACTCATAATGCTCAGGTTCAGAGCGAGAATTGCCGAAAGCCAGTGTTCGCCATGTCCCATCTTGGCCAGGCCCGGCTTGACAAGCCAAGCAAGCTTGTCACTGCTGTGCTATGGGACTCGCGGTGGAGACCCTCGAACGAGCCTGCTGCATATCACGAATCAAGAGCAGGTCTGAAGCCCCCACGGTGGGTACGGGATACTGGATAAACCAGGCATAAGCAGCTAAGTGACTATGGCGCAGTGCGACTGGTGGACATTTGAGATACAACATTGGTAAGGCGAGTCTGAGTCCTGACAGTGGAGGTTAGGATGCCTCCAGGTTGAAGGCAAGCATTGCCGTTGAAGAGGGCAGGGATGTGTAAAGGCGCATTACATAGACCGATTTTGGAGGATGAACTTAGGATAGAGGCAGTCAAAACGAAGTACCAAGGGTATTGAAGGCTCTTTGTGTCTAGCCGATTCCCATGATGGAACCGATATTCGTAGTATACAGGGAAACTTGAAAAGATGTGAGAATGTAAACCGTCGAATCATTGCAAACTAATTTGAATTTTTGGCTGTCCTGGCTTGACTGGTCACCCTACAGGAACAACCGGAATCCCCTCCATGCGGGTGATGCAAAATCTGTCATACATGTCATGGACTTTTTCATGTTTTCCGTTCGCTCAGAAGACAATCGTCATGGTTGACCAGTATTCGACACCCCGCCCGAACAATCAAAACACCATTTAAACGTTCTCAAGGACTTGCTCCTTGAACTCGCGCTCGACCTTCTGACCCTTGTCATCGGTGGAGGACTCGCCGTGCAGGGCAAGGAGAGCACCAAGGTCGAACTTGGGGGCCTTGAGGAGCTTGACCTTGCGGATGTGGACCTGGTAAAGAGAAGAAAATCGTTTAGCAAAGATTCATGGCGTGGACGAGAGCAGGCAGTCCTGGCGCCTGGAAAAATCGAACGGTAGCGGTGAAAGGGAAACTCACGTTCTGCAGGGGGTAGATGCCCTGAGTGGACTTCTCAATCTCGCGGCCAATGACCTCGGGAATGAGCTTGTGGGTGAGCTGGGACAGAGTGCAGCTGGCAGCCTCACGCTGAATGATCTCGGTCATCTTCTTGCGGATGGCGCGAATCTGAGACGAGCGGGCGTAGGTGGTCTTCTTGATCTGGTTGGGGCGTCTCTTTGTGAAGGCAATGGCGAACAGGCGGAGGAGGTAGTCGTCAGTGGTCTTCACGGTGATGTTGGCCTCGATCAAGGACTGCCACTTGCGGACCAAGGAGCGGAGCTTGTCGGTGGTGAAGTCCAGACCGTGGAAGTTGGTCAGGCAGTTCTTGCCCTGGATCTCGTCGACGCGGAGCTTGACCTTGCGGAAAGAGTGATCCTCATCGTTCTGGAGATCGGCGAGGGAGACCTCGAAGATACGGCCCTTGAGGGAGTCGTTGGCGTTCTTCAGGCCGCTAGTGCGGTTGACCAGGGTCTTGCCGACACTTTAGAGATCCGTTAGTCTTCGACGTTCACACGCGAGCATTGCCGACCGGTCGATGCGGCAAGGAAAAAGGACACGAAGGAAAGGTGAGAATCATACTCGCGGATCTGGAAGGTGGAAGGAGCCTGTAGAGAAACAGTATTAATCAAAAATTCCGAAACAAGATCGCTGAACACGCGAGACTTTGCGATGGACCACTGACCTTCACAGAGTACTCATCCTTGCGGGTGAAGGGGTCGACGGTGCGCTTCTTGATACCCTTCTTGCCCTTAGACAAACGCTTGTTCCTAAAATTCGAGGCTGATCAGCCACTGCTTTCGCCATGAATGTTTCGGCCAGATGGTGACGACGAGGGCAATTTTCGTGGAAGATGTTGAAAATGCAGATTGACAGTGATGATTGTGATGCTGGCGAGCAATTGAGGGAGAAAGCGCATACTTTCCAACAGCCATGTTTGCGAGTCGGGTCTATCTGAGTGTTGTAAAAAAGACAGACAAAGGGTATCGCACCACGGCGCTCGGAGGGTTTCGAGATTCACGCTGCACTAGTCGACGGGAGGGTTGGAAAACCAAAACCCACAGAAAAATCGGCTAAGCGAGCCAACGCGGGCCCTACCGCTGACATAACACGAGCGGCACGTGATCTGGTTCTGCCTTTTCGTAGCCCTCGGGACGGGTGCCGTCATGTGAGCCAATCAATGCGACGATCAACTTCAAGGTCACGTGGGATAAGTGAGTCGATTATTGTCACCAGTCCACGTGATGAAGGGCTTTCGTAGCTCATGGTATCATGGTGATTGTACTTTCTTGATAGAGCCACAAGAGCCGATACATTGCTTTTGTGATCTACACAAGGCTCCATAATTCTCTAGTCCTGGCCGATCTACGTCCCTTTCAAGGTCTCGCATCAGTCCAATGTGCTTCAGCATTGCCTTGGCAGCATTCAGATGTACACGATCAACTGTAAATTCGTTGGGGATCCACACTGGCAGAATACTATCGGCCTCATTCTTCCTGAGAGTCTCATGACGACACAGTAATAGTACAGCCCGGCAAACGACAAACAAGAAGATATACACTGATCCGAACAACGAGAAGTCGCAGGAGATCATAGAGAATGAAATGAATGTCAAGGCCCCCATAATCTGGAATTTGGTCAAGTCAGTCAGCAATGTTATCTTGTTCAACCCAGCAGCTTCATCCTCTATCTGGAGGGCTATCACACATACTTCTACCGCCTACGCAAGTCTCCGCACGAGCCACCCCCTCACTGCAAGACTCTCCGCGGACTAAGCTTCCATCCTCTTTTGCGAACTTTTCGTCGTCATTGTCTGCGTATCTCATTTACAGGTTCCCAACAATTAAGAATGGTGAGTCCCAGAAGTTGCCTTCCACTCATCACTAGTATCAGTGTTTGATACTCTCATCATGGGCGAACTTCAAAAAATTTGTCACGCTCGACGCTATCCCTCCAAAGTAGCAAATGCTAACTGCGAACTCGAAATCACAGGGAAAGCGCAAGAAGTCTAGCAGAACGCCCCAAGGGCCGCGAAAGGTTCGCTCGATCAATTAGGAGTCTTGAAGTCTCACGAATTATCCAGATGTGTGCAGAGAGCTAATATGTACATATTCAGCGCGAACCACTTGCCACCACATTTCCCTGCCTCTTCTGCAATCACGAGAGTTCCGTCATTGTCAAGCTAGACAAGAAGCTTGGCTTGGGCGATCTCTCATGCAAGATGTGCGGACAGAAATTCCAAACCGGCATCAATTGTACGTGTGACAATCAATCTGACAAGTTGCTATCCTTGCTAATTCGATCCTGCGTCATCTGCAGACCTGTCAGCCGCTGTGGACGTCTATTCGGATTGGGTGGATGCCTGTGATGCCGTCGCGAAGGACACTGCCAACCAATATGACGGCCCAGTCGGGTCAAGAGGGACAGGCAAAGACAGCTTGGCAAGCGCCGGGCACGGCGAATCATACGAGGACGAAGATGACTACTGAGTAGGACATGGTAGTACGGGCAAAGGAGGCGAATGGCGCAAGGACATGGTATCAATATAATTTGTTTTCATTTTCCATTTTCCGTTTCGATTGTGTGCTATCAGAGCTCGACGACCGCGACGGGATCTCTTCCAAAGACAATCGTTCAATGTCCAAACATGAGCCAATGCGCCAATATGCTGGGTCGAATCGTACACACCGAGAATGACTATCTCGGCGCGAGGGAGAGAGGCTTCACAGGATGATGATTGGCAGCCGCGGAATGGAAGAAGCGCGTGGAACCCCCCACGAGGGAAGTTCCTCCGGACAGCATCGTAGACCGCAGATGAACGTTATCCTGTGCACTTCGAAGTCGGCCATGCCTGAGAATAGAGAGCTCTCTAGGATATATGGGCCTTTCAATTCAAGTACCGGTTTCCTAAAGGGTGTAGTATCGGTCACCGAAATCACCCAGACCGGGAATGATGTACCTATTTATCAACTTCAGTCAGCCATGGTGCCATGTGGAAGAAGTCCCGGAAATTGCCTTACTTCTTGTCATCAAGTCCCTGATCGATGAACGCGGTGACCACTCGAAGCTTGGGGAATCGCTCCGCAAACTCTGCAACACCGGAGGGGCTTGCAATCAGGTTCAGGAACAAGATTCGGTGCTCAGGCACTCCCCGCTGCATCAAAACCTCTACGGCCAGAGTTGCGGAACCTCCTACACAAGACGTCAGCGAGCATAAACTTAGTGATATGATTGAATGTGCTTGAACATACCAGTAGCGAACATGGGGTCCAAGAGGAGAACCCAGCGGTCCGCAATGTCAGCAGGAAGTTTGTCGTAGAAAAGCTTGGGCATGCAAGTCTCCTCATCACGCTGAATGAGAATCTTGCCGATACGGACAGATCGGCAACAATCCCGAAGACCCTGCTCCATAGCCTCTCCGGCGCGCATGATGGAGACGCCGCAAATTTTGCCCTCGAATTTGACACCCAGGTAGTCCCGACCAACGGGGGTAGTGACCGATTGTTCAACTACAGGAAGGTGGTTTAAGCCTTCTTCCACCAAGAGACGGATGATTCGATTGGAGTAGAAGATAAAGTCGGCACGAACCGTCCGCTTGTCCCTGATCATTCTGTTGATTGCAGCAGCAAATCAGCGAAACAATTCACTTGGTGTCTGGTCACCACGATGCGACTGTGACATTTGACTCACGTCAAGAGAGCGATCAACTGAGGTGTTTGAGGAAGGACATGAACGTTCTCATAAGACACTTTCTTAGACACAGTGGCCGTAGGTTTCTCTTCATCGGTTCGGTAGGTGGGACCAACGCCCTGGGCAGGAGATGGGACGGCTTCTTTGCTGGCCATTGTAGAAAGATTGAGCAACAGATGGTTAGAATTAATGGCGAGGAGCTTAGTGTTTATTTCAGAGACCCAAATAACAAAAGGAGGGAGTGTTGAAGACCAAACAAGGTGCTGCAAGGCGGGGTTTTAGTCCCTTGGTGAGGAGAAGTGAAGCACGCGACTTGACGGAGGCGGAGGAAGCGGGGAGAAACTTTTTTGTCTCTTATCTCGTATCGAACTATCAACACTATCGTGACCTGACTCCCGAGATGTACTAATCGACGCTAACTACCTAACTTATCGCCAGGCCCGCGGGGCTAGTCCTCCGCATGCCAATTGAGTACGATACAGATCGCCTTTTTCACCAGCTCACATGTGAGTCTGGATCGAGGCAAAGGTTCTTCAATAGGTCAATCCGGGCTAATCCGCCGAGTCATGAGAGTGGAAATCACATGTACACTGCCCCAGGTACCTAACTTACCTTGAATAACATCTGGTGTTGATGCCTCATTATTGGCATAATGCATGGTTGAAAGCAGACTGCCTTACTCGATGTAGGTACTTTTTTCTATGCTACAAAAACTATGTGGACAGCTTGGTAGCTATAGTTTGTCATTTGTGCAGTAGCACTCAGCTCACTTGGGGCGAGACTCGAACGGCCCCCGCGTCTTGCGGTTCCCCATACTGGCTTATCTCTTATCCAGTTACCTTATCGATTACGAGGCGCTCCGTTTCGCTCATCCCGTGTCATGCATCTTGCCTGCTGCAGGCTGCGCAGTGCCTACGCTCGCTGAATAAGCCTTTGAATCAGATGGAGACAATCCCTTTCTTCGATTTCAATTCATGTACAACTGATCTCCTCGAATGTCCTAATGTGCCACCCCAAGGCTGCCGTGCAATCTCACTTCGACCGCATGCTTGAGAGACTGCCCGGGTCAGACTGCGCTCGAACGTGACGTGACACAGAGCGTTTGCGGCTATCTGGCTGCCTCACTTAGCACTCTACGCACACCTGGATATTTTTAATCAGTTCAAGGTACTGTGTCTTAGTTCTCTTTCGCATAGTCCTGAGTTGATCATCGGCGCTTTGAAGTCTCCATATTCTTGCACATTACCCAGCCTCGCCACGTGCGCCTTGCTCTTCGCCGTCTCCCGTGCATCCCTTGAACGATCGATTGAAATGCTATAGGCGAGCGCTGCCCTCATCTACGACATGGATCAATCGCGACTGAAAAGTCGACGTCTTGTCACTTATGGCTCAACTACGCGACCACAATCCTCTTCGAAAGCGGCTACGGTGCGCACCGATCAGCTTCGTTCTACACTCTCGCGTTCGTCGACAAACGAGACGCCTGGCAACGATCGTCATCGCAGGCTCTTAGGCGTAGAGAAAGCGCCCATCCAGAGCAAGTCGCGCATCTCTCATGATGACAGCATTTACGACTTGCCCTCGTCGGATGAGGAGAATGCGTGGCGCGAAAGTCAGCGCAAGCGTCGCCGATACGGGCACGATACCGAGCGGGGGCCTGCACCATCGCACAATAATCTGTCTATGCAAAAGAAGGCCGTTGCTGAAGGAGCGGACGTGAAGAATGCCGCACCGGCCCCAGCCGTGACTAAAGAGCCTCGAATTGATTCCCATATCAAGCCAGTTTCAGCCTGTGCATCGCAAGATGAACCGCGCCGGGTATATTCTCAGCCACGTGAAAAAGGCTCAAGGCAATTACCACTACAACACAAGCCCGTCAGAAGCCCGCAAGGAACCTCCACTTCCTCGACGACGACAACGACGAGTAAAGACCCAATACACGTCAAGACTCAGACGGCGAATAAGAGGATTGTCACTCCGACAGAACCTAACGACAGCTTACTCGGGGTTTTAGGCGCAAGTCCGCGGGTGGAAAGTGGATCAGCGAGTTCACAGACCTTGTTGAAAACCTCCGTGGTGCCAACAACACCCAGTCGCAAGAGGTTGATCGACACTCTCGGTACGCCGGAACGGTCACTTGATGCATCTTCGGTCACTGGCGATATCAGCCAGCTGTCGACGCCTTCTACCTCTCACAGTTCCCATAGATCGAGCACAGCACCTTCACCTATTGCGCGATCAGAAATTGCCTCGACGAGTCAAGAGCAAGATCCGACCTTGACAGCGTCACACCACATCACCAGCTCCAGAGTCACATATGCGCGTCAACGCTCATTTCTAGACGACCTTGCCCTGTCAGCTGGTCTGTCAGGCTCAGGCGATCCGAAAGCGAGCGCGCTTCCGAATTCGCAATCGCTGGATTTGGGCAGCTTCCTTCCAAAACCGCGCCCTATTGAGGTCGAGGAGCTAAATCAGGAAGACGGGTCTATTCGAAGTATTCATGAGCTTCGCCGAGCAGGAGGGAATGCACGATACCGTGGTGCGATTGAGTCTATCTTTGAAGATATAGAAAGTCCGAATATGTCGGCCTCGGGTCGATGCAATGCCCTAATTCAGCTTTGTGGAAAGCTGCTCGACTCAAAATCAGCTCGTCAATTTGCCGAGTGCAGTTTCGATAAAAGACTCGTCAAAAGCCTCACTCAGGGCCTGGGAAACGTTCATGGTTCGCTTGCACTATGTGCGTTTGGCCTCTCATGCGTTGGGAGGCCAGTCCCACATGTCCTTGCATCCACTGCATTGCCAAGGTTACTCGAAATTTCACCGGAACTTCTGTCCCTCCGACGAGACCTGGGGACAGTTGCGCGAGATCGAGAGAACAACCTATCCAAGGCTACTCAGGCATCCGTGCAAACTCTTATGGAAAGGGTCAAAACATTGCTGTTCCCTGATGACTCTGCATTGCTGCTTTCTCCCTGTCTACTGGCACTCCATTGTCTTACTTTGGCTCTCTCGGCTCTTCAGAGCAAGGGCAAGCTACTCGAAGGCATCCCCATGCCGACTCTGCGGAAAGTGATGGACATTCTGCTCTCAGAAAAAGATTTGATGGAAAGCACGGCATCTCGCATCCATGATGGATATCAGTATCTGGCTCTAGGGCTTTCTATAATAGAGGCCTACAGCGTCCTTGACAATCAGAGCCAAGACGATGAGCGCGATGCTCTTGGCGCCTTCTCTGAATTGCACAGTTTACTCCAAGTGGAGAAGGTTTCGGATCCGAAGCGCCAGCACATACAAACACTCTATCTTCGAGTTCTCTTGAATGTGACCAACAGCAAACCGACACTCTGCGACAAGTTCGCAATCCCCGACATGATCGACAAGTTGTCCGCGGTCGCGGTCGCCCGATTTGGCCACGTGACCGAAGATACCCTGTCACAGGAGAACAACTCTCTCAACACAGTGATTCTGGCTCTTGGAGCACTGATCAATCTGGTTGAGAAAAGTGCCATGTCTCGAAAGATGTTTCTTCGATCGACGTCGACGCATACTTCAATCCTTGATCAGCTGTTGCGTCTCTTTCTGACACATGTTGATTCCATTTCTCAGGTCCGTATTCAGACGACTTTGACATGAATGTCACGATAGATTACTGACTGTGAATTTCATTAGGCTCGTTCTGTGGTGGAAGTCCACCACAACGTAGCCGTTGGGTATCTGGCCGTGCTTCTCCTGGCACTCTGCCTTGATGGCGAAGCGCGCGCTCGAGTCAAAGAATCGCTCAAGCCGCAGGGACTAGGGAGCATCATATCTACCGTGAACGAATTTTTGCTTCATCATCGGAAAATAGAGCAGGAAATACAATCTGCGTCGGTAAAAAAAGAGGCGGGTGGATTCTTGTTACGACTTCAGGATCTCATCAACGAGGTTCTACGCATTGATAATGAATGATGAGGGATGATCTCTGGATGCTTGTTGGCAAAGGGCTCATGGCGAGATGAAAGGTCTGCGCTACCTATAGGGTCTGTGCGCATAGATATATGACAGGGCACGATTGAGGGTCTTATAGCGTAATGGAGTTTCGAATCTTAAGCCCACAGACGGAGTGGCTCTCCTCGGATTTTATATACAGTATGTAGGTCAGCTAACTGTGTTCTTCTCGTAAATAGATTCAAATCAACTGGTCGAAGTATTTGTTCTAGCTGGATCTCGGCGATATGAGGCCCTAAGCAGGTTGTGGCTCAAGTGTATCAGTGCATACTCAGGTATAGTGTATATTGTAGAACTAATGTATAATTGTATATATGTATGTGGTGTTACGACCGCTTTTTTTAAAGTGTGCAGAAGATTCTTTCCGAATCTTGTCACTGAGGAATAGGGCTGCCAAGCAGTACAAATGCAGAATTACATATTACAAGAAGGCGAGAACATGCACGTATGTTCTAATTTTGAATCATTTATGATTTTCATTCGTCGATCAATTCGCCTGAAGAAGCAGGAGTAGCAGCACAAGTACGCGGCGACCCGCCTCCTGCTGGATGGTGGATCCCATCGTGGCGTTATCTAATCGACTGTTTGCAGTGTTTGCTATATGAGCTCTCCGGGGCTTCATGGAAAGTTTGCCACCCGCGGTTGGAGTGGTCATCGTCGCCAATTCCTTTCACTAGTGCTTCAATCCCTTTCTTCTTTCTCGGGCCACCTTCACTATCTTGAACTTGATTCTTTTACCCACGTTCTTCAATACCTTCTCCGCGCAGCCCCGCAGGCTGCCCTTGCCTTGAAATGCCTGCCGCTCCCAAGCAGCGAAAGATTGCGATTGTCGGCAGTCGTTCCGTGGGTATGTGATCATACTTAGCGCGATCCTACGTTGGCAGGGGTTGATTTCTGCTAAACCTGGGCCGACATTCTCTGACCTTTTGATCTTCATATACCCAGGCAAATCGTCTCTCACTGTCCGCTTTGTCGAGCAACACTTCGTCGAAAGCTACTACCCAACAATCGAGAATACCTTTAGCAGGATAATTAAACACAATGGCCAGGATTACGCAACTGAGATCGTGGATACTGCTGGACAGGTAAAATATACTTTCTTCTTCTTCTTCTTCTTCTTCTTCTTCTTCTTCTTCTTCTTCTTCTTCTCTCGGACAATCTACTCATTACGCTTCATTGCCACTATAGGATGAATACAGTATCTTGAACTCCAAGCACTTCATTGGCATTCATGGCTACATCATCGTGTACTCGGTCACTTCACGTCAATCCTTTGACATGGTGAGGGTCATCAGAGATAAGATTCTCAATCACTTGGTATGTTCTGTTTATTTTCTTCCAGGGGCATTCTTCCTCGTGCAGTTGCGATCCAGACGTGCTTATACTATCTTGGTTTCATCTAGGGCGCTGATCAGGTACCACTTGTGATTGTCGGGAATAAGAGCGATCTAAAGGGTGATCAGCGACAAGTCACTCTCGACGAGGGTCGCCAATTGGCAGAAGAATTTAGCTGTGGCTTCACCGAGGCCAGTGCCTTCCTCGATTTCAACGTGGCCAAAGCATTCGATCTCATCATCGGCGAGATCGAGAAGTCCCAGAACCCATCACAGCCCACTGGAAACAACAAATGTGCCATGATGTAACCATCTACGATCGTGGCTGATGTTTCACTTTCCCACACGCAGAGACGATTGTCGACAGCCGCGCAGGTCTCACCTGTCGACAAATCACATTTGCCACTTCTGTCTGTACTTGTGTGAAGCGTGACTTATCCCCGGCGAATTTACCGGGTTGTCCTTCCGACTGTTTTCGAGGTTAGCGACGGTCCCGACCCAGCGCGCGGTTTACACCGTCTCCCGCCCGTGCCTCCTCACGCGTATTCAGTTGATCTCGAGGCTGGGATTCTTCGACTCGTCAGGTGTCCTGTGCTCGCCGTCGCTGGTTCCTCGACTTCATTATTAACCTCTTCCGCCTATGTCCATGACCGAGATGGATTTTGCAACGCGATGCTCTTCTTTTCTTCTCTCGCTCTGCCTTGGCACGCGATGGCACGATTTGTTTCTGCTTACATAATGATTGGCTTTTGACTGCTTTGATTCTCTTTTCGTTTAGTCGCGTGTGGTTTTCTGTTTTCTGGGGCTATGGGATCTGGGGTTTTGGACAATCGACGAGCATAGAATATTTGAGCGGCCTCGGAGGCCCAATGCGCAAATCGTCTCGCTCTGGAATCATCAGCATGTGACGAGACTGGACGATGTTCAAATAATTTTCATGTAAAACAAAAACTGTCCGGTGCACAGGCCTTAAGCTCAGCAGCTGCTGAAGGAGCGCTGTTTGTTGGGTTGTAAATCTGCTAAAGATAATGATGTTGTACTAAAACACTATCACTAGTTATGAGTATGGAGTATGGAGTCTATGGACCGATCGTTTCACCCGCCGGACCCAACTGATGGATTAAGTAATGCCCCGCGCGCGCACTTTTGGGATTTTACCCCTCCACAACGAATCGGACTTTTGACTCACTCACAGGTCCTCAGCTTTGTTCGTGCACTCTATACCTCAACCATGCTCGACCTCAATGACTTTATCGCCGAGCGCGGCGGAAATCCCAACAAGATCAAGGAAAGCCAGCGCAAGCGTTTTGCCCCTGAGGAAGCTGTCGATGAAGTGATTGCATTGTATGAGGAGGCTCGGCGCGGTAAGTTTGGACGTCCGAAAGGCCGACGCTTTTGAGATAATCTCGTTACCTTTCCTTCTCAGTTGCCACTGAAGTGACTGACAATTGGTGTTGCAGCGCGCTATGAGGTGACACAATTTGGTTCGCAGCTAAACCCCCTGCTGAAGCAGATTGGCATGAAGAAGAAGGTATGGATCTTGAATTCTTGCATGTGATGTTCAAGACATCTCTTCAGCGCATGTCAAATTTCAATTCCACTAGAAAGTAAAAGACAGAATTCTCGCTGACCTTCTTTACCTTACTCCGCAGAATAAGGAGGATGCTACCGAGCTCATGGAGCAAAAGGCGGAACTTGAAACGCGCAAGAAGGAGGCCGAGGACAAAGCCACCCAGAAGGAATTGGAGCGAGACCGCAAGATTCGTACCATCGGAAACTATGTTCACGAGTCTGTGCCCGTCAGCAACAATGAGGTAGGCTCAAGATGCATGCTCGCATTCATACCTGCTCATAGTCGAATTGGGAGGGTCTTCCGGAAAAGAAAGACTAACAATCGAGCGCTCACTAGGACAACAACGAGATTATCAAGACCTGGACCCCCACAGATGCTGTCATGGACCGACCCGGCTGCCTCTCCCACCACGAAGTTCTGACCCGTCTGGATGGATACGACCCCGAGCGTGGTGTGAAGATCGTCGGTCACCGTGGATACTGCTTGACTGGATACGGCCTGTTCCTCAACTTGGCCCTGGTGAACTACGGCTTGGAATTCCTGTTCAACAAGGGCTACACGCCCAACCAGCCCCCTCAATTCATGCTCAAGGACCTCATGGCCAAGACAGCCCAGCTGGAGCAATTCGACGAGGAGCTGTACAAGGTCACCGAGAGCGAAGAGCAGTCGACGGACAAGTATCTCATCGCTACCTCGGAGCAGCCTTTGTCTGCTCTTCACGACAGCGAGTGGTTGCAGGACAAGGATCTGCCCATTAAGTAAGGACTCAAGTGACACAATGACACCAGAAAAGAAAAATCAAAAATTGTCACTGTATATGACGGCTGACCGCTTATTCTCTATCTAGATACGCCGGATACAGCACGTGTTATCGCAAGGAAGCCGGTGCTCACGGCAAGGACGCTTGGGGTATTTTCCGTGTCCACCAGTTCGAGAAGGTAGGACTGACATTTCCCTGGCTCCTTCATATACTCTGTGTGACGTCTCGGTCTCTAATACATGGCCGGTATAGATTGAACAATTCGTTCTCACCAAGCCCGAGGATTCGTGGCAAGCCTTTGAAGATATGATGGCCACCTCTGAAGAGTTCTACCAATCCTTGAAGCTCCCCTACCACGTGGCGGCCATTGTCTCCGGTGCGTTGAATAACGCTGCTTCCAAGAAGTACGATCTGGAGGCTTGGTTCCCCTTCCAGAAGGAGTACAAGGAGCTCGTCTCTTGCTCCAACTGCCTCGACTACCAGTCCCGTGCTCTGGAGATCCGCTATGGCGTGAAGAAGGCGACCGACCTAAAGAAGACCTACGTGCACGCTCTGAACGCCACTTTGTGTGCCACAGAGCGTACTCTTTGCTGCATTCTGGAGAACTACCAGCGTGAGGATGTAAGTTGCACCCCTCGCTTTTCACATCACATCTCTATCTTATATGAAAGATGAGAGTTGCCATTTTCCCCTTCTTTAAGTTCTCGCGTGGATGTTTGCTGATCTGTGTGTCTTCCTCTTCTCCAACAGGGTATCGAGGTCCCCGAGGTTCTGCGCAAGTACATCCCCGGCCAGCCCGAGTTCCTGCCCTATGTCAAGGAGCTCCCCAAGGGTTCCACTTCCCAGCAGAAGAACAAGAAGGAGAAGTCTGCCGGGGGTGCCGAGGACGCCGCCAAGAAGATGCAGAATCTGACGGTCTGAGGTCGGACACCACATTTATCTGACCTAGGCGACACACGATGTCCGTCTCGATGTGAATGTCCATCTTGGTACTGAAGTCCGTCGAGGTTTGTTCATATAAAACTTATTTTTTCATCACATTCGAGCGTCCAATGATACCGTGGAAAGTTAGCCATGTTCGAACAGACCGAGCGTAGGCCTTTGTAAAAATAGACATCTTTATTGAACAAGGCACTTGATCACCCCTTGAGTCTGGCTTGAGGACACCAGGAAACGCGCCGTGTCACGTCTAGTCCCTCACCAACGTTGTGATCGACGATCGGTCAGCGATCAGGCCCCGTGCTTTAATTGAAGTCAGGCTGGGATCCGCATACGCCATACAGTACTAGTATTACTATATAATTATACGGAGTTACGGACTACAGTCGCATCTCGCCAGATGCTGTACGGATAATTAACCAAGCACTTAGGCTTGTATTCAACATTCTCAGACTCTCTTGCTGGGCCATTGTTTATTCGCGTACACTACATCGTTGTCGGCGTTAATATCAGATAGAACATGTGACATACACAGTACTCCACTATCGAAGTACATCCATTTATTGTCCGACCGCTCGACGGCCGACGCCATCCCAAGTCCAGTAATTCTAAACCAGCTTACGTCACCCCACCTCCCGGATGAATTTACTAGTCGGGAACAGCACTGCAAGTGCAATGTGCTGTAACTACATCGATTCCACCGGATAATTGTGAATCATGGTCAAGACCTGGAAAAGTGTCCTACTCTTGCCTCCTCCCTGTCTTCTGCATTTTCGGGATTCCCCCACTTGAGACTGGTCCACGGCTTCAAGTGGGAAATATGTGAGGGTAAAGGAAAAGAGAGAAAAAAGATCACTTAACCCCGCGATTGCCCCTCCAAATTCTTTTTTTTTTTTTGAAGAAGCAGAAAATCTTGGGGACCGTGCAAGAAAGAGATCAACTTCTGTATAATGGTAAAACGATCCGAGGTGAAGAATGATTGAGATCAATTAGGTTATATATGTATTAGAATTTCCATAACTTATAAATGTCGGTTTTCTTCTAGTCTTAAGTCTAGTACTTAGTATTGACTACACTGCTAGATGGGCTGCCCATGTCAAGCACGTCGCTCACGGCAGCTAAAGATGAGTCATGCCATTTAGACGGGAGCTACTACTAATTTACTAAATAGTAAATACTGTAGTAAATAGCATATCGTAAATAGTATTGCCAAAAGTACCTTGTATGGGCTTAAGGTCGATTCTTAGGGAGAACAAATTGCAAACACCGAGAATTTCCCCAGTTTCTTGTTGAAACTTGAAGGTGGAATTTCCGGGCTTCCAACAGTCAATCGCCGAGCTCCTGCCGAATTTCATCACAGGCCACTGGTGTCATTGGCTTTCAATCCAGTCGATCTGGCTGCGTTCGTCGTAAAGAGGGTCCGATTCCGGAGTTGGACTCGGTGGCCGGGCGGCCAGACATGTGTACTTGTGTAGTCACTGACTCACTACTACTACTGATGTAGTGGACTACAACCTAGGGTACTACTATGAGTACGACTACGTGGTAACTTTGTATGTATCTTCACATGATACACGATCTTTGGTCATGAAGACCGTAAATCAATGATTTCCCACAAGATGAGACGTCTTACTGGCAATAGTCATATTATGAGACTTGATCAATTCGCTGCGGTTGAACATATGACACTCAATTGCTGGAACAAGCTTAGCTAAGGTGGGTGCAATCACCTCATTCCAGCCCACCCGCGTTCCGCCCAAAAGTTACTCATCCCCGGTGATTCATAATTTCATACCGACTGCCCCCATTTGGGTAGTTTCCTCTCTCTTCTTCACTTTTTCCTCATTTAATCCCCTCGCTGTCTGCCTCCTCCTCCATATTGTCCCTCTTTCTCCTCTTGTCTCTCACCCCTCCCCGACTGTGCTTTTCTTACAACCCAATTCACCCTCCCCTCGTGAATCCCATCGCCTCTCGTCAATAACCCTCACCCACACCCCACCATGACGTCGGCCAGAGATATCCGTCCTCGCAGCGACGAGCTGCCCCTGCACTTGTCGACTTCTCCCTCCGCCTCTTTCCATTCACCTTCCAGTCACACCTCCGCTCTCAATCGCACAAATTCCGCCGTCAATGCTAAGCACTTGAAGCCCTTTGCCACTGAGGACATCAAGGTCTTGCTCCTCGAGAATGTCAATCAGGCCGGCCGTGATATCCTAAAGAAGCAGGGTTACCAGGTGGAATTCCTCAAGTCCTCTCTGCCCGAGGACCAATTGATCGAGAAGATTCGGTAAGTTCACGCAACGAGTCGCGGCAACAGCAACTCTCCAGGCCAGGCCTTCGTCCCCAAAGAGGGAGCTCGTGTTGACCAACTTTCTTCATACAGCGACGTGCATGTGATTGGTATCCGCTCCAAGACAAAGCTGTCCGCACGAGTCCTCAAGGAGGCCAAGAACCTGATCGTCATTGGATGTTTCTGTATCGGAACCAACCAGGTTGATCTTCAATATGCCGCCGAGCAGGGTATCGCGGTCTTCAACTCCCCCTTCAGCAACTCTCGCAGTGTCGCTGAGTTGGTCATTGGGGAGATCATCTGTCTGGCCCGTCAGTTGTGCGATCGTTCCAGCGAAATGCACAACGGCACCTGGAACAAGGTCAGCAACAAGTGCTGGGAGATTCGTGGCAAGACCCTCGGTAAGTGAAGAATAAGATATACCTATGGACTAACCAATGGGCCCTCGCAAGAGCATCACCGCACTTGTCTTCAACTATTCCCTGCAAGAAGGAACATATCAAAAGCCCCGGACAAGCAAGACTAATTCGATGTTCAGGGATTGTGGGGTACGGTCACATCGGTGCGCAATTGTCTGTTCTGGCAGAGTCCATGGGCATGTCAGTCATCTATTACGATGTGCTCAACTTGATGTCCCTGGGTACGGCTCGCCAGGTCGGCTCTCTGGAGGAGCTTCTGGGCCAGGCCGACTTTGTCACCTGTCACGTCCCCGAGCTGCCCGAGACTAAGGGCATGTTCGGCCAGCAGCAGTTCGAACAGATGAAGCAGGGCAGCTACCTCATCAATGCCAGCCGTGGTACCGTGGTGGATATCCCCGCGCTGATCGAGGCCATGCGCAGCGGCAAAGTGGCCGGTGCCGCGTTGGACGTGTACCCCAACGAGCCCGCCGGTAACGGTGATTACTTCAACAACGACCTGAACTCTTGGGGTACCGATCTCCGTGCACTCAAGAATTTGATCTTGACCCCCCACATTGGAGGTTCCACCGAGGAGGCCCAGAGTGCCATCGGCGTGGAGGTGGCCACGGCACTGACCCGTTACGTCAACGAGGGATCTACCCAGGGTGCCGTAAACATGCCCGAAGTGTCTTTGCGTTCCTTGACCATTGACGAGCCCAGCCATGCTCGGGTAAGTAATTCCTCATACAAATGCTCAGCTTTTGCGGGTCGAATTGCGAGTGTGCGTTTTGGTTTGAGACAGAAGCTCTAACATAATATGCAGGTGGTGTATATTCACAAGAACATTCCCGGTGTGTTGCGCAGAGGTAAGATACCCCATGTCCAGATGAGATGTGGCTCTTATAACAGTCAATTAACATCCATTCTAGTCAACGAGATTCTCGGTGACCACAACGTCGACAAGCAGATGACCGATAGCCGAGGCGACGTAAGTCACTGCGTTTTACTCCGTTGCAAAATTGGGGCTCACTAAAATCAACAATCCTTTAGGTTGCCTATTTGATGGCCGATATCAGCGACGTCAACACCACGCAGATCAAGGAACTCTACTCCAGCCTCGAGAGCCTAAATTGTAAGCACCATTTTTACACATGCACTTTAAAAAACATCTCTTGATATCTCACTGTGACCATACTGACACGTCGATCTTCCATCTCAGCTCGTATCATGACCCGCATCCTTTACTAGATGGCGACCACTGTCTATTCTCTTTTTTCCCTTTCCGCGTACAAAATGAAGACTCAACTTGACATACTCGGAGGATGATCAGCCATTCTTCGAACCCTTTTGACGAAAAAGTTTTAGCAGATGCGGAGAGTCCAAGACCCTCTCAACTAGGTGGTCTCTCTTGGTTTATACTTTCTTCCCGCTCGATATCTTTTCACGCAGATACTAGGTCATGGCTTTGTGATTTGTCCTTTCTTCGATGCTTTTTTTCCCCCTTCTTTTGAGAAATCTACTTACCCTACGCCCTCGTCCATCAAGTGAACTAGCTACCTCTTTTTCTTCACATGCGATTGGAGACTTAAGTACGTACCACTGATGTGATGTTCACTTTCCAAAAGAAGACCAAATATCAAAAGTGTGAGATTTGTCAATTCGATAAAGAAAAAAAGAAGTAGTTTCTGTGAAAGATTTATCATGAGCCAGCCTGATAATTTCTTCCATCTTCGAAACAACCTGTTTCTCAAGTCACAACACTTCTAGAGCCCTGATTTTTTTTTTCAACCGCGCGCTGGATCTCTGTACCCGGGGCTCCGACTCCTTCTACGGGGCTGGTCTCGACGATAATCACGTCGTCCTCCGGATCTCCAATCTGAGCTGTAGTCACCCGCGTCGCGACTACGATCTCGATCTCGGTCGTGCGGGTTGCCCCCGTAACTAGGGACGTAAGAGTCAAGGTTGTGACTGCCGCCGCCTGCACCTTGCGGGATTCTTCCACCGCCTGGCCGGCCGTGACTTGGGCCCTGGTGACTCGGAGGGAACCGATCACGTCTTTGATCGTCTCGCCCGTCAGAACGACCACTTTGCGGTTCTTCCCACGGAGGAGGGGGAACACCGCCTGCAGGCAGCGGCGGACGAGGTGGAAGTCCGACGTCGCGCTGGGGAGGGAATGGTCCGCGACGATTATTGTGCATGCCGGGAGGTCCGTTGGATCGACCACCGCGCGCAGCGCTGGGAATGCGAGGAGGCCCGTGAGCATGACTGTGGTTGCTGTTCGTGTTGCTGTTGCGGGAATCGGGTCTGGAGCCTGGACCGGTCCATCCTCCGTTCGTCGTGGGGTCTGTTGAACCCATTGCTGGGGCTGGGGGTAGAGGCGCTCTCTGGTCGCGGAACTTTTTGCGATCGAGCTCGTGGGAGTCTTGGTAGTGAGGGATTTCGCCTGGTTTGGCGGGAAGAGGAGGAGATGTGAAGTAAGGGTGTTTGAGGGCGTCGATGGCGTTGATTCGTTTGCGCCAGTCCAGTCTGAGAAGTTCTTTGAGGAGCGAGATGGCCAAGGGACTTTGACTGTTCGTGCGTGTTAGTTTTGTCTTGCTTTGGTAGATGAAGACGTTCCAATAGAGCGTGCGAGGCTTTATGTCTATGTAGGTTGAGTGATCACTTACTCTTTGAACACCTGAGCGAGATTGCCCGGTTTGTGACCGAAGCTCTTGACGCCCTCGCATCCTGGCAGGGAGCTCCATCCAGGCATGTTCTCTTCAGTGGGCGTACCGACCAAGGAGAAGATCTGCTGGGCCTGATTCAAGTCGCTGCTGCCACAGAGAATGGGCTTGCCTTTGAACATTTCACCAAAGACACACCTGTGACGTTTATTAGACATTCTTTTTTCCACAGACCACAGAGAATGTGTGAAGAATCCAGCATAGCAATGTGACGGACTTACCCAACTCCCCACAGATCAATGGCCGATGTATATTTGCGAAGCTGCAACAGCAGCTCAGGCGGACGATACCATCGTGTGACAACCAGGGCAGTGTACTCCCGTCGAGCCTCGCCACCGCCCTTTCCAGCTTGTGGCGGAGGCTCATCGAAAGGTCGAGCCAGGCCAAAGTCGGCGATCTGAAGGATGCCTCCATTGCTAATCAGGAGATTGGCGGCTGTTCCATCTTGTTAGTCATTTGGCTTGCTTCTCTCTCTCTCTCTATCTATGGGGATTCTTAATGCGCGGTTTAGCGTCACTCACCTTTCATGTCACGATGAAGAATTTGGTTCTGTTGTCGGTCAGCTTGTAAGTCTATTGTTGGAATTAAATGCGCTTAGGCATACCGCATGCAGATACCGGAGGCCTTCCAGTAATTGGTAAAGATAACACTTTATCTGCGGCTCGGTGAAATGAACAGCAGGGTTCTCCAACAGTCCTGAAAGATCGTGCTCCATGTACGGAGTCACCATGTACATGCTGGGCTTCTTTCGTCCCTCGCCTAGACGACTCGTTAGATATTCCCAGGACTCTCACATATCACCAACAACAGCTTGAATGTCTCACCTTTGCTTCGTTCAACTGACATTTCCTTGAGTTGAAGGATATTAGGATGCGAGAGGGCCTTGAGAAGCTTGATCTCACGGATGGCGGTGATTGGGAACTATAACAAAATTCAGCCCCAACTATCCTGCGAAATAATTCGAGTTCGAATCACCTACCCCTTCTTTCTCATGATGCATGAGAATTTTCTTCAGGGCGACAATGGTATTGTCTTTCTTTGATCGAGCTTTATAGACCTCACTGCAAGTTGCCCGTCAATCACATTGCTCCTGTACAAGCAACCATCAACTCCTGATGACATACCCAAATGTTCCCTCACCAAGCTTGCCAATGAACTCAAAGTCGCGAATGTTCGAACAACCAGGGAACCGGGGCTCACCCTGGTCAGTCCGCTCAAGGGAGATGATCGACATCTTCTTTCTTGGGCAAATTATTCCTGATAGTTCTGAGCGTTCGTATGCGACCTGGAGCGCCGAGCTGAAGCCAGTAGAGCCTTGCTCCCTTGACTTGACAGGCTGTTCAAGATGCAGCGAAACCGGAATCAATCCGACAGCGGCGGTCCGTACAATGAAGTCGTGAACGATCGCGTGGAGACTTGAAGCAGAGGTGCGGATAGCGACTTTGTGAACTCAGCAGAATCCAAGAATCAGATAGGTTAAGAAGTCAAGCGAGAAAGAATTGGATCGCGCGCGTTCACATTGCGGTAGGGCTTCACCGCGGGCTTGCTTGTCCACCTGCTCAGCCAAGGGCCTCGGCAGGCAGCTCACTCCTCTGGTGTTATCGAACAGTTCGGTGCCTAGACCTTGAGATCGAAGCACTGGTGCCTAGAATCCAATTGTGCAGGTCTCAACGACAATCACAAATGAACATCCAAAATAAGGCAACAAGTGTAAACAATAAACAAGAATTAGTTATCATCCCCAAAAAAAAGTCCGCCGCATCCCCAAGTCGGAAATGCAAACCGGCGCGTGCCGTCACTGATCACGTGATACCAAAGGAGACGAACCTCCGTCCCCGATAACCCGCTTTGGTCACATTATTCCTCGCGCAGATTGAGAAGAGCACTTCCTTTTCGCACGACAAACACACACAGTGAGTACATCTCGCAGGTGGTCGTATCTCCGGAAAAATAGAAAGGCCATCTATAACGAAATCATACTGACCCTCGCCCGTCCGCAGTCATGGCAGGCAAAGGAAGCCACCCCATTCACATCCACCCGGTCCGGCCACTCTACCGCTTCACGGCCACGGCTCTGGGCGCAAGCATGTGGTTCTTCGTATGAGTCCCTCCGTCTCCGCCCCTCTACCAATTTGCTGCTTGAAAAATTGGTCATTGTCTCGAAATGAACAGTTCACTGACCTTGCATTTCACCTCCATAGCTCATGTACCGGGCGAAGAAGGACGGTCCCGCTTTGCTGGGCTGGAAGCACCCATGGGACCATTAGACCATTGAGATTCACAAAATTGTTGTTGGACCTCCTACGTCGCCGTACCTTTTACCCTTTCCTGTTTACAATAAATACCATGTGCACTACTCAATGAAAGTCGACCTTTCGAGACTCGAATACGCGGCACTGCTATGCGGCTTATCTTTTCGTCCTTACTGGGGTTGTCGGGATGCGTCTCGCTGGACTGTTTTTGCTCCAGTGTCGATTGAAATGCGAAATGCCAAATTCAATTGATCACAGTGCTATATAATTCCAAATAGCAAGGCAGGAAAGCAACGCTCTATCTCAAATGCATCTTCGTTTTGTCTGTCACATACAAGTACAATAAAGGTATCCGACTTCTCGCTTTTGCTCTTGCTTTTTGTTTTTCGCAAATCAAGCCCGCATTTGCTCAAGGAGAACCTTGTACTGGCGGCGCTTTTTCTGGTAATTGGGCTGGAGACGAGCTCGAAGGTGACCGATAATACGAGCCAACCGAGGGAAGAAAGTAGCCTCGGACGTCCATGCAATCGCAAACAAGGTAATTGCCGACGCCACGATCCAGCCACGGAAGCCGTCGGACAAGAACGTGAGCTCCATCACGTCCCGCACCCACTCCGATGGACGGAAGAGCATGTAAGCCGCAACTGCAAGGGCAATGATAATGGTACACAGATAGGGAACTGTGACAGGCAAGTTAGTTTACGGATGACACGGCGAATGGCATAGATCAAGAAGGGATCACTCACTATTCTTGGTCATGGGTTGCCGGAACGGTGGACCAACACTGAGCACAACGCTGGTGAAAATGTACTGGAAACAAGAGAACAAGAATAATGACGTGTTCTCCGAGTTCTGGATGTTGCTTTTGTCGACGTCAAGCTGAGGAGGGAGATACCTAGAAGTTTAAAGAAGATGATCAGCGAGTGACTCAGCTCCAATAGATTGGGTTCTTTCCAGGTGACTTACCATGGCTGCATCTGAACCGTCTTAAAAATGACCAGCTGGCCAAGGACTACCATGATGATTTGTCCCAGCAAAGGCGTCAAGACTTTCCGAGAGACAAGATCGGCCGTAGGCCGTTTGCGTGAGAGAATAGGGTACGGTCCGGTCCATCCCACTGCGGTGGGGTTAGCTTGTATAGCAAAGGGTTCGGAAACAGACGCATAACATACTGAAGATAGCAATTGGCATGATCAATGCAAGATCAATGAAGAGGAACTTCAATCCCAAGAACAGTCAGTATGCGAAACTTAACCAATCAATACTGGGAAACATCGCAATCTCGGAACGTACCTGGAAATCGCCAAGATTGGAACCTGATGTGTATAGGAAGCTGACGGTAGAGAATTGAATCGCGGAATACAAGCTCATAAACTTGAAGCAGCAGAAGCTGGTCACAAGAGCCGCACGTCCCTCGCTGTTTTCCCCCTCTATTAGTTTGTGCTCGCAAGAACGATACCAACGCAACCACCCGATAAACTTACCGAATCATTTTAGGCACACAAGAAATGTCAAATTGCCGGCTTGTGAAAGGCGCAGCCACGGACGCTTCGGCGTCAGACAGGGATATTCCCACATCGGCAGCCTTCAATGCACCGCAATCATTCGCGCCGTCTCCACAGAAACCGCAGCAGTAATCGATTGACTGAAGCTTCTCGACCAGCTCATGCTTTTCGTCGGGTGACATTCGCGCAAAGACTTTGCCGATAACAAGCATCTATATGTTTAAGGCAGGGCTTTATTAGTGGACGGTCCTCATCTAAAAGAGACCAGAAGCGAAAGAGAAGGGCTTACCCTGTTCAGGACGTCCTCGTTGCCATAGTCGACCATCCACCGGAAGACATCTCCCGTCACACCAACGCAATACTTCTGATCCTTCAGCGAATTGGCAGGAATTGAAACGTCCGTTTCGGAGTCCAGGGCAGGCTAATCGTGATGTTAGCTTTCTGTATCATCGAGTATTGCAGAGTATAGAAAGACATACCAGAAGTGTTCGCGAATCAAGTCTGAGATCGGGGTCATCCACGCTTTCCCAGATAATCGATGTTTTCGTTTCAAGTCCCGGTTCTAGAGCCTGCCAGTAAGCATCATCCTCGACACCCACACTTCAGGGATAGCTTGACTGACCATCGATCAAATGAGGAATGTAGCACTGCTCATCAGCCCCAATCATCTTGCATTCTCGCGCAACGCTGATTGCGGTCAGAATATTATCACCCGTGCACATAACGTTTCGAATGTTTGCTTGATTTAATTCAGCGATCACATCAGTGGTGGTGCTCTTCAGCTTGTTCTCGAAGATGATGAAGCCTGCAAATTCCAAATTACTCTCGGCTTCCGTGCGTGTCAACTTCTGCACTTTCATCCAGCTAAGTTTGCGCTCATATCTGGTCGCACAGGCAATGACTCGATAACCCTTGTGCGTGTAGTGGCTCAGCAGTTCCTCATAATCGGCGGGAACTGTAGCGTGTCAATGAGTCAGTTTACTTGTGTTCTGTCAAGCGTGAGAATAGGAAATGTCACGTACGAGACTCAGGTATACAGATGTCCCTGATGCTCTCAGGTGCACCTTTCACAAATATATTGACGCCGTTATCTCCAAATTGTCTCACAACCACACTCGCACGACGCAATTGTGAGACAAATTCAAAGCTTCGCAAAACACCAAGCTCGACAGTAGCCTTTTCATACGATTGATCAGCACAATATCTGAACAATATCAACCGTGACTGAACTTACATTTGCCCCGTTTGATTGCAGATTGCCACCGTGGGTAACCGGAGGCTTTGCGACCGATGGTGTGATATTGTCGAACTTGGGGCTCGTCTGCTCCGACGCATGACCACCGCCCTCTTCGTAGGTCCATCCAGTGAATTGGAACATCTTCACGTCCAGGGGGTCACCCAGCAGCTCGCCATCAACGACTCGCAGAGAGTGACATGTGGCCATAGTATACACAATTTTGCGCTGCTTCTCGAGATCAAATGGAGAGTCCCGGTTTGGTGGGGGGAGCAGCACTCCCGCTGATGTTTCAGAGAGCAAGTCGGAGAATCTAAGCGCAATTAGTCAAAGCTCGAAACGTAAGTGTTATGACCGAGTGGGAACACACCTCTTGTTCTCACCGACCGCGCGCGCACCAAGCACGTCCAGACCATCTTCCGTGAGAGTACCTGTTTTATCGAAACAGACAACGTCCAGCTTACCACCAACATTGACCCTGCAGTGGCACAAAGTTAGACTCGGCCAATATCCTGAATGGTTAGAGTTGACTCACTTTTGTGGGCTGATACAGAAGATCGATTGCTTCTTCAGCCGAGATAGTGCAAAGTTGGTACCAATGGTGAGTGTCGCTGGCAGGGCAGGCGGAACGACGATTGTGATCAAGTCAAGTGCACGAACGATGATCAGATGCCAGGCAAGCTGCAACGGAGTTAGTTCCATGCCCATGAGGTTCATTTTGGGTGGCCAAAAACTTACGCCAAGTCGGACAAAGTTGATAAAAGACGCGACGAAACCAAGCAGAGCGACAATGCCCATCACCGCAATGTATCGGAACGAGTCTCGGTAGAATTTGAAACCCGACGGCTTGGGAAAGAGCATGGAGCGAACAAGAGCACCCTTGGTGGTCAAGAATCCAGTTCTCATTACGATGGCCAAGGCGACAGCCTCATCGTCTTCCGTATTCTGCGGACGCCGCGCTCGAATAACCTTAGTCCCACTGAAGAGGAAATGCTTGGCAACTTCTGGGTGAATTGAGGGTGCACTAAGATCAAGGTAGGTCAAAGCGTCGTCGGTCAGAGGTATCTTCGATACAGGTACAGATTCGCCTATTCGGAATTAGTTCGGGACAAGATAAAGAGAGGTATGAAGAAAGGAGTCTGACCTGTAAGCATGCTTTCATTTACAATACAGTCACCAGACAGAAGTATACAATCGCAGGGCACTTGGTTCAACGAAGGATCTGAGAATTCAAAGACGTCGCCGGGGACAAGATCTTGCGAAGAGACCGATCTCCCTGTTTTCAAGTTCAATGATCAGTCTCGAATTGCCGTACTTTGTGCATGTTGCGCGATCAAGACCTACAGAATCCATTCCTCAAAACACGCACATCGCAGTCGAATAGTGAGATCTCTCGTAGACGACGCATAGTCTAGTTTAGAGGTCAGCATGTCGGAATTCTTCAAATCCATCAAGGCGCAGACAGAGTGTATACATACAGATCTCGTCTCCAACACGGTCGTCGCGATACTGAAGACCGAGATGAGGAAGATGCAGATGGCATAATAGTAGTATTCGTCCATAGACCAAAGGACGAGACTGGCCACTTGGAACATATAGAAAGGATGGAATGCCTGGTGAAGTCACGTCAGCACTGCTACTTAGTACACCTGTGATTAGTCAGAGCTAGTGTACGAACCTCATCGACCAGGAGCTGAGGGACCGTTTTCTGTTGTATATCAATGACGTTCTGACCAAAGACCTGCTCCCTGCTGTCACGATCCTCAGCATCCAGACCTGCTCGCATAGCCTTTGCATTAATCCATGATGGGTCTTTCCAGCCGCTGATCAGATCAAACTTGTCTTCTGTAGGATGATAGCAAAAACGCATATGTCTGTAATCGAGAAATCGGAGGTATTCCATGTTTGGGTCTCTATCTTCGTCGAAGACATGTCCGGACGGATCAACGAAGACTGTCGACAATGGCCGGCCGTATTCTTGCCTGTCGATTCTTTGGACCATGAATTGGTTCCATTGGTCCTGTTCGCTTGTCAGCTTTGTCACGGTTGAAACAGCTTCAGGCGAATCTTCTCACCTCGATCGCGACCCATTGGCATTTGCCTAGTGGCATCGACTTCCCAACGAGCTTGACGCGCCAACGAGGAAGCCATCGGAACACCAAATAGCCTAGTCCACCTGTGACGAGGCACAACATCAAATAGATTGCATATCCCATCGCACTGGTCGAAAATCCCGCAAAGACAGCCGTCAGATCTTCCGACGCAATATAGACCTTTTGGTTCAGTCGACCACCTGTCCGTCTATCGCGGCCATATGAGCTTGCGGACAGAAATCGCGAGAGCAAAGGACGCTCCACCGAATCTCGCGATAGTCGCTTCGAGGCGAAGGAGCTCCGGTGAGACTCGAGATCCGCGCCATTCAGACCGTCGACTGACTGTTCCTCCCCGTCGCTCTCGACGTCGACTGCGTCTTCGTTGGACCACTCGGCGAAATCTTCCTCGTCTTGAAAGTATGTGAAGCTCACATTGGAGTCGGCGCGCTTGCGACGATGAGAGAAGGAAACGACGCTTGACGGAATACTCTCTGAGATGGGTCCGTCGAAAACCTGATCTCCTCGTGTCAGTCGGGATTGATGCACAGGGAATTCTTTGCGCTGAGCGATCAACGTACCTCATTGCGAGCCATCTCTACGTCAGACACTACGCTCACGCTGCGGATCAGTCAGCCAATTGCGCACGGCTCGGCTTCGAGAAAGAAGCCAACGAACCTGCTTCGAAGCGAGTCTCTGCGGCGACTCGGTCGAGACATCGAGACCGAAAGGTCCATGGGACCTGTCCCCGTCGGGGACGGTGGACGGTTGATCATGGCTGTATCTTCGGCTTCGGTCGCGAAAGGACCGGGTTCGTCGTTTCGCGGCCGCACTAGCTCGCGTGTGGCGGAAAACGAAAGGACTCGGAGTAAGCCGAGGACGGGCTAATTTCTGCGACAGTATATCATGCGGCTTGACGGTAGCCCTATACTCATGCGCCTGGTCGCATCGAAGAAAGAGCGTGAGCGATTGCAGCAGCGAACAATTCCGTCAAGATTGGATTAGCTGGTTTCCAGTCCAACGTAGATCCGGGCTGGAGCGGAGGGCAGGCTGTCCGCGATATGCGGGTTGCTTATCTCCATGTGACCGGCACCGAAGATTGATTGGGTCAAGCTCTGAGATCACCGAGGGTTTGTGGCTCTGGGTAGGCCTGAGGTCACGAGGTGTGTTGCAGGCCTGGTCCGGTCCCGTTTGAATCGAAGTTCTCGAACACGTGCAACTGGTCGGTTCATTCGTGAATCTCTGGGCCGCGCACGGGAGACCTCCAGGACTCTGCTACTCAATGCGCGATTTGCCAACAGTCATCGAAATCTCGACGTTTGTGACCCGATTGTCCCAATTATAAGTTGCCGAATTCTTCCTACAGTTAAATGCATGGATAGTCGCAGTGTGGCCACTATCAGATCGAGCTTGACTGTTACGAAATACGAGATGAATTTCTCGTTTCACTGTCATGATATGTGCTCACTGTAGCCTGTTCATTCTCTGATTGCGACACAGTTCAAGATGTACTTTCCCGCCTTTATCTTCAATAAGATATATTTACGGGCTTCGAATATTGATGGTAACTTGCATAGTCGAAGATAGATGAAGCACCTCCAGCTTGAAACTGTGAGGGTGCTCCAATGTAGGTAGTTGAAAGGGAGGTAGACGTGGGAACCCGCTGCCCCGGACACGTATATATATATATACCTTGGTAGGAACCATGTAGAGTTCCTCCACACCATCTACTACGATCTTTCATCGATGAGTGATAAGGTACATGGATATCCTCGATTATATGTCATTAACCTACCTAGCACACCGTTCCCAAAGGACATTCCATTCTCGTGCATCGGCCATAGGTGAGTAGCCAGATACTATCTACCCAACATGGAATAGGATGTCACGTCAATGCTGGATTCAAGAACCGGCCCTACTGCAGGAAGAACAAAAGGACCCGAAAAGGTCGACACATCCGAGCTCGCCGTGCTCCAGACGGGAATCCAAAGTCCAGACTCCAGACAGATTTCTATAATTAAAACGTGCCAAATTGGGCCTGTCTGCATCGGAGGCCTTGCACTGCGTCAGACACTCGGCCTGGATCTTCGAAGAGCCGAGCCTGAAATCTTGGTTCACCAACAGATCCGTCCAGACGGGATGGATGGTCTGTCAGTCGACCACGTCCGTCGAATGTTTGTCCGTGGTGGAACGCCTACCCTTTTGACCCAAATAGGCAGGTATGCCGTTCGAGTCGGGTCCTTCATCATTTATAGTCATTGAAAGCCATCTTTGTCCGCGCATAAGGTGTCGCCTTTTCGTCCATATCTCCTGGGCTCTCGCCTAGGAAATGGAGCACAATGGTACAGGACGGTCTTCAAGTTAAATGGCTCTTATCTCCACTTCACGTCATACTTGTGATGATGACTGTCCATCGTTCAGTGCACGCGCAAGGTTGTACCTGTCATATTACGATTCATTTGGCGGGCGTGATAACAACCTAACAACATCACTGGATCTGTGCAATTCTGAAGATAATGTCGATCGCGTGAATCGAGGGGTATTTCTCGACTTCCCATCTGCACAGCCTTCTCGATCGCGTTCCAGTCCCACTCTTTGCAGGCCAAATGATGTTCCGAAGCGTGTTGAGCTGACAGTCACCACCAGACCACCCTCCTGTGGTAGAAGTTCCAACATGTGAACATGATAGGCACGGGTCGTCCATTCCATATGCCAAAGAAGCATAGACAAGAGTCCAGTCAAAGTCATATTTCATCGATCGACAACAAAAGTGCGAAGCACCTCTGAATATCTTGCAAGTTACCTAGACCGCACGACGATGATTGTATTGCGATACAGCCCACTTAAGAAGTCTATGCAATCAATCCTGCAGAGACCAACTTACCGTAGAAGCCTCAGGAGAAATGTCAGTTCTCGCTGTTCCATTGTGACCACATATTTGTAAATCCCATGTTCAGTATAGTGTATGAGTGTACTGCAATCGATCCTCCGTAGTCCGTCGCCTCCGCAGACTCTGTACTCGTAGGACTTGTCTACCCGCCGTGTCCGCGATGACTCGAAAGGGAACACCCCAAAAAGGTTCCAGAACTTTGTTGGGAGCGCAACAGCTGCCTCAACGCCCAGGCTTCTCCGACCACGGGCGCTCAAGGCTCACAGCAGCGAATCCCACCCTAAAAATTCCAGAAGAAAAGAGAGAAAAAAAATGGCCCTTTTCCCAGCATGGCTTGAAGATTCCCACCTAAAAGGCCCTCGTTCCCGAACTGCCACAGCTACCTTACCACTCTTTGCCTCTGCCGGGTACACTAACTACTACACGGCCACACGCTAACATAACACCCTCTCTCTCCGCCTGAGGTTGCCCCCCTCTCTCGCTCTGTCGATATCAAATTCTTCCCCTCCCTGCCCTTCTCCAATCTTTCCCTTCTCAACCTCCTTTCCTTTCCCCCCCCCCCCTCTACCCTTTCTCAGATCCTTTCCCACCCCGTCTCGCTCGCCATCATCCATCATCATGTCGGAGCCAATCAGGAATAAAAAGGCCGATTTCCCGGTCGCCCCGTAAGTGCATCGTGGACTACATTTTTTTTCTTTGCTAGTCCTGTCGGCTGCTTATCGGCGGAGAGGTTCCTCTGCCCCCCCAAAAGTCAACAAATGCACCCAACTGACCCTCCGAAATTTCATCCAGAACCCCACAGAACACCCCGGCCAACAATGCCCCCATCTCCTCCCACGCTCAGCAGCCGGGCGTTTCCAGCATCAAGGAAGGTAGGTGACTGCATCTAAAAATATTGATGGGGGAAAAGACGAGCGCCCCAGAGGCTCCGCCCCCTCCCCAGGTTCCGTTCGAAAAGAGTTCTGCATGCTGACCGCTGTTTCTGAACAGAGCCCATGGACAGCGCCGCTGCCGCTTCTCTCTTCGCCCGTAACCCTGCTTTGATCAACATGATTCAGGGTAAGCTCGGCCAACTCGTCGGTCGCTCGTCCGGCTACATCGAGTCCCTCCCCCTGTGGTCCGCCGCCGAGTCGCCGGCCTGAAGGGTATTCAGAAGGAGCACGCCAAGTTGGAGGCGCAGTTCCAGGAGGAGGTATTGGAACTCGAGAAGAAGTACTTTGCCAAGTTCACCCCTCTGTACGAGCGCCGTGCCACGATCGTGAACGGCGGTGTCGAGCCCACCGAGCAGGAGGTTGAGGCTGGTAAGGAGGATGAGGAGGAGGACGAGGAGGAGGAGGAGACCCAGGAGGAGGAGACCAAGGAGGAGACTTCGTCCGCAGCCGGTATCCCCGAGTTCTGGTTGTCTGCCATGAAGAACCAGATCTCGCTCGCCGAGATGATCACTGAGCGTGATGAGGAGGCCCTCAAGTCGCTCACCGACATTCGCATGGAATACCTCGACCGACCTGGATTCCGCCTGATCTTCGAGTTCGCCGAGAACGAGTTCTTCACCAACAAGACCATCACCAAGACCTACTACTACAAGGACGAGAACGGCTACGGTGGTGACTTCATCTACGACCACGCCGAGGGCTCCAAGATTGACTGGAAGGATGACAAGGATCTGACTATGCGTCTGGAGAGCAAGAAGCAACGCAACAAGAGTGAGTGCAGCACCTTCCGTGAACCTGCCTCTGCGTCTGATTGTCTTTTGGCCCGTTGCCTCTCATCGACTCTCACGACTCACGCAACCCCGCTTCCTCTGTTGGTGTCACTTTGGTGTCCCCCCGACTAACCGTCTTTCTTCTTCTTCCACAGACACCAAGCAGACCCGCATTGTCAAGATCAGCGTGCCCACCGAATCCTTCTTCAACTTCTTCTCACCACCCCAGCCCCCTGTTGATGATGACGAGTCTGTCGCCAGCGACATCGAGGAGCGTCTGGAGCTGGACTACCAGCTGGGTGAGGATATCAAGGAGAAGCTCATTCCTCGTGCGATTGACTGGTTCACCGGTGAGGCCCTCCAGTTCGAGGAGCTGGGCGAGGACCTTGACCCCGAGGACTTTGACGATGAGGATGAGGATGAGGAGGATGAGGATGAGGACGACGAGGAGCGTGGTTCAGACCGGGACATTGATGATGACTCGGATGAGGAGGTAAGCTACTCATCTTTGCGTCTGAAGATCGGGTTGTGCACCTGATCTTCTTGCTGCTACCTCCCCTTTATTCCGCTTCTCTTTTCACGACACCATCGTTCTAACCTCTATCTCCACCTTTCCAGGACGGTACCTCCAAGCCCAAGAAGGAGGCCGCCGAGTGCAAGCAAAACTAGACTCTCCGCTCCACGACATCCGTTTTCTCCTCGTCTTTTATTCCACCCCTAAAAGTGGCTCGCCATTAAGCGGAGCAGCTCACTGACATGTTTCATGGAAATTCTCTCTTGTGTTGTTGATGTTCACTATTGCTATATTTCCTTTCCCCCTTTCATTCCTCTTCCTCCTGATGCCTTTACCCGCTGCATTCTGCGCTCCATGAAATTTTGAAGTTTGTCTACCTAATAATCCAATGAATCGACATAAAACGGTGCGTAATCCACATCTAATATAGAGAATGACCGGACGCCCTGAACGTCCATTCTGAGCTCACCTCACTTATCTCTCTCACTACCCATCATCACCCGTGGTGGCTGGCACTGGCTCTTTTATGGAGGCATAGCCCCAGTTTGTAGCGGACAACCTCCGGCCCTGCTATGAATCACTTTCGTTTTCGCTCCGGTCACGGCTTCTTGGCCCTTCCCAAGCTAAAAGGCGTGTTTGCCTTGTCCCTTATGATCCTTTTCACCATACTCCATCCGTTCAACCCTATGTACCGTTAACTTGGCTTCCAAAATACCTTTCCTGATTCACAATAATTGTCCACCCTGATGAAGTGATCTCGCCTCTAGTCCGCTGAGCACTCGGGTGGCCCACGACCCTCTCTCTATCTACCTAGATCTACGTGGCTCCACTCTACACCGCGGCGGCTGGGAGGTCACTGATTTTTCCGACTAAAGGGATATCTGATTCTCAAATTGATCTTTTAATGGTCAAGTGTATCATCCTCTAGCTCTCATGAGCACTGCGTATCTAAGCCTACATCTTCATTTCCAGAGGAAGAGCGTACATGCTCCTGTGCTGCTCTCTACCTCCATGAGATGTTTGACCTTTTTATACGGTCCAACACGCAATGAGAAACCACCATGTCAGGAACCCAAGGGATAAGGCGGTGACTGGACTGTGGGGTATGGCGCGGTCCCTCTCTCTCGCTGTCCGCCTTTCCCCCCCCAGTCCCGTGCCCGTCCCCGAAAAGAAGCTCCCCTTCAGGGGCTGGCTCGCTTCCGCTCAATGGGCCAACTGTTACGGAGTCTCGGAGTATCCTTCGGCCATTTTCATGGAACCCTTCTTGCTCTCTCTCTCACTCTCACGACTCCGTCCAACGCCCTCGACACGGACCTTTCTTTCTTCTGACTTCATTTTTGTATCGTCCTTTTGCTGTTCCATTTCTATCCCGTTCTTTTAGATCATGAGTGCATGAGCTGTTGCCGTTAGACTAAACTGTCTTTCGACCACTGATTACGGAGTAGATCTGCCCTCTTTTTTTTTTGAATTGCCTGCATCTTAGCCCTGCCTCCTGTTCACGCACCCTCCCCGCCTCGTCCCTTTCCTCCTCCACCCATTGGAGATACTGGAACTCTCGATATCGACACGCCCACAGCACCGGACTCGTCTTGGGCCAGCTCGTGAATCGCTTGCGCCGTCAGAGAAGCCACTGCTGTTGCTGTTGCTCATCCCGACGAGACCCACACCATGGCGCACATTTATGAGGTAGGGACTCGGGCCTGGCAGCCCGACCCTACTGAGGGATGGGTGGCCTCCGAGGTGAAGGAGAAGCTAGTCGACGGCGACAAGGTTCGACTGCTGTTTGAACTGGAGAATGGAGAGGTACGTCACCCCGCGCCCCCAGGTGAAAGTGAGGCCAGGAGGAGACAAACACCCAAAGGCAACCCAATCACTTCATCTTCTAAAGAGGACCGACCACTCATCACCCATATGCAACGCAATAGACCAAGACCGTCGAGACCACTCAGGCCGAACTCCAGGTGGACAACAATCCTAACCTGCCGCCCTTGATGAACCCGGCCATGTTGGAAGCGAGCGAAGACTTGACCAATTTGTCCCATTTGAACGAACCTGCAGGTCGGTCACTCACCTCTGTGATGTATTCCGGAGCAACAGAGAGCTGTCACAAGAATCTCGGTGTCAACTGACAGACCTTCCCCTTGCACAGTCTTGCAGGCCATCAAGCTACGCTATGCGCAAAAGGAGATCTACACATATAGTGGTATCGTGTTGATCGCGACCAACCCTTTTGCGCGGGTGGACTCCCTCTACGTGCCTCAGATGGTTCAGGTGTATGCGGGGAAACAGCGCGCTTCTCAGGCCCCTCACCTGTTCGCCATTGCAGAGGAGGCTTTCGCGTAAGGAATCGCCCCTTGGCAAACAGATCGCATCTGTATCAAAAACACATAAGGCGCGCATTTATGCTGACTGTCGTCCGGACCAACTCTAGTGATATGCTTCGGGATGGCAAAAACCAAACAATCGTGGTTTCCGGTGAGTCAGGAGCCGGAAAGACCGTCAGCGCCAAATACATCATGCGTTACTTTGCAACTCGAGAGTCTGCCGATCAGCCAGGCAAGTACACCACAAGCCGTGCAGATGCTACCACGGAGACCGAGGAACAGATTCTGGCAACCAACCCTGTCATGGAAGCGTTCGGCAACGCCAAGACCACTCGCAACGACAACTCGTCTCGATTCGGTAAATACATCGAGATCATGTTCGACGACCAGGCAAATATCATTGGCGCGAAGATCCGGACATACCTTCTGGAGCGATCTCGACTGGTGTTCCAGCCTCTCAAGGAGCGCAACTACCACGTTTTCTACCAGCTCGTGGCGGGTGCCACTGATGAGGAAAGACAGGATCTGGGCCTGTTACCTGTGGAGGAGTTTGAGTATCTCAACCAGGGTGGCACACCCATCATCGATGGCGTCGATGACAAGGCCGAGTTTGATGCGACGCGCAAGTCCTTGACGACCATTGGTGTCACACAAGCTCAGCAGAAGGAGATCTTCCGGATCCTGGCGGCTCTGTTGCACCTGGGTAATGTGAAGATCACAGCAACTCGCACAGACTCTACACTGTCCTCTTCTGAGCCGGCCCTCGTGCGCGCCTGTGAAATGCTGGGCATCGATGCCAATGAGTTTGCCAAGTGGATTGTCAAGAAGCAGCTGATCACCCGAGGAGAAAAGATCACCTCCAACCTAACCCAGCAGCAGGCCGTTGTGGTCCGTGACTCAGTCGCCAAGTACATCTACTCCAGCCTCTTTGACTGGCTCGTAGACACCATCAACCAAGGACTGGCCAAGGAGGAGGTTGTGGAACGTGTCAAGACCTTCATCGGTGTTCTCGATATCTACGGTTTCGAGCATTTCGCCAAGAACTCCTTTGAGCAGTTCTGTATCAATTACGCCAATGAGAAATTACAACAGGAGTTCAATCAGCACGTCTTCAAGCTGGAACAGGAGGAGTACGTGCGGGAAGAGATTGACTGGAAGTTTATTGATTTCTCCGACAACCAACCGTGCATTGATTTGATCGAGGCCAAGCTGGGAATTTTGGCTCTGTTGGACGAAGAATCTCGACTGCCGATGGGATCGGACGAACAATTTGTCACCAAGCTGCACCATCACTTCGCAGCGGACAAGCAAAAGTTCTACAAAAAGCCCCGCTTCGGAAAGTCTGCTTTCACTGTCTGTCACTACGCCGTGGATGTCACTTATGAGTCGGATGGCTTCATTGAGAAGAATCGTGATACTGTTCCCGACGAACACCTCGAGGTTCTGCGCAACTCGTCCAACAGCTTCATCAAGGAGATTCTGGACACGGCGGCAGCGGTGCGCGAGAAGGACACGGCGGCAGTGGCCTCCAAGGCTGTGGCTTCAGCAGCACCAGGCCGTCGAATCGGTGTTGCTGTGAACCGGAAACCCACCTTGGGTGGTATCTTCAAGTCCTCCTTGATCGAATTGATGAATACGATCAACTCAACGGACGTGCACTACATCCGTTGTATCAAGCCTAACGAGGCCAAGGAGGCTTGGAAATTCGAGGGTCCCATGGTGCTCAGCCAGCTGCGGGCTTGTGGTGTCTTGGAGACGGTCCGCATCAGTACGGCTGGTTACCCGACTCGATGGACTTATGAGGAGTTTGCAATCCGCTACTACATGTTGTGTCACTCCTCGCAATGGACGTCTGAAATCCGAGACATGTGTCACGCCATCTTGCGCAAGGCTCTCGGCGACGCAAATCATCAGAAGCAGGACAAGTACCAGCTGGGTCTGACCAAGATCTTCTTCCGGGCCGGTATGCTGGCCTTCTTGGAGAACCTGCGCACCTCGCGATTGAACGAGTGTGCAATCATGATTCAGAAGAACTTGCGTTGCAAGTACTACCGTCGCCGATACTTGGAAGCTCGCGAATCCATTCTCACCACCCAAGCTTTCATTCGTGGATTCCTTGCTCGCCAAACTGCTCATGAGATTCGACGAAACAAGGCCGCCACGACCATCCAGCGAGTCTGGCGTGGATCGAAGGAGAGGAAGCACTACAACTTCATCCGAAAGAACATCATCCTTTCTCAGTCGGTGATGAAAGGTTTCCTTTGCCGACGCAACATCATGGAGACGATTAATGGCAACGCGGCCAAGGTAATTCAGCGCGCATTCCGCTCTTGGCGCCAAATCCGGGCGTGGCGCCAATACCGCCACCAGGTTACTATTGTGCAAAACCTGTGGAGAGGTATTCAAGCGCGTAAGGCGTACAAGGGTCTGCGTGAAGAGGCTCGCGATCTCAAGCAGATTTCTTACAAGCTTGAGAACAAGGTCGTTGAGCTTACTCAGATGGTTCAGTCCATGAAATTGGAGAACAAGTCTCTTGCCTCGCAACTGGAAAACTATGAGACTCAATTGAAGTCATGGCGTGCTCGACATAACGCGCTCGAGGCACGTGCCAAGGAACTTCAGGCTGAAGCCAACCAGGCTGGTATCACAGCCGCTCGCTTAGAAGCCGTAGAGGAGGAGTTGAGTAAGGTGAGCCAGGTGTCGGCAGAGTACCAAGCGAGCATCAAGCGCATGCAGGAGGAAGAGCGGGTCGGCCGCGAGAACCTGCGTCTTGCCACCGAAGAATTGGAGAAACTCAAACTCGCCAATACCGAAGCCGAGCAAGAGAGGAATGGATTGAAGCAACGAGTCGTGGAACTGGAAGAAGAGCTAGAGGTGGCCAAGCGGTCAGTGCCCCTGAACGGCGCTCACGCAGATGCTCTCAATGGCAATGCGGCCCAAGCGGCCCCCAGTGGGTTGATCAACCTCGTGTCGTCCAAGAAGCCCAAGCCTCAGCGACGCAGCGCGGGCGCAGAGAAGGTTGGCACCGTGGACCGCTTCAGCGGGGCGTACAATCCTCGACCGGTTTCAATGGCCATCACCGGATACAACGGGGCTCGCGCGGTGACGGCCTTTTCCCCGGGTCTGGACTCGGTGGAAGCGGAACTGGAACAGTTGTTGTCCGAAGAGGACGATCTCAACGACGAGGTGACCATGGGATTGATTCGTAACTTGAAGATTCCCTTGCCCAGCTCCAATCCACCGCCGACGGAGAAAGAGGTACTTTTCCCCGCGTATCTTATCAACCTTGTGACTTCTGAGATGTGGAACAACGGCTTTGTGAAAGAGTCCGAGCGATTCTTGGCCAATGTCATGCAATCCATCCAGCAAGAGGTTATGGAGCACGAGGGTGAGGATGCGATCAACCCGGGTGCTTTCTGGCTTTCCAACGTGCACGAAATGCTTTCCTTTGTCTTCCTGGCCGAAGATTGGTACGAGGCTCAAAAGACGGACAATTACGAGTATGATCGACTACTGGAGATTGTCAAGCACGATTTGGAAAGTCTTGAGTTCAACATCTACCACACGTGGATGAAGGTGTTGAAGAAGAAGCTGTACAAGATGATTGTTCCTGCGATTATCGAGTCGCAGTCTCTTCCTGGTTTCGTCACGAGCGAGACCAACCGTTTCCTTGGAAAGCTGTTACCGTCCAACAACAGCCCGGCTTACAGTATGGACAACCTGCTGAGCTTATTGAATGCGGCGTACCGGGCAATGAAGGCCTTCTATGTTGAAGACGCCATTATCTTGCAGACCGTCACTGAGTTGTTGAAGTTGGTTGGGGTCACTGCATTTAACGATCTGCTCATGCGACGAAACTTTTTGTCGTGGAAGCGTGGTCTGCAGATCAATTACAACATTACTCGGATTGAGGAGTGGTGTAAGAGCCACGATATGCCCGAGGGAACCTTGCAATTGGAGCACTTGATGGTATGTTGAACCCTATTTTTTCCCCCTTTTGTCAACAGGACAGACAACTCTTGTTCCGCAAATGTTTGCCCTTTTGTGTGCGGCCTGGTTCATCTTCGTTATCATGACTAACTTTGTATTATAGCAAGCCACCAAGCTGCTTCAGTTGAAGAAGGCCACTTTGAATGACATTGAAATCATTCAAGACATCTGCTGGATGTAAGTGATTCACTCCTTGATTTTGACAGTATAAAGCGGCCGCAAGCTTCTTGACTGACCCACCCCGCGCTGTGCAGGCTTTCTCCCAATCAAATTCAGAAGCTCCTGAACCAATATCTCGTGGCCGACTATGAACAGCCCATCAACGGCGAGATTATGAAGGCCGTTGCCTCTCGTGTCACGGAGAAGAGTGACGTTCTCCTTTTGACTCCCGTAGACTTGGAGGATAGTGGACCCTATGAGATCGCCGAGCCCCGTGTGATTACTGCCTTGGAGACTTATACTCCATCATGTAAGTGTCGTCTCGACCTTCTTCCACCCCCTTTCAACAACACCGGATTCTCTAGTATCCTCTCTCGACGTTCTCCCTTCTTTACCCACAAATCGCTAACCACACTTGTCTTTGTTTCAGGGCTCCAAACACCACGTCTGAAGCGTCTCGCCGAGATTGTCTCCGCGCAGGCCATCGCACAACAAGACAAACTCGCAATCGAAAATGGGGTCATGGAAGAGTAACAGGGACGCAGGTTGTTCATTGTAAATTAGACATGTCTTCTTCTTTCTTTTTTCTTTCGTTCGATCTTGATCTTTGAAAGATGATTCCTGTCAGCTACGGATTAACGACCAGTTGCGAGATTTCGCATCTCTTGTTTTTGTGTTTTTGTTTTCTCACCCCTTGATTCATCCTCCATCACCTCTGCATGATGTCTTTGAATGGAGTCATCTTCTTCTGCCAGTTCAGCTCGTTTTTGAGCTTTGCGACCAGTATGGAACCTGTTCGTTGGAGATACCTTGATGAACACTTTCTTTGTCCATCATCATTGTATGATGTGATCAAGCGTTGCGATGTGAAATATGATCTGATGATGCCTCTTCTTCCTTTTATTTCTGGGCTCACACTTGATCGAATGGATCTCGCACACGACAATGTAGTGCAGCATATAGACCTCCCATAGTCTTTAGAATGCTGAAAATCTAGCAGCACGTCCCTCAAGACATACAAAACCCCCGTTCCTGCTTGACATGATCTAAAGCCTCCCCAGACACCGGGCGGTGGAGGTGGAGTATGCGGGAAAGGAACGAATTACCAACCTCAATTGGATCCCAACCTTATCAATCCAACATAACTACTTCTTTTACTTCCCTTGCAGCTCTTCAACTCTTTGAATCCCTTCTTCTCGCCTCGACACAGGACCAGACAAGACCCTCCCCCCACCCCCTTCACGAACCGTCCACCATGCCCCTCACAAAGCTCAACTTCATCACCGGAAACAAAAACAAACTCGCCGAAGTGCGAGCCATCCTCGGCAACGTCATCGAAGTGGACAATCAAGCCGTCGATGTCCCCGAGATCCAAGGCAGCATCGAAGAGATTGCAAAGGAGAAGGCGAGACGGGCCGCCGAAGCAGTAAGTAGTCTTGAGCGACAAATGACATTGTTTGAGATTGTATAAATCTACAGGATGAAGAAGAGAGAGAGACTAACGCATCGCCAGATCAACGGCCCCGCTTTGACGGAGGACACGGCGCTTGAATTCGATGCGTTGAAGGGATTACCCGGGCCTTATATGTAAGTGAAGAGAATTTCTTCAGCGCCTGTTCAGGGCTACTATCTTCCTCTTCTGTACAGTGCTATACGCCCGTGGAAGTGGGCAGAGATCAGTGTCCATGCATGGATTCCAAGCTCCAACTAACGCGTATCCAACCGCTTACCTAGCAAAACATTCATGGAGTCCCTCGGCCACGAAGGTCTGAATAAGATGCTCGATGGGTTTGAGGACCGCAGTGCTCAGGCGGTTTGCACTTTCGCATTTTGTCGGGGTCCGGGTGAGGAGCCGTTGATTTTCCAGGGTAGAACGGCGGTATGTATTGAATGTTTCTTTTTGGGAATTTGCTGCTTAAAAATATATGAGGGGTTGTTGGGTCGGGTCGGGGACTGTTTGAGAATACGTTTGTTGGCTAATGGTTACTTGTAGGGAACTATTGTTCGACCTCGAGGTCCGACCAATTTCGGTATGTGGCTGACTGGCTTTTTCCCCCTTCTTGAATCCTGGTACATGTTGAAGTGCTCTCAAAAAGTCCATCAACAGTGATGATGACGATGACGATGACGGTCATGGACTCGGCAAGTGCCAAGCGCGTGACTAACCCTTCACTGCGCAGGCTGGGATCCCATCTTCGAGTACGAGGGCCAGACATATGCCGAGATGGACAAAGAAGCAAAGGTGAGCTCCCACGGCAGACTAGACAAAGTCCTCAGATAGACACCGGATATTGCTCACCCATCTTTCCAGAACAAAATCTCCCACCGGTACAAGGCACTCGTCAAGCTCCAGCAATGGTTGGCAGAGGGTCAGCACTGAGCTGAGCAGGCAGCAGTCAGCGCTGGACTGGCCTAGTTCGCGTGGACTCGGAAGAGGAACAGCGACATCGAGAAGAAAAATTTGGGTATATACATAGATCTCTTGGGTAGGCCAACAATAAACAAGGATTCAATGTCGCAAATCCACTCCAGCTTGATATCCAATGCGCAAGGAATGACATGAACATGGTGAGAAAACACACCCACCTGAGTAGATTTTGACACGCGCTTTTTTTTTACCACGATGCAGTAGATATCACTCTTCATCACCCTCCGCATGCTCCTTTTTCCAATTCTCGATCCATTCGGCGATCCGCGCACAATTACTATCGACATCGCCGTCCTTTTCACTGTTCAATTCGACGACAATTTCCTCATCGTATGCTTCGCGTGCTTCTTCTAGCAGAACGCCGAAGATTTCTGCGTCGAGGTTCTCTTGGAGTTTTTCCTCGTGATATCCTCTGCGAAAGATGGGAAAAAGTATACGTGTTAGAATGAGTGGAGCGATATACGGATAACCATCCAAAGACAGACCACAGCGCAGTCAATAACAAGACCAGGAGATCTTCAGACATACCTTGAGCTTAATCGATCATATAGCAAGGACGTCTCGGGACACCGCACAACAACAACCAGATCAATCCATGACTTGGGGAACAGATCGCAGGCATGCCAATCAATCAGGTAGCCACCTTGGAGCACTTCGTCTTCGATCGCGTCGAGCAGCTAAACAAGAGAAAAGAAGAGAAGATGTTAGCGCAAGAAAAAAGAAATGTGGCAAAGGAACGAGTTCGACATTGACAAAAAGCCGCAGTGGCCAGTACGAAGCTTGCCCGGCTTTGCGCGCGCACGACCACGACCACGACCACGACCACGACCACGACCACGTCTCTCTATACCCCTTCGTGATTGCGCGCATCGCATAGCCTGAAAGATGACCATGGCGATGACAGCAACGGTAGCAGCGACATCGATAACGACCGCGGAAGCCAGCGCATCGCAACCGGAGCTCAAAGCGAAGCAAAACAACCATCCATACCTTATCCTCATCAACGACCCAACTCTTGCGCTCCTCATCATATTCATCAAAACAGTCGCGCTCCTTGGCGATCTGGTTCACGCTCAAGTGTTTTAGCCCGGTGTCCTGGGCAAGTTGTTCGCAGTGGACGGTTTTACCGACGCCGGGGGTGCCGGTGATGATGATGTTGGGCGAGGTGCGCATTGTTTTGAATTGGCGCGTGGTTTGGTTTGCGGGACAAATGTGGACGTGTAAATAGCGAGTTCAAAGTGGACAGGTCGGGGAAGGAAGATATAAGATAAAGGAAGGGGGAGAGAGAGCGAATCCTCGTATATAGATCGAGTGTGATGAATTTCTAGATTGCGATGCTTTTCCCCGCGGATGGGAAATTATTTCGGATTATGTTTCGGCCGGGCCGCTTTATCTCTTATCGGTGGGTGGGGTATATTCTGATCGATGCGCTTCATAACTTCATTGTGGGGGGGCAATTGACTGATCTAGTGCTAGTTGGTATATTTGCAGCGATAGACAGTCTGGAGTATGATACGTAGTATTATTCATGGTGGATCTGGTAGTTGCAGCCGCGCAATGTCGGACTTACAAAGCGCGCTGGCTTATAGTCGTATCATCCGAAAGAGACAAGCACCAGTTGATATGGTTTCTAGTTTACTCAAGGGTGGTGATCAAGCGAGTGAAAAGAAGTCCTCTGGTACAACTTGTATCACACGGCAGTTCAATGCCTGAGCTCTGCAGCTCCTCAAGCTTCGAGCCTCTGTAATGTACATCGAGTTCGTTAGGTGCATCAATCAAACATGTCGGTGTCATCAAACATACTGTACGTTTACGTGACTAAGGTGATTCTTCATTTCGATCTCGCCTTGTCCGTCGTATCTTCCGGCACTGGGATCAATCTAACAAACAAGGATGAGCGACAATTCACACCGAGCATTCTCTCCTAGGTATGAACTTACTTTAAAATCTCAAACAGCTTGTATTTATGCAAGTACTTGTTTCCTCGGCGATACGCTTTGAGTAAACGAGATGCATTGACAGATTTCAATGAATTTGACGAGGCACCTATTAGGCGTTGGACGGCCGGAGAAGTCTTGAACATGGGGTCAAATACGAGTAAGTTCGCAGTCCCGTCGTCTCGAATCTCGAATCCAACAATGGTCATTGAGTGGCCTGACAATGGGGGGAAATTAGCATTCACCCAAGTCCGGAGAGGAGAGATTTCGCTCGTTCCGACAGACTGATCTTACCGTCGTGCTGAAAATATATGGGTGGCAGATCGGTCTGGAAGACCTTGATTGACTCGTCGTCAACAGGGCAGGCAGCACGGAAATAATTGGCAATTTCCATGTACAGTTGATCGTGGGCGGGTATTGTCTCGCTCGAAGCGATACTGCTGGCATCACATCTGTATGATCACACACATTCAAGATCAGTATCTTTGTCTTTGCTGAAAAAGCTTGAAGGAGAACACCTACGGAATTCCGAGGCTCTGGAATAGAGCTTGCGCCTAGATAGTTGCACCGGCATGTCAGCCAATGTCGCTTTCTGTCAACGGACGCCTTGCTCTTTCATCTTCGTTTCCACTCACTTCTGGAGTCCCAATGAACTTTCTTGTTCCCTTGATGCCACCCGTCTCCGTTCTCCCGGTACTGTTGAAGCCCATATCCCATGCTTGTTCAATCATGTCCTGCAGGTCAAGTATTGAGGGGATGCCATGAGGAAAATGTGAATGGCCATAAGCTTGTGTTTTTGTGATATACGACACCAGCATCTGGATGTTTCGATAGCCGCAGAACCCACCCTCGCGGGAGAGTTTGCAGATATGCCGCACCTTGGTATTGCACAGAAACGCACGCTGACAGGTTGCATCTTGCTCGCAGAGCTTCGCAATGATTGGAATGAGTTTGTCGGTCTCATTCTCCACGGTGGTCTGCCGTGCGAGTTTGCCATCGGAGGTGATGTGAGTCTGCTTCGAAGTTCGACCGCCCTTTTCAAGCATGTGTTTGAGCCATGAGGGCATTTTCTTTTCATGGGCATGAGGGCCCAGTTCCGCGCGCTGTAGGAGAGTGTTAATTCCTATTGTGCGTGAGAGCATGCAGCGACGAAAGAATGTGAGAAGAGAAGAGAAGAGAAGAGAAGAGAAGAGAAGAGAAGAGAAGAAAAATGACTCACTCCAAGTCTTATTGCACCGTCTTCTCCTCGGATGCGTGGCGGACTTTTGGCTCTGGTAGGTTTGGCGACATTATGGCTTCGGGCCATATTCCGCCCCGAGCCACGCTTGCCCCCTTCTAAAGCTCCCTGGAGATCCAGTTGGTCTTCATGTTTAAGTGGCATATCATACATATCAGAATTCGCAGAGTCATCCGCGACCACAGGGATGGAATCCGCATCAGCATCTTCAAAAGCAATCCCTTCTGCAAGGTGAAGATCCAAATGGGTGGACAACTCAGCAGTGGTGACTGTCTCGCCGCAACCATGCGGACAGTCAACATATTTCTCTGCTGGGTCTTCAGATAGTGCTCGCGGTAGAGGAGAGCGCGAGCGTGATCCCATATCTTCCCATGCATTCAGTTCTGAAGAATGCAATGGTGTTTGCCAGTCGCCATTCTCTGGGTGGCAATGGTCAATGTGCATTTGCAGAAAGCTGGCGTCCGTGTCGGAGAATGAACAGAAGGGACATGATAATGTTTGGGGTTGATTCATGGTCTCGGCGTCTGGAAGTCGTCGTACCGTTCCAATATAAGTCGTTTCTTGAAGCGCTGTGCAAGACGAACCCAACGGGCACGTAGGCGTGTGCTATTAGGTTGAAGCGGCCCGCTTGGTTGGTGAAGTCTGAGAATCGGAGAATCGGGATGTTACGCAAGCGTTGAAACAATGTTACCCGGTTGACTACAAACGTCGTCGACCAAGTCGCTGCCCTGGTATTCTTCTCGCAATATTTGCACTGGCGATCACACGCCAGTATACTTGGAGATGTGGCCGTGGTGATCGGGAGTGTATTTTCGGGTCTCTCCCACTGATCGGTGCCTGAAAAGTAGTAGTGTGGCAGGAGGCCAAGACCCACATGAGAACCGTAAGTGAAGTACCTCTCCGGGACTCGTTGTACTGTCGCTCAGAGCCTCAGAGTCACCACCGAGGCCGATATTGAACCAGACTGACCGGCGGCCTGTCAGTCACGGGTACAGGCTAGCCAAGTACACAATCTACACATCAGGACAGCGTTTCTCAGCTGCTGAGAGTGACAAGTACTAGTAGTAGTACCACGATATATGATTCTTACTGAGTCCTGACTCGACCATTCAGGTATGACTCAGTCTTTCTCCGTAACCTGGGATGCCAGTGTATGGGAATGTGAGACAGGACGTACTCTACTTATCCCAGCTCTGTGAGATGAGGACTCGTCTTTGCTCGACATTCAGACAAAGGACCTTCGAGCCTCGAACGCATGGGTTTTATGATAGTCCAAAATTAGAGTTCGAAGAGGCATGGACTCTGTACGACTCGAACAAGCGCTTGATTTGATCTCAATCAAGGTACAGCAAAGTCTTTTTCTGGATATATGGCTGGTACACAGAATCGTCCAGACGCAGATGCTTCGAGAGAGTCCACCAGTGCAATCAAACACAATGGAACATTGAGGCAAGGGAATCTCTCAGATCGCGAAGTCCGGCGTGTTTCCAAGTCTCCAGCAGGACTCGTATCTAGCGCCGTGGAGTGTGACTGGACTAGCTGAACTGGCCACCAGTTTGATGCGAAGGTGGTCTTGATGGATCATTGTGCTGATTGACTGTCGCAGATTGTGGAGGCCCCATAACTTGAACCCACCTCATCCCTCGTACTCAATAGTGCCATGGACCAGGCAATTCTTCGCATAGTGAGGGATTATCCTAACCAGCTGCAGGAGACATAGTCAAGGACACTCATGCCGAAGATATTCGGTTCACGGGCTCTTAGTTGCTACGATTTGGTAGATCCTTGTGACGGCTCATACATAATGTGATAGACAGCGTTGATCTCAGCCAGCCACCAGCCAGCTTCATTTGCCCGTCGATCCTACCCTTGTGCTGGGGCGAGTTGGTAATGTCAAGTCAGTGATTCTCCAGAGTCGGTGTGCTCGTATCAAAAGGAGTGATTGACAGAAGATGCATCTGGAGATGTTTATTTGATTGCGGCGGGATGGAAACAGTATTGGTCTCAGGGTGTTCAAGTTCGTCTTCTCTGGGTGACCATCATGTGAGCTGTACACTATCTAGTTAGGTATCTACCATCTAGTACTTCGTTTCTTCTCAACTTCCGTCCATGGCTTTGACAGGTCTTTGGCACCGTGTTAGAATCGCAAGGCGAGCTCCCGGATGTAGGCCAATATGACATGAGCCATGTTACACATAGCCTGCTACATATGCAGCAGCCACCAGCTGTACACTGCACGACTGTGATCCATGTCGGTCGACAGCCTTGTACTGCTTGACATTTGTGCATCCCCAAGTCTTTTGTTTGGCCGCATCGAGGCGCGTACAGATGGTTGTACTACGTAGATATGCAGGAAGAAGTCGGTGAGAGAAGGATCGTCCATGGGTTCAAGATGGTGGTCCATCCGCCGTCAACCCCATCCCGCACGATGGAGCCGATGCGTCATCTCTGCCCGTGTCTTTCTCCCGGTGCTTACCACGCTTGATTTTGCTCACTTTGCATTCCGGGTTGCTGCTTATCGAACGGGCCGATTGCGTGATTGTCCGCGTTGATGGCCATTGGACAATTCCTCGTGGCGGTGACGCGATGGCGGGGTACCCTCCGACTTCGCGAGGCGGTTCTGCCGGCAGTATGGGGCGGAGAGTCCTGGAAATGACCGAACTCGAGACCGAGAGATCATAAAAAAGTTGAGTCACCGCAGCCAAAGAGGGCCCGCAGTAAAAAAGAAGCCCAGCGCCGCAGCCGGCCCACTACTCCGCTTTCGCTTTCCCCTCCCCCAAGTCTCTTTTCTTTCTTTGATTGTTTGACTCATTTGGCTTTCATTCTTGAGACCGTTGATTTTCTTCTTGCGCAAGAGTTCCCCCGTTGAGCGACCGTTTCTGGCAATGAATTTTTCACAATCCAACGGCGTGGCCAATGGTGCCAATGGTGCCAATGGTGCCGTACACAGCAACTGGGTTGTACAAAAATTTGGAGGTACCAGTGTCGGCAAGTTTGCCAGAAACATCATCGAGCAGGTGATTCAGTATGTTGACCGATCAATCCTCACACCCCTTCCAATACGCAATGGCCCATATCTATGTGAGAAAGTTGCGTGAAGGGTATGGCGAACGGGACATCTCGAGTCATGCAGCTAACCGATCGATCTTCCATTGTGAACCAGACCAAGCCTGGTCGACAACAGAGTTGCTGTAGTATGCTCCGCCAGAAGCAGTTCCACCAAAACAGAGGGCACCACGAACCGGTGAGTCATCCCAGCCTCGGGAGGCACTTGAACTCGCACCAGGGGGTCGTTTCCCGTTCCCACGACTCTACCGACCTCTGATGCAGCCGAACTCTGTCTAACGTCCCTCTTCAATCGCTGGTCTAGGTTACTACGGGCAGCTCGAGATGCCGAGATTCCCGATTCCCAACAATATTTCACGTTTGTCGAAGCCGTTCGCTCAGAGCATATTCAGGTGGTGCAGACCGAGATCGTGTGCCCGGAACTACAGGAGCAGGTCATTGCCGACATCAACACGGAATGCGCAAAGGTGTTGAAGGTGCTCGAGGCCGCACAGACCCTGGGAGAGATCAGCGCACGATGCGTGGACAAGGTGATGAGTGCGGGCGAGAAGTTGAGCTGTCGACTCATGGCGGCCTTCTTGCAGGACCGGGGAGTCGACTCCCAATATGTGGATCTGGCGGAGGTGATCGATTTCCCCATCGGACCCAATGGCTTGGACCAGGACTTTTATAACTCCCTGGCGGCTGCTCTGGGCAAGTTGGTTGCGGAGTGTGAGCACCGAGTCCCCGTGATCACCGGATACTTTGGTACCGTCCCCGGTGGCCTGCTGGATCAGGTCGGCCGTGGCTATACCGATCTGTGTGCCGCTCTCGTCGCCGTGGGTACGCACGCCAAGGAATTGCAGGTGTGGAAGGAAGTGGATGGAATCTTCACGGCCGATCCGCGCAAGGTTCCGACAGCCCGCTTGCTGCCGACCATCACCCCGGCCGAAGCCGCCGAATTGACCTTTTACGGATCCGAGGTCATTCACCCCTTCACCATGGAGCAAGTCATCCGCGCCAAGATCCCCATCCGGATCAAGAACGTGATGAACCCCAAGAACCGCGGCACGGTGATCTTCCCGGATTCCACCGCCGAGTTGGACCGCGACACACCAGGCCACGACCCTCGTCTGTTCCGCACCCGCAGTCCCAGCTTGATGCAAAAGCCCAAGCGGCCGACGGCGGTGACCATCAAACACAAGATCCTCGTGATCAACGTCCACTCCAACAAGCGGTCCCTGTCACATGGGTTCTTTGCGGGCATCTTCTCGATTCTGGACAAGTGGCGTTTGTCGATCGACCTGATCTCGACGAGTGAAGTCCACGTCTCCATGGCGCTTCACTCGGAGTTGCCCCTGCTGAATGGAACTGGCCGTGACGATTACCAAGTCATTGATGACTCTCTCAAAGGCGCGTTGAATGACTTGACCAAATTTGGCACGGTCGATATTATTCCCGATATGGCCATTCTCAGCCTGGTCGGCAAGCAGATGAAGAATATGATCGGAGTGGCCGGACGTATGTTTACCACGTTGGGGGAGAATCATGTGAATATTGAGATGATCTCTCAAGGTAAGACACTTTTTCCTCGCCAGTCGCTTTGACATTTCGAGAATATTCATTTTCTTTCCCTTAACCCCCCCCCCCCCCCCCCTCCGGCCCTTTTCCTTTTTCTCGCCCCTTCTCCGCTCCCTTGCAAGATGCAGATGGTGGCCTCCCTTGAATGTCGAGACTCGACAGTTGACTGACGCGTGGGCCTTTGGCCTTTTTTTTTTCTTACAGGTGCCAGTGAAATCAACATCTCCTGTGTCATCGAAGAGCGTGACGCCGACCGTGCCTTGAACATCATCCATACTAGTATGTTCACTTTCCTCGAGTAGAGGACGGAGGAAGAAGAAAGAAGACGGAAAAGTATTTGACTTGTCGTTTGAGATATCCCCGACTTGTTTTGAGAATTTTTTTTGGTGGTTCGGTTGATCTCTGTGCTTCTCCCTCTTATCCTGCGCAGTACCTTTTCGATGACTTGCTTTTCCCTGATAGAGAAAAGTTCTTTATTGTGCTTTTGGTCTTGTTTTGAGTTTCGCTTTTTGCATCCATCCTGAGTGATTTTCAACGAAGATCTCGGGATGCCCACTTGAGCATGATCCTTTATTTGGCAGGCGGCTTCCTTTTCTTCTTTTTCCCCCCTATCTGTTTTTCCTTTTTTTATTGCATGTGGCGGTTCGGTGGCGTTTGCTTTTTGATCTCTGTCAGAGTGCAATTGTGTTCACTCTTTGACTCCTACTGTTTAATTAGACTTTGTGGTTTGACGAGCGAGTGTGCCGTCTCACGATGGAGACGCGGTGAGATTGAGTGGCGTGTGGCGTGTGGCGTGATGACGAACGGGGAAGGAAAGGCGAGATGCATTCCATCCATCTTGCTACATTCGTCTTTGTGCGTCTTCGCTCACTCCAGATGAAACAGGAGTATGTATCTCCAGCTTCACCGCATGATGTACATGAAATGAGAATGAAATTCAACATGAGCAATAGAAAGAGAAAGAGAAAGAGAAAAAGGAAGCGCGGCATCGATCCGGATGTCTTTTATCATCGTTTCTATGATATGATGGAAGACCGAGCATCAACAGGCACCTCAGTAGCGTAACATGTGCATCGATGGGATTAGACCCGACTCACTCTTCGAGAGTCGGGGAAGTCTATCACACGATTTCGAGTCATAGGTCGGTATATACGTAAGCAACACTGTCGATGAGGTCAATCTTGATGAGGTTGTTTCCAACTCGACTCTCAAGAACCAGGCACCAATCAATCAATATATCCAGTATGCTTGTACTATCACTTCACAGTGTATACATTATACACTGAACACTGTCAGAGAAAAGGACTTACTTTCGAGAAATGGAAATTCTACTACAGTAGTTGCAGATACGCCATAGTTATGACCGGGCAGATAAGGTTGCAGCATAACACCAACGTAGGTAGATCATCCGGACAGTGTCATTACCAGACTCGAGCTAATCGTTGCATAATCACATCTGTATATAATGACCCTAGAAGCTCTGAGATGCACGGTCTATGAACATTCTGTATATCAATTAAGTTAGGAGTGAGTACATGACTAGGTAGTAGTGCATGAGTAAGGTGAGTCTTAAACCAGTAAGTAATCCCTAACTCAGTATCCTCCATTATTCGTACCTTTTCCGCAAGAACCCCAAAAGTCCCTGCAGCTGCAGTTTATCGAATACGAGCCCCGGCCCGTCCTTTGCGTAAGATCTGGGATATGCAATTCACATGCATGCATGCACAGCATCTTGGAGCCGGGGAGGGAACAACAACTCCAACCTATGAAAAGGTGTTCTTGCTTGCGATCGGGTAGGCTAGCTAGTCGACTCGCCAGTAACTTCAGTCCGGGAGTCCTGACCCGTGTGAACACCAGTGCTGTTATATCTTGGGACTTGGATTTGTACCTTCACTTTAAACCTTGCCTTGATAGATCGATACAGTGTGTACCTTTACCCCGGTGAGCCGGTCCTGCCCAGCCACGGTCCTTGGTGGCAAGGTACTTCTAAGCAATACATGTACATTGTACAGAGTACAGACTACAGTGAAAAGCGAACACTGTACAGTAACGCAGTAGATTCTCTTCCTGCCACAACCCTCGCCTAAGCTTAAGTGCTGTCGAATCGTAGATAGCCCTTAGGAACAGTGCCGAGTGTCCAGTGCGTACTACGTAAGGTAGTACATAGTAGTCATACGCTCCACAGCCTCCATTCCAATAGCCGTACATCCCCGTCCGTTTTTTGTTTCAGTCCAGTCCGAGCCTGGACGCGGGCGGGGCAGACGTCTACACGGACATGCACGGTTGATCTTCCGCGGGTTAGTGGTGCAGTAGTCCAGTACTGCTCGACCTACAGTAGTACCTTGGCCGTGAAAGTAATATTTTACCAGCGAGTACTGTACATTCCTCCTCCTTATCCAGATTGTCGGGATCCAAAAAAAAAAAAAAAAAAAAAAAAAAAAAAAAGCGGGAGTGACTGCGCTGGGCTTAGTTGTTGTGAGTTTTATTCACGGATCTTGAGATCGTCAGGTCCTCGTTGCATGGGGTATATATAGTTACATAGCTGTTTGATTTTCTGAATGTGTTCTTCATGTGTGGATTAGTAGGTACTTAACAGGCTAGGACTAGATATCGGCACCCCGAGCAGCGACATTTATAATGGACAGACGTGTAAGGTCTTGACCGTCTTTAAGACCTTGTAGACTGGGCTCCGTCCACGCTAGGTACATTCCACATCTAATTTATCACGCTCACTTTATAGTGTATAACATGAAACTGTATGATATCTAGTATGTACTTTAAGATATAATGATCATGCTTTATGCTATATACCGTAGGATGAAGGTTCGACTCCTCCCGTCCCAGATCCCGAGTCCCGAATGCCGAATCCAAAAACGCGGTCATTTGTCTCTCTCCCTTACACTTACAGTAGAAGACCCTGTAGAACCACAATAGAGTCTCCTATGGAATTGTGTACTGTGTGAAACTAAACTAGAGTCTCACGGGCTCTGACCAGTCGCGACTCGCCACACCCTATTCCCAATGTTGAATGTGCACTGTCCTATCCCCATCGACCTGGGGAATTAGTCAAGACCTAAGCCTAGCGCAGTCAGGCTTAGGTCCATGGGGCTCTCGTGTGCCGGAGGAGGGATAGAAACTAGAAAGGGCGAGCGGCGAGCAGTGAGCCATGACTCTCGACCCTCGAGCAAGGGATGGGGAAGGGGGTTTCCGCCTTTTTACTGTTCCGTCTGCATTTTACGCCCATTTTTACCTTTTTGCTTACATTCTCGGGATATGCAGTACTCGTGTACGTGGTCTAGGAAAAGGGGCAAGGAGGGAAGGATGGAAAGGCTGGGCTGGGCGAGGCTGAGAGAGGAGGTGGATAGTGGATGATGGAGAGAGTTAGTCTATGAATATAAGGATGGGGTAAATGTTGCTCCTTTGTGGAGGCAAGGGTACCAAGGTATAGGACCACAGTCTAACTTGGAAGATTGCAGACTGCAGACCATGGAGTACGAAAGACTGACTGAGATTGGAGGATGAGGGAGAGTCAGTATCTAGGGCACCTGGGACAGACGGGGGGAGATGGTAGATCGAATAGTGGATGGTAGATACTAGATGGTAGATACTAGATGGTAGATACTAGATGGTAGATACCAGATGGTAGATACTAGATGGTAGATACTAGATGGTAGATACTAGATGGTAGAAAGTAAATACTAAATACTGAATACTACCTCTCTACAACAAATGTGCCAGATCTCGACAATCGATACGGTACCTGTGTACCATGAAATGATAAGAAGCTGAACCTCTCATGATTCGAGCTCGGACATTACGGACTGGCTTGAGTCGGCAGTCTCTCTGATAGGAGTTAGGACCAGTACAGTAATCCTAGTCAGAAGGTTCCTTGATCATAGACGGAAAATGTTGACCCGTCTAGAACTTAGAAGCAATCGCTCATTACGCAAGTTACTACTTAGTACTTACTACTTAGTACTTACTACTTAGTACTTACTACTTACTACTTAGTACTTACTACTTAGTACTTACTACTTAGTACTTACTACTTAGTACTTACTACTTAGTACTTACTACCTACTTGGTCTTACACTCTTAACGTACCCAAATTGATAAAATGATCAATTGATAAAATGATCAATTGATAAAATGATCACTTGATAAAATGATCACTTGATAAAATGATCAATTGATAAGAATAGAAATCTCAATTCTGGAAGTAATCTCCCGCAAATCAAGGCTCCAGAGAATGGCAGAGATCGGAAACCATCGAACCGGGAAAAACCCAACAGACATGCGCAACGGGACACGGGCGCCTGAGACAGCGAGAGAGACCGAGACTGCAAAGGCAGAGTCACAAGGGTTCTAAGTCCTGGATGGGATCCAAAAACTCACCACAGTGGCAAGTTCGCACACTCGGTGGTGCGCGGGACGTGGACGCCGGACGGACATGAAAAACTGGGAGATCTGTGACATGGATGATGTCATTGATGTTGAATCCCGGCAGATGTGGGGGGGGGGGGGTTGCGGCGGGACTGGAGCTGGAGCTGGAGCTGGAGCTGATGGGGTCTGGCCTTGGGAGGTTGGAAGCTTCCAGTACTACCGGTACCACACTCTTGCTGTAGAGTCTTCCAGGCTAATTCATGCCACCGTTGATGAAGGCCGGGAGGGGATGGTGATTCGGCCGTCGGACAACGTGTTACATGGCGTTGATCGCTATACTCCTACAGTTGTCTCTCAGCCACGACAATCCGGGATAAAAAGCAATCTCATGCATGGGGATGATCCCCGATCGACTGGATGGAACAAGTACCCGCAGGACTTGTGCGCAATACCTGCTACTGAGCGCGACCTTGTACAATGGTTGGATCAAGAGAGTGGGATAGTGCGGGACTGTCTTGATTACTACTACTTCAGCTGCTAGTCTTCTACTCTTCTAGTACGATTCACTGAAGTTCTAGTAATCAGTATCCACTGTCCACGACCTCCATACCAACTTAGAGTTTATCCAAGCCCAGAACCCGGTTTGAGGAACCCCTCTCAGTTCTCGAGAGTCTCCAGTCCCGACTTGGCTGGTCCGAGATTTTTCCAACGGGCAGAGAGTAGAGCAGAGAGTAGAGCAGAGAGTAGAGCAGAGAGTAGAGCAGAGACTAGAGCAGAGAGTAGAGCAGAGAGTAAAGGACCATATCGGCATATCCAGTACTGGTTTCCAGACTCTGCATGTCCTCTCTCCAACCCTCTCCCACCATGTGACAGTTGTGAAAGTGACGCAAAGTAATCGCAAAATCCGAACGAATCGGGCAATTCTACTATCCAATTCTGGGTGCGCGTTCCTAGATACATAGAGTATAAGGTACCTGGTGTGCTCGAAGCACTTATACAGTCTGTACCTTACCTTGCCTGCCTAATCGCCTACCGTCCCGGGGTCCGGGTCGGGTGCCTTGCACATGCTTCGTGGGGAGGGGAAACGGTTGGGTGAACCGGCGCCACCACACCACTCTTCTTGGCACTCTGGAGTCGGAACCCACGGATTGGATTCAGGTACCCGGGCGGCCATGTAGGGATCGAGGGGATTTTGTACGTGTTTGAAAGTGGTGGGTGAGGATAAAAAGGGAGGGGTACAGTCTTGACTATGGAGTAGTAGTCGGATGATAGGATCGTAGGATGTTTGACGTCGTATAGACTGCAGTAGTGCAGTACTGCAGTGCAATACAGGTGGGAGTCGGGGACATTCGACCCTTGGCGGCGAAATAGTCGTCTTTTCCAAGGCGAGGGATAGCACTAGTTAGTCAGTCAGTTAACTAGTTAACATAACTAGTTAAGTTAAGTGCTACATGGATGACTAAACAGGGAAGACGAAGACGGGAGGGCTCGAGTGGGTCAGGTCAACTCGAGGCTGAACGGTCAAGCTTGGTACCGTACTGCAGGTGGGAGGCCGAGAGATGGCCTTCTCGGGCGGGACTGCTGGTACTGATCGTGCTACGACTAACTGGCCAAGTGCTCAGTAACAAGTGACAAGTACATTCTGAAGGATGAACAGTGGTCTGGGCCTGAGGTGAGGAGCTCGAGTCTAGTAAAAGAGTTCTAGATAATAGATCTCCTGCAGTATGTGCCTTGTCTACATACCTACAGGCTACCAGTGCCTCCCTAGTCATAAGCTAGTTGTAGTACAATAAGTGCAAATAATGGCACTCCCACCAATCCCACAAGCAGAGCGGAAATCTTCAAGTGATGCGGATCCAGAGTGGACAGAGGATCGACAAATGGGTAAATCTTCAGACTAAGATCGTAGATGAGGAGATGATGAGATGGAACTAGTAATGGTGTACCTATGTGCCCACTGCCCACTGCCCACTGTCGGCGTCCAGTGCCCGGCGTGCCCGGCGTGCCGTGTCCCACTGCGATTCCGATAGAATCATGAATCGATCGTCATCGGAGCTGCCAGGTGAATACCCCTTCCGATACGGGACCGCGACACTCTGGATGAACGGAGAGCGAGAGAGAGTTGGGAACTGGGGGCATGATGGTACTTCATCATCTACACCCTCAGTACACTCCACATTCTCGGTTTGACTTGACCGGTTTACCGTGGAATCAAGCACATTGGCACACAACGTGCTCAACAAGTGTGCCACTGTACTGGATGAACCACCGATCCGTCATAGACTAGCGAAGGATACTCCAGAAACATTGGAATGTAGCGCAATAAAGCCATACACCTCCGTACATTCGGAGGATCTATTCCATGACCATGACAGTCATGGCAAAAGTATATACTCCATAGTCTATGACACGTAGTAGAACCATAGTATAACCATAGTATAGCTACAGTATAACTATACTATAGCTATAGTATACCTATAGTATATAGTCAATAGACTTGTGCATATCCAATCCATCGTGCCCGCAGGTCCGCAGCGTGGTCGAGAGCGTACAAGAGTGCCCAGTGAGAGACTGCGATTCGGGCGGACAGCCAGACTTCCGATCACACTCCAAGTGGATCCTCCGTCCAGCTGCAGGGCCATCACTCTGGTGTGCCGGACGGGCGTACGAGTGGATGGAGGCGTGGACATCGGACCATGGACGCAGGTTCCTGTGGTCCCCATTCAAGCGTCCCCATTCAAGCGTGCAAGCGTGCAACGGGACGTCGAAGACTCATAGGGACTCGAAGAGTCACGGATAAGAAAAGGTCCTTCGGGAAATAAAATTAGGGAAACTGGAACCAGCTGTCAAGAAGAACAAAGAAATCAGTCACACAGGGCCAAGACAAGACCAGTGAAGAACGTAGAGGCATGCAAATCACGAATCAACCTCAAGTCCACCAGTCCACATAACTTGATCACAGGACGATAATCCATTCAAATTCACCCTTGAGAGTCAATGATGGATTATTCCTTTTTTGGAATATTCTCTTTGTCCCTTTCAAAGACCTTTCAGCCGGTTTAGCTCGACTCCACCCGCCGTTGAGAACCAGTCGGCTTCGTGGATCGACGCCTGATGAATGCCTGCGAGCAAGGAGCGCCAATCCCTTCATACGTCGTCCAAACACAGGTACCGTCACATGTGACGAGATGAAAACCACCCGTTCCGCCACGAGGACGCGTCCTCCAGACGCGTCCATACACCCTGAATACATTCTGACCATACCGGCACATACCAAGCATACAGGGCCATCCAGGATCTGGACCGCCCAGAAGTGGTCAAGCCATCAAATCTGTCCTCCTCCACCGATTCCACTTTTTATTTTCATCAACTACGGTCCCCCACTTCCACTTCCCAAAAAGGATCCCTCAATCCATCTTCCCTTTTCATAACTGCACCGTTGGAACACTCCCTCACAAGGAAGGGAAAAAAAAAAGGAAGAAAAGAAAAGTACTTGAACAAAAAGAGAGAAAGCAAAAACGAGGACAGGCTCGTTTCGAGAACAAGGAGAACGGAGAAAAAAAGAAAAAGAGAGAGACAAAAAGGACGTCGGTTCCAGATTTCCCAAAAGGAACATCGAACGACAAAGTCTCTCCATCTCCATCTTCATCCATCCCAGGCGCCTTGACTTGCTTCACTACTTTTCTCATCCTGCCACAGCCTCGGTTTTGTCCATCTGTCCATTTGACTGGCTCGACCGGTCTCGTACAAAGTTCCATCACTGATAGTAGTGACGACGGAGTGTTCTCACTCTCCCACTCTCCCACTCTCCCACCCATCGCTTCACTCGGTACCCGAGTACCAGTACACTGACACACATCACTTCGAGACCGCCGTGTACACCAACACTTGCACCTTCAAGTCCTGCGGCATCTGCACACTTTGCATCCATCGCAATCTGGTCACCGTCAAACACCCCATCCTCGTTAGAACACGCAAGTCTCTCTCGCGCGCGCATCGTCAAGTCGCAATCCAATCCCTTGACAGGATCGACCCATCACCAGGATTCAAGCGGCTCTGGATCAGCATCCATCTCGTGGAGATTCCCACTTGGCCGCCTCCGTCCCCCGCTGATTCGCCTTTCCACGGCGGACGTGTCGATTCTTAGCGCCTGGTGGCCCAACGCTGACCCTCCATACAATCGACCTGGTGCCCTCCACTACGGGACCGCCCAAACCCGATCGACTTTGTACCGTCCCAGAAAGACGAGATATCGAGACCAACCAAAACACGAAAAGGAAAAGAGAAGGAATCACCCAGACTCTAATTCCACTCCAGCGTTCCACTCCCTCTCTGCGTCCGACCACACCTTCTTGTGTAACGACTCCTTCACATTCGAACACAGCCGTCCGTTGGGCAACAACCCAACCCGACCGTCGGCTGAGTTCACCCACGCCCGCGCCATTCCCCCCCCCCCCCCCCCCCTCCACCCCAAAAGGTTTGGTGCTATTCGGATTCCCGCCCGTTGCGACTTCGACTTTTGGCTCTTCCTCGTCGCGCCGCCTGCGCGTTCCCCATCTCCCACGTCGGACCTCGTTTGATCCCGGTATTGACCTGACGCGTCATAGGATCACTCGGTGCTCATAGTGTGGTCTAATTTCACGTCTGCGACCTGTGATACCATGGATTCGACGCGTCCAATGCTCCCTGCTTACACCACCTATGCCCCGGCCTTGGGTTCAGCTGCCCAAGCCGCGATGACATCTCAGCCCCATCTACACCCCTCACCGCTACCACCAACACAACCACCCATGATGGAGAATCGACTGCTTCCTCCCTCCAACACGCACAGGCCATCATCGACCATTGGATTGGTGTCGCAAGGCGCATCCGCCGAGCAGAAACTCGGCTTCGTGCCCATCACTGCGCCAAACCCTCCTCTGTTCACCACCGACTCGCCGGCCAAAAAGTCCTCCTATCCCAACTTTGCGCAGTCCTCCATGCCTCATCAGACCGCTCTCTTCACCACTTTTTCCAGTGCCACTGCCACCGTAAGCTCCAAGCAGACGCAACGTGCGGATGACTCCGAGCACGGTAGCTTCGCCGATTTTCCGCCACCAGCGTATGAAGCCAAGGCGCCCTTGAAGCGCAAGCTGATGGACGCGGCGCCTCTGCGAGAGGGTCCCGTCAAGCGACCCAAGTCCGATGATGCGTCGACCACCCGACTGTCTGAATCGCACCAGATGCCCACCATCGAGGACGACGGCACCAAGCCGCCATACAGCTACGCGTCCCTCATTGGCATGGCCATCTTGCGCGCACCCAACCGACGATTGACCCTGGCGCAAATCTACAAGTGGATTTCCGACACCTTTTCCTACTACAAGAATGTCGATGCCGGCTGGCAGAACAGCATCCGCCACAACCTGAGCCTCAACAAGGCCTTCGACAAGCAGGAGCGACCCAAGGATGATCCTGGTAAGGGCAATTACTGGATCATCAAACCCGGCCATGAGGAGCCGTTCCAGAATCACAAGCAAGTTCGACGCGCCACCATGTCCAGTGTCCCGGTCCCTGCGGCTCCGCCGCGTGAACTGATCTCTCAGCCACCCAGCGCGACCACGACCACAACCTGGGTAGTCCCTCCTCCCCCTATGCGACAGCAACAACAACAACAACAACAACAACAACAACAGCAGCAGCAGCAGCAGCAGCAGCAGCAGCAACAAAGGCACCAGCAACCAGCGCAGCGGCAGCGACAGCCTTCCCATTTGCTGCCGCCGCCACCATCGGCACTCTCACAATCCAAGGCAGGCTCATTCCATGTCGTAGATCTGGATTCGGATGCCACGTTGCCAGCATCAGACCCTGCATTGCAGGAAGATACCGGAGACGAAGCTCCGCAGTGCGCGATGCCCCCACGCCCAGCGGCTATGAGATCTTCCCCTCTTCAAACGATCCGCTCTTCTCCTCCCATTCCTCCCCCTCGATTCTCTCGTGCGGGCACTCCTCCCACGCCCACACACCAGGCGGGACCTACACCTGCCCAGCGTTCGCGCAAACGCAAGTCCATTTCGATGAACGATAGTGGCTACTACTCGTCACTGGAATCGTCCGTGGTTCGGCCTAACAAAGCCGCTCGCATGTTGACTTCGGATCTAGACATTGACCAGCCTCGCATCAATCGCGGGCGGGCCGAGGAAGAGATTTGCCGGATCCGCAGCTCGTCGCATGAGATGAGTCCCGGTCAGGGTGCCTCGCAACCGAAGATGCGCTCCAAGGTTGCATCATCGCCTCGTCCAAGTGAGCCACATGTGAGCATGCTTCCCCCTCCCTTGACCCCCGTCATCAAGTTCAAGAAGCCCGCGCGACCTCCCCCTCTGTCTCGCCCAACACCAATCTGCGCAATCATCGCGCGAGAATTCAGAGCATGGTCAATTCTCCTATCAAACAGCTGGGTCTTGGGGATGATGATACCGTTCCTTGGAGTCCGGCGTTTACTCTCCTCGAAGAGTCCTTGGGCTTGGCTGGCGACTCCGACTCTGACACCGATGAGCCGGTTCGAGGCAGCTTTGAGGTCTATCAAGACCCGCGTACGGAAGATGATCATGCCAATGATGCCGATGACAAAAAATCGCCCGTCCGTGTGTCTTCTAGAAAAGAAATCCCCATCTTCAGTCGCAAAAGATTCAGTCATCCCCTTGCTGATATGGAGGAGCTTGATAAACTTCTTAATCGCGGGCCTCAGCCATATCATTGGAAACCCATCAAGACCCCTCCACCCGCGTCCCCCTCTCGCTTGCCTGATGGCTCACATCTGGGTGAGTCGAAGGAGGAAGACCTGTTTGCCTTCAATTTGTTTGATGAGAACAACGACAGCAACAGCGAAGTCGACGGCGTTGATCTGCTGCAGGGCTTCCAGAAGATCAATGGCTCGAAAAAGGATGAGTCGCTGAAACACAAACTTATTCAAGCACGACCTCAATTGAGTGGTCGCAGTCAGACGACCATGTTCTGAACATGACCGAGTCTTGACTCTTGTTGTTGTTTCTGCCATTGTGGTTGTTGATTTTACCCCTTCCCCGTTCCTGAGTCTCCGCCTTTGTTGTTTTTTTGTCCAGCTCTTTGGATTATTTCGAGCGTTCTTGCGTTATCGCCTTTGAATCCGTTGATTTTTCGTTTTCAAGACTGGTTCCTTACGTTGTCCAGTCCGCTTGATTCCCCTCCACCATCCTCTCATTTCGTGCAACTTTTTTGGGTCCTGATAAACGTGGTAGTGAGTTTTTTCTGGGGTTATTTGATTGTTCACTACTACCTTGCTTTCCTTTTTGATACCCCGGGATTATTTTGCACCTGGCGCATTTTTTGGGCCTTCGTCGAGGAGCTGTGCTCCCCTTGTCTCCCGGCGTTTTTACTGGACATTTGAGTCCTGTCTTTTTCCATCGGTCATAGTGCCGACATGCTTTTCAATTGTCAATCCGGATGTCATCTTCTGGCCATTGTCAACTGCCTCTGGCATATGAACACAAATCACAGCAGGTAGACACCACCTGTTTGCTTGTTTCGTGGGTTCATCCGAAACCCCCCCCCCCCCCCCCCCCCTTGTCGATTCTCGACATCTATCCTCATCATTCCACCGAGTCTTGGGTGGCTTGACCGATCTTGATCTGGATATCTTCTCGCGTTTACGTTCCTTTTCTGATTCGCGCCTCTTTCACACACACAAGCTGAGGCCTGACTACGACATTCTTCACGACGTCAAGACGCATACGAACAAGCGCTGGTTTTTTAGTTTGCTTTTTCTTGTTCTTTTTTTCTTCACTCATTGGGACCCCGAGATTGTTTTTGCGTTTATGCATTTGGGTCCCCCCCCCCCAGGCCTTGCACCTTCCCCTTCTCACTGGCCTTTCCCCCTTTCCCCTTACTCCCTCCACTGTGTCCCCGACTTTCCACATATGCGAAATTCCCTCGATGAATCTGTTGCCCAGGTGGTCTTTTTTTTGATTTCTGTTTTGAAAATTCCGACAATAGCGACGCAAAGGTATCAAGGCGTGCGGCATGGCTTTGGAAAATTGGGTTTCTGGGCTGGTTGCACTGATGACGACATATTATCGGCGGCGCTATTGGATTTTGTTTCCGTTTTATCGATGACTTGTGCTTTTAGTTTAACTTAATTTGAGAATGATTCCCCCTGCTATTTACATGCGCAATTCCTGTAAACCCTCTACTTTTTCCCGCGGTAGGAAAAGGAAAAGTCCAATCTTGATAATACATCAACACATCTTAAGACAATCAACCAAATCAAGGGCACTCTCCAAACGCCCGTGACTAAGAAAATGAACCCTATCACGAACGCCATCCCAGTCCCCAATCCACAAGGCACAAGCCACAAGCCCCGTCGTCCATGTTCAAAGCACAAAGACCACAATAGCGTAGGCATGTAGGCGTGGAAGCCAGATACACGGTGGTTGGTGGCGTATGGGGCGACGATTGGACCTGGACTTGCAAATGTAGGACTAGGGGGACGGGGAAATGTGGAAGTGGAGGGTTATTTGCGCTTGTGCTTTGCTGTTTGGTTCTACTGTTTGGTTCTGCAGGGTGCAGGCGGAGTATGGACCCCATAGGACGTGCGTCTTCTTTTGCAGTAGAGTATAGAGTGTAGAGGTCATTGTGTCGAGGATCTAGTATGGACATTTCGCGGGTTGTTTCCGAATAATCGACAGCTTATTGGAAACGAGAGAAAAAAAAAGACAAGGAGATCAGAATGAAATACAGCCGTCTGCGAGATGCTGCCAGTGCTTTATTATATTCGCTTGCTCTAATGAATCGGAAGAGAAATGGTATAATCGAAGGCTCAGACGTCAAGACGAGCGCAGTGCACACTGCACTGTGCAGGTCAAGGCAGTCCAGATAGAAGAAAAAGGTCTGTCTCCTTTTTGCTTTGGGTTGGGGCAAACGTGAGACGCCGAGAGGACGGACTTGTTTCTTTTTTCCGGCCCAAATGGAGGAAGTAGGAAAGTCCCAGCTGGTTCGAAGCGGTCCATTTCATTTCGCCCGGGAGTGAGTGTTGTTTGTTTTTCCATGCACTCATCCTCAGACCTCGGGTTGCTTTGCTGCCTTTTTTTTTTTCTGTCAGTTTTTGGCATCGAATGGTGGCTTGGATTGATTGGGCTGGTACTGAGATTTTGGGGACCGCGACTTTGAATTTGCAGCTCATACAGCTGCGCAACCAGTCTCCTCGAGTCCCGAGTATCGAGTCCAAGTCCAAGTCTCCCATGGGTATTCTCTGACCCGACGAGACTTATTCTCAGCAGAGTCATTCTTTTGCCCAATCTGCAAAAGAAAAAAAAGCCCATCTTGTAGGTAGAATCTTTCGTAGGGAGCGCCAGACGAATGAGGAATACCATGCTGCTAGTCTGTACATCGTTGGGAGATTTTGACGGTGGACGACCGACGCAACACCTGTTTAATCACTGCTCGCGCAGCCACGGCATCCACAGCTCACACATTGAATAGACTGTTCATCCTTCAATTGAGCCTTGGGTACACGGCAAATGCATGTGGAATTGAAGTTCGTTTCCTTGGTTTGAACGCAGCGCAAACAGCAGAGCTAGGTCATGTGGTGTAGGTTAGTACAGTTGTTTTTGATGGAAATATGTTCATCACATTGTCAAGGGATCGCGAGTACCGGACTGGGGATAAGGTATGGTATGAGGGGAATGTGCGAGGAAATATTGAATGATGCTTCTCTCGACTCACCTTTTCATAACCTTGCTTCTTCCATTTGGCGATGAGGTTTGCATCAGCATAGTTGTTCTTCAATAACCAGTCGTACAATTGCTTTGAGATGGCTTCTTTTTCGTAGTACAGATCATAAATGTATCGAGAGCCTGGAAGCAGACGGATCATGTCAGTTTTCAAGTCATGAACGAACGTATCATGCAACACTGAAACAATCGCTGGCACAAGAGCTAAGATGGATAATCGAGCAGAGGGGCCCAGCGACACAATATCGCAAGTCAACCGGCCCTTGGAAAGTTTGAGGCTTCCGCGCAAAAGTGCGCTCATACGCGACGGAGAGCAGCAAAAGACAAAAAGTGGATTTCCACATACGTTGGTGACTGATCTGGAAGATCGGCCAGAGAACTTCATGCTTCTTCTTCCCCTCATGAGATGCGTTTTCGGCATCTTTCATCTTGTTGTTGAATTCCAGCAGAGTATCCTCGATATCATCGAACCCTGCTGGTGGGGGTTTGCGATTGCGAGCGGCGGTGCGGACAGGAGGCATGGTGGCGGGATGAAAAAATAGTGTTCGCGTTGAGTTGATTTCACTCGATTTTGGATATTTCTTCTCAAGTAAACGCCCACACTCTCGTGGAGATTTAAATGCAAAAAAAAAAACACCCGAGTGAGTTGTACCTTCAAGACAGTTGGGCTTCGACGAAAGCCGCTTGAGCCAGTTCCGCGTCATTTTTGTGCCGGTGCAGACCGCCTCGCCGATTTTGCGGGCAGAGCGAACTTCCGCGGATCGACCGGGGCGCAGCTCGAGGTCAAGTCCGCGATCATTTCACCTCTAACCAGTCCTTGAATAAGTATTTGCTGTTTTTCAAAGAACTTTCTGCACCCATATTCATACACACACACATCACCATGGACCCCTCTCTTGACCTTTCCAAGCTCAGTGATGCCGACAAGGCTGATCTGCAGCAACAACTCGCCAACGAGCAGCAGAAGGCGACTATCCAGCAGAGTAAGTTGCGCCTCGACGTAGTATCGTCGGAATAAACAAGAGCGACCTGTTCCATGCGAATTCCCGCTCACATTCGTTGCCTTGTGTTCGACTTTCTCTTCATCGAAGGATGACCCTTCACATGCCATCTCTTCAAACCACCGCCTCCAGCTCATGCTCGAAGCTCCTCGGACCAAAAAGCCAATTGCTAACTATTGTCTTCTCGCGCCTTCACAGCCGTCCACTCCTTGAACGAGACTTGCTTCAAAAAGTGCACCTCCGCCAAGAGCTTCTCTTCTGGCACCCTCGACCGAACCGAAGAAGCTTGCGCCGCGAACTGCGTCGACCGATGGATGGATTCACAATTGTTGATTCTGCAGAAGTTGGGAAGCATGCGCCAGTAGATATACTGCCGCGGTTCTTCATATAATGCATCGGGAGCCACATGAAACCCGAGAACAGGGGCGGGAAAAGATCGGCAACGGCGAAAAGCTGTTGGTATCGAATCTGGACCAGCTGTTTCGAGTCTGGGCTATTGGGAATAGGGCCAATTTACACGAGGCCGCGCTTGGTGGAAGCGATCTGTTCTTCTTTCTGGTCCTTCTTTCTGGTTGTTCGTCTCCTTTCTAGAAAGTGTGACTGTAGATCTGAGTGATGGAGGCTCAATTCCTCGTCCGTCGATCTGATAAGGCTATACCGGGGTTGTGTCTTTATAGAAGGATACATTAGAGGCCTTATATTGCTCATCTTTTTGCCAGCCGATGTCTGCCGATGATTGGGTTGGATGTTTTCAACCGAGGATTATATCGAAGAGCATGGTCGGGTTTCTTGTATACTATTATCAAAGTGAATGAAAAAGCTTTGTCTGTGAACTATTTCTAGAGAGGTAGATATATCATCATTCGTGGACATGCTCGCAGCAGCGAGAGCTCTTCTGGCATGTAAGCATTTGGAGTATAGTCAATCACGGCTTACAGACTTGAGGCCGCTGTGGTGCAAGTGTTAACAGATGGATGATTACTTGGCAGAATAATCTGAGAGCGTGTTCTCGAAACCGTGTCCGTGGGGTGACGTGGTGCGAGTCCTCGACTACGTTTCTGTCGTGCGACAAAAAGACCAATTAATGCGTTCTACATGGGTGTTCGAAAGGCCAAGGCAGAAGCAGTTGAGCACCGTTCTCCGTCCGCCAAACACATTCACACCATTTCTACGCAGACACGACTCGAGGTTGGCTTATTTAATCATGTCAAGAAGTATTTCTTTTTTGTATCATTCAGCCCTCGTTGCCGCGTATAACAGCCAAGGTGCTGGCTGGTATTGAGAATCACCACGGTGGAAAACAAAGTTCGCCTAAACCCAAAGAATTCAATTTCCTAAATCTCCAATTTTAGACAATAGCCAGCTTGGTGGCGGCAATGTCCAGAGCGTCAACATCAGCCGTGAGACGGGCGTAGGCCTTCTTGGAGCCGTCGGGGCTAGATAACAGTGAAAGTTAGCATGTGGAAACCTGGTCTGAGGGAAGATTGCCATGCGCAAAAAGCAGAGATGCCCGGCGCTGCGCAGATTGTTACATACCGGACAAGGGTGTTGACCTTGACGGTGTCAACGTCGTACAGCTTCTTAAGAGCCTGCTTGATCTGGCGCTTGTTGGCCTTGACGTCAACGATGAAGACGAGGGTGTTGTTCTCCTCGATCTTCTTCATGGCGCTCTCGGTGTTCAGGGGGTACAGGATGATGTTGTGAGCATCCATGCGGGGGTCACGGGGGACCGAGACACGGGGGTACTTGGGAGACCGAGAGAGCTGCAGGGTCTTGGGGCGGTGGAAGGTGGTCGAGGTGCGGACCTTGCGAGCCTTGTGGAGCTAATTGTTCGCATGAGGTGTTAGTTCGACCTTGCTAGATTTGAACTCCTGGGTGATTCGGAAAGCCATTCGTCGCAACCATGGACAGTCGGGAAAGAGACATGGTTGTGGAGAGCGGCAGGCCGTGCATAGAGAGCAAGGAAAAAAGGTGAAAACGTACGGAAGAGCCCTTAACGACTGCCTTGGCGGCAGCGTTAGCCCGGGAGGCATTGCCTGTCAGACGCACTCAAAGTCAGTTTTCGGAACAGGCACAAGAGGTGTCGAAAAAAAAGGCCGAATAATGTGTGTAGATTGCGAATTGTAGCCAATCGAGAAATTCAATTCCAGAGAGTGAAGTTTTTCCATCTTTTCAATCCTTGCCGATGTCGATTTCTGTCGTTGCTGTCGTTGATGTCGTCGCCGGTTTCTTGTGTTCGTGGGTTTCCGCGCGATTGTAAAGCCCACACGATGTGGGATTCGAGATTACACATTGTCGTGTCCATCCACCTCTTTTTCTTCAACCTCTCCAGAACGAATTTTCGCGGTCGCACAATTTTCCATAATATGGTAGAACGCATAGAGGCAAGGTCATTCGTAACGTACCTTGCTTGGTGGTAGGGGCCATGGCTGTCGTCCGCTGTCGTTGTGATTGTCGTCGCAGTGTCGAAGTTCGAACAATTTGGAGTGGCTTCGCTAAGCGAAAACCCTACCACTGTGTGGGTCAGGTGATCTCAGGCGGTCAGTTCTGGCGGCCGGCCACCGGGCCCGCAAAGCAGCTTAGTCATGCTAGACATGCAGACATTACAGTCACATGACTTGGAGCTCCACCCGATAATGGATCGTCTCTTTTGGTGTATGGAGACAAAAGAAAATTGGGAATCCGTTAATTCGGAGTTGAGAATGTGTATGAGCTCATGTGCATTGATCGCGGGTGTTCCACTTCGGGGGTACCGTTGAAATTGATAAACCCTGTGCTCATCTAAGACTCCCCAAACTCTGTCATTGAATTTCTCTCAAAGAATGGGTCCAAAAAGCCGTTCCAAACGGCCAAGCCTTCTATCGAAAGGCCGACCACCAACCGTCAAGCCCAAACAAGCAGCACTTTCAGCCAAAGCAACCCGCAACCTCATCCGCTCCCACCACCAACTCTTGAAAGCTCGCGTCCAAGCCGAAAAGGCCGGCGACACCGCAAGAGTCAGTAGTATTGATGCCCAAATCCAAGCCAATGGCGGTCTTGACAGTTATCAGATCGCCAGCAAGCTCGGGCAATCCCTGGACCGAGGCGGCGATTCCAGCAAGATCCTCATTGACTGGATCAAGCCTGAGTTAGCACAGTGGAAGCCGGATTTGCCCAAATTGCGGGTTTTGGAAGTCGGCGCGCTAAGCACGAAGAATGCTTGTTCGAGGACGCCGGCACTAGATGTTACTCGGATTGATTTGAATTCGCAGGAACCGGGGATTCTGAAGCAGGATTTCATGGAACGTCCGTTGCCTGCGTCGGATGCTGAGCGGTTTCATATTCTGAGTCTTTCTCTGGTCTTGAATTATGTGCCCGATGCGGAGGGTCGAGGTGACATGCTGAAGCGTTGTCGCGAGTTTTTGACAGCCCAATCTCCAATCACTTTTGTGCCGACGCTGTTCTTTGTCCTTCCTGTTGCATGTGTGGATAATTCACGCTACGTGACCGAGGATCGTCTACTCGACATTTTGTCCAGTCTGGGTTTTCAATTGATGCAAAGCAAGCGCAGCAACAAGTTGATCTATCAACTATGGCATTACACAGGCCAATCTGCCACGCGCAGTTTCAAAAAGGAAATGCTCAATCCCGGCGCTAAGAGAAACAACTTTGCCATCATTCTGCGTCAGGGGTGATATCACAGATCATCATCATCATCAAAAGCAACAAGAAAGCCATTATAAACACATTGCATCACGCCATGCATATCCACACACGGTCAGCCCACCATTACAGAGGGTTGAGGAAAGACACACAAGCTTTCACGACCTCAACCCTCAATTCTCTGCGATCATGTCCCGCGGCAAGAATGCCCAGACAGTTCCTATCGCCGCCAGAATGGTGGACGAGATCAGCAGGAACCAATCGAGAATTCTCTCACGCCGGGGAATCTCATTTCCAAAGATCTTTAAGTAGAATGCCAGCGGGAAGATGATGCAGATCGTGAAGCAGAGGAATGATCCGAGGAAGGCCATGATGCGGTCAAAGGCAGGGAAGACCACCGCCAACACGACAATCAAAGCTACAGTGAAGACACGAACGGCGGCCCGGCCCATCTTTCGCATTGACTCGCCTTGCTGATGGTCGCCGGAGCCAGGCCCGGCTGCCACACCACAGATGACTTCAAACGTGGCCACGAGAGGGCGTGCACTGTGACGCAGTCAGCCCAATACTCTATGCTTGCCTGTCATTGGATAAACACTTTTCCACTTACTTCAGAGGAACTTTGGTCAATGGAATGATTGCAATGAACATGATAATGCAGACAGAAATGGCCTGTGGATACTGGTCCACTCTGAGGACATTTGCTGTAATTTCATCACGAACAACATCTCCAAACATGAGCCAGCCAATAATGGCCATGGAGCAATCAAGAGAAAACTTGACCTGGTCAGCGCGCATGTTCAGTAGTCTTTATAATTGACAACGAATGACCAACCGTGAAGATGTATGTAGACCACAAACTCTTTCCGTATTTCTTTGGGTGCCTCATGTCACGATAGATGTTGGGAAACACACCATGTCCGCCCCACGGAGCTGGATTTTGAAATTAGCAAAAGTTGGGGTGGGTGAAGAGACCCGAAGCATCAGCATAAGCAACATACACATGATGAGACCGAAACTCAATGGCAAAGTTGCCCAATTCTCTGGGAACAGGAAAGTCTTTGCAGGCTGCCGCAAAGATCCCGGGGAATCGGATTTGATCAACCCGTCAATGCAAATGAGGAGAACGACTATTTGTAGTCAGCACAGGTTTCGTCACCTAGTCGAGATCATGTCCAGATCGTCTATCTCAAGATCAGAGACTTACTGGATGTGCAAGAGACGATTCCCAATATGCTGGTAACACTGAGGAAACGCAGCGGTAGGAAGTTCAAGGGAATAAGCACCAGACCACAGGCAATCTTCCACTCAAGAAGACCGAGGACTGGAACCAGGACATGTAAGCTGTCTGCAAACAAAACCACCAGCGCCACACAAGCACCAAGCAACTCCAGGCAGAACAGAATACTTGTCACCAGGCGTGCCTGCTGACCAAAGCTGATATATGCCAAGTCAGCGTAAGTCACCAAGCTCTTATCTACATCCAAGCACTTGGCTAGAATTCGAGCGGTATACGAGGTTGTCACAGCGGAGTAAATCAGGAAGGACAATCCCAGCACCCAACCCGCGTGTTTCATGGCTAATGGCAGACTCAGCAGGCCAATACCGATCAACACGTTCACCGAGTTGAAGATCGTTTGAGGCACAGTCGACTGTCCGAGAATGATGTCTTCATGAGTCCCATCCTCGTGTTCCACATGCTTGACAATGAGAGGCTGTCGATCAGGGTCTGTAGTGCCGTCTGCGTGGGACTGCTGATGCTCTCGGTGGAACTGAATCGCATTACGGCGCGTTGACTCGCTCACACGAGATGAGATCGTGCCATACGATGCAGCATAGCTTCTGTCAAAAGACGAGGCAAGGAGACCCGCGCTTGGGACATGCTTGCGGGGCCGACCCGGTGCGCTCAGGTCCTCCTGTTCCGAATCTTCTCCTTCAGAATCCTCAGACAGTAAAGGCCGCTCGTTGTCGCTTTGGCGGCCCCACGGAGCGGAGCTTCGCGAGCCATTGTCTAAGCCGGATGCGATAGCAAGGTCATCGTCGAGATCTGCCGAGACAAATGACGAGCGCCGAGGGAGAACTTCCGGAAATTGGGCTGCTCTTTGCCACGAGCGTGCGAAGTTGTCAATACTGTTCGGTCCACCGACTTGGCGAATGCGAGAGAAAGATGACGATCTGTGATGGATAGTTAGAAAGATGAATGCCTATCGCGACGACAAGCTGAGCAATGACACTCCTCCCATCTGCGATTCAACAACCTACCTGACTCTCCCAAGGTTCTCCAGATCGGAAATTTGATTTCCCCGATTTTGCTGATCCGCGTCGTACGAGTGTGCTGCTACAGCCGACGGAAGTCGTGATGAACCCCAGCTTGACGCCTCGCCTATGGCCTCGTCTGAATTCCCAGGTGCCATTGACGGTCAAATGCTTTGTAGCGACCCCTCAATCTTCTCGAACGGTCGTGTGCCGAGTCGCAGGCGACCGCAGCGGGTGGAGTCCGCGGTGAAGGTTGAACGAGCTGTTCTTGGCCTTTGGGACGGGAAAGTGCACCCGAACGGGACAGAAGGCACTGATTTTGCAAGTGAAACTGCCCCCTGTCTTTGACCGACGAGAGATGAATACTGGGCGAAGAGACTTGTACACAAAAACTTTGTTATGAGTTCTACTGGAGGTCTTCGAGGATCAAGTTGTATTCCAGGGAAAGATAGGAGCGAATCGGCGCGAAAACAAGAAGGAAGCTCCTAGCTCCGATTAGTGTCTCGTATTGTGGGGTTGAAGCGTACACTAACACTGATAAGCGCTCTTTTGACTCTCGCGCCACAGATTGGAGGGTTTCGAGTATGTAATGAATAGATCGAGACGAAGAGATCAGTGAGGCGACCGAAGAGTAAGACTTCTCCTAGCGCATGTCTACGGGTGCAGTAGGGTCGAGAGGAAGGCAAGAGGATCTCACGAGGTCAACTGCAGATTCTTATTTCTCGAGGAGGAAAGCAACAAACTTGAGCATCTCAAGTAGTTGGCGATCGGCGCCGAGCAGACCTGCACTACCCCGTCTAGACCAGCCACGGTCGGAGGTTAGAGTGGGTTGTGGATCACAGTCGAGGGAATGGTCACGGTGAGGCAATCAATTCAAGACATGAGGAGAAAGTCCGAGGGCGATGGAGGTTACAAAGGTTTCTGTTCGTATGTGGTTTGATGACATGCAGTCTCACTCAACCAACGGCTGGCAGTGATGATAAGTTCTAGCTTATCTGCACGTGCATACGATGACGGTAGTAGTGTGAAAGGCACAGTAGTGACAATACTACTGTAACTGATCCGAGTCTCAAAGACCGCCAATGAGTCCGTGACCTCCAGTGGACCTCCGGCCAGACGGGAGTGAAGGGCTCACGGTCATGTGATTCCAAGGTAATCATTGCCCCAGTCCTTCAGGTACAGTACCAACTACCAAAGAACACGGACTCGAGCCGATAGTGATACTGTACCTGGGAGATAATAGGGCTACAGTGAGTAGTCGGCACATGTCGAATCTGTGACACGCATGAAGCGGGTATGTATGTAGGTCAGGTAGTAAAAATCACAGAGATCGTTTTTGAATTGGTTGCTTTTCTATACATTACTCAGAGATGCTCCTCTGGCGGCTTCAGCACTAGCAATGCTTTTCTATCAATCTCATGTAGACAGGCATTGTGCCAGCGTGTCGGACAATCTCATATACCACGGGCTTTCAGTTGTCGATCAGCTGCTCATGATTGCGATGAACTTCCATAATTATAGCAAGTGACAGTGTTCGAATCAGTTTGTCGGTTGATTTGATGAGGCCACCAACCTGAGGTTGAGACCATCCATCATTCGTAAACAGACCTCTTCGTCAGTAGAAGCGTACTTGTATACTGATGGTTTCCTATATGCTCAGCATACCGGATGAGTCGATGAGTCGATGAGTTGATGACTTGGTGGTGTACGCTCTACCAGTCATACTCTCATAACTTAACCTAGAGAACACTCTTCATGAAGAGGTCCATGAAGAGGAAGAGATCGTGCGAGATATAGTAAGCCACTCCCAGGTGATGCATACATGCTCGATTTCCGAGAAACCGATCAATGCGAGTGAGGAGAATCAAGACTAAAGATCCTAGAGGGCAAAAAGGACAGTGAATGCAATGAAATGCTGGATGCAGTCAATGTGCTGCACTAGGGTCAAGGCGGTACCGAATAGAGCAAAGATGGCTTGAGAGTGACAAGTGCTTATAGGGCTGCGCCTGACTGCATAGCATCTTCAGTGTATATACCATTGCATAGTAGTAAGTCTACCAGTGATTTTGAGCCGATGTACATGAAGAGTACCTGCTTCAATCTGCTGATTGCATTGTCTACCAGGTACCCAGTACCCCGCCTTGGCTGCCCAGTTGTGCACCAACTGGACAATCCCACCGTTGTACCAACTGCCAACCAGCGGACACGGCCGGCGGCTTACCTCAGCCCACCCAGCGACTCGAGCCCAAAGAGCCCCTCGAAACCCCACGCCAGCGCGAAAAATGGAATTTTGCAACGACGTCAAAGGGTGTTGAAAGATCTTCTTCCCCACTACCCAAGTTCCCTCATATACTGTGAGTCTGACCCCTGGGCAAACAACTTGGGACCACGTGAAACACCACAACTAATTTGTGCCTTTGTTACCACCTTTCAAAGAGTCTAGGGACTTTGACCTGTCTGTCTTCGGGTCGCTTCATATCGTGCTACCCGGTTAGGTGTCGATAGGCAGGGCCTCGGATATTACTTTCTTCACCCCCGGATTTAAACCTGAGCCTCGCCCATCATGAGTTCCAAAGAGCAGGGTCAGGGTGAAGCGGAGAAGAACATTGAGATCTGGAAGGTCAAGAAGCTGATCAAGCGCCTGGAATCCGCTCGCGGAAATGGTACCTCCATGATTTCGCTCATCATCCGTACGTCCTGCCATTCCCGGAAGAAAGCCCTGACACAGGAGCCTTGGTGGACAAAGAAGAGTTCATTTCCGCTAAGTCAATCGCCTATGCAGCTCCCAAGGATCAGATCTCTCGCGCCGCGAAGATGTTGGCTGAAGAATACGTACGTGCTGCCTCCCTGATAAAAGGAGCCGTTCCCTCCCATGATGTTCAGTGCGGGTAGCTGTGGCTATTCCCGACTCTTGGGCCCCCGGGGAGTACAAACGAGAGGCTAACCCGATTCATCAGGGCACTGCCTCCAACATCAAGTCCCGTGTGAACCGATTGTCTGTGTTGTCGGCCATCACTTCTACCCAGCAGCGTCTCAAGCTGTACAACAAGGTTCCTCCCAATGGCTTGGTCGTCTACTGTGGTGAAATCATCACCCAAGAAGGCAAGGAGCGCAAGATTAACATTGATTTCGAGCCCTTCAAGCCGATCAACACTTCGCTCTATCTTTGTGACAACAAGTTCCACACAGAAGCGCTGAGCGAGCTGCTCGAATCGGACCAGAAGTTCGGTTTCATTATCATGGACGGTAACGGTGCGCTCTTCGGTACTCTGAGTGGTAACACTCGTGAGATTCTGCAGCGCTTGTCTGTCGATCTCCCCAAGAAGCACGTAAGTTTCTCTCCAATTGTCCAACATAATTCCTGTCGCCCACGGTCAATACCGTGCCATCAATTCCTTTAGGTACTACCTTTGTATTTGCATGGCTCACTCTTTCTTTTCTATTCTTTTCTATACAGGGTCGTGGTGGTCAGTCCGCTCTGCGTTTCGCGCGTCTGCGTGAGGAAAAGCGTCACAACTACGTGCGCAAGATCGCCGAACTGGCGGTTCAAAACTACATCACCAACGACAAGGTCAACGTTGCCGGTCTCGTCCTGGCTGGTTCCGCCGACTTCAAGAACGACCTCAACCAGTCCGACATGTTCGACCAGCGTCTGCAGGCAAAGGTCATCAAGGTGGTTGACGTGTCCTACGGTGGAGAGAACGGTTTCAACCAGGCCATCGAATTGGCCGCCGAGACTTTGAGCAGTGTCAAGTTCATCCAAGAAAAGAAGTTGATTGGCAAGTACTTTGAGGAGATTTCTCAAGACACCGGCAAGATCTGTTACGGTGTTGAGGATACTCTGAAGGCTCTTGAACTTGGTGCTGCCGAGACCTTGATTGTGTTCGAGAACCTCGACGTCACCCGCTGGGTCTTGAAGGATTCCAATGGCTCCGAGATCATTGTGCACACTACTAAGGCGCAGGAGAGCAACCGTGAGCTCTTCCAGGATAAGGAGACCGGCGCCGAGATGGAAGTCGTTGACTCGGGCTCCTTCTTGGAGTGGCTGGCTGAAGCCTACAAGGACTTTGGTGCTGAGCTGGAGTTTGTGTCTGACCGGTCCAGTGAGGGTAACCAGTTCGTGAAGGGCTTTGGTGGTATCGGTGCCATTCTTCGCTACAAGGTCAACTTTGAGCAGCTTGCCGACTACAGCGACGATGATGAGTTCTACGATGATTGACGATGCGACACCCTCGCAGAGAGCGAGGATGGACGGCCAGAAGCTCCCGCGGCGAGGCTTCTGACGGCTCGCCCCGTGGATCACGCAAGCGACTCCAAGACTGGAACTTGGGTCTCCGTGAAGGAGATCGTCAACGAGAATGTTCTAAGCCTTGTGTAGTTGCCCAGAGGTGAGTCTCTCGTTTCTGATTCCCCGTCGTCTCTCACAATTCTGTCCCGTTGCTAACTTCACACTCTTTTTCTTGCCAGGGTCATCCAAGCTCCATAAAATGCCCACTGAGGTTACCTCAGTGTCTGATGATCTTGAGGTGTAAATTGCTATTTGAATGGTTGGATGCAACTCTCTGCGACTTTCACTCGCCCACTGCCCCGACTCTACATTACGCATGAGCGTGTCGTGAGACAAGAACAGGGTTCAAAAGCAGCGCGGGTGATTGTCGTCTTGCTGCGGTCCATCTGTTTGTTGCTGTTGTGGATCGATCATCCCGACGATTTCAGTGCTTCGTTTCTGTTGTTCTCATTCTTGGTCTTTCTGTAAATGGAAAAAAGTCAAATCATGCTACCACCCTTGCGCGCAAGACGTTTAAAACCTATGTATAATTTGGCGATAGAATACTCGTCGTGGTACGTGATTGCCGTGGATCTGCCTTACATGTCTTGTGTAGGGCTGTTTGCATCAACGCCCGAGTTGTTTGCCACATCGGAAAGGCTTACTAAATGGTGCTTTTGAGTCTCAGCTCACTCGATGTTGTAGGACGGGAGGCAAGCTGCAAGATCATATGAGCAGTAGACTCTCGCCAGATGAACACTTGGAAAACACAGTGATTGAATATTCTTTCGGACGGATAGATGCCTAATGAAATGAATTGTAGATGTGTATTAGCCGAAATATATAACCCGAAATATATGCACCCTCTGCCTGCATCCACTTGTTAAATGTTCACATAATTTTCAACCGGGCTGTGTCTACTCGCCTGATGACCCCAGCATGATGGAACAACACGTCTCAGTGTCTAACTCCGCGGTCTACGAATCAGCACCCGAACACAGTTGATCCTTCCATGTGCCCCAGTTCCGACAAGATTCAGTTGCATGGTGCAGATCACTCAACGCTTCAAGAACAGCCTCTTTGTTCTCCGCCGAGGGAGCCTGTCCACACTCGACAAAGAACACATATTGCCACGCGCGTTTCAAACTCGGTCGAGTATTGATACTCGTCAGATTCAAGCCATGCGCCTTGAAAATAAGCAGCGCATTCGCCAATGCTCCGGCCGACGAGTGAGCCACCGCAAACGAAATCAAGGTCTTGTTCATGATCCACGTTGTGCACGAAGAACACCGCTGCTCAAAGGCCAGTTCTGCCGTTTTCTCCACGCGAGTGTTTCGTAGGATCAGGAAGCGTGTCGTATTGTCAGCTCTGTCCTCGATGTTTTCTTTCAGAATGTCGAGCCCGTGGTACTCGGCTGCGAATTTGCTCGCTATGGCGGCGGATGATTCGCCGGTCTCTTTGGCGACAATCTCCGCGGCCTTTGATGTCGATGAGACATCTTGTCTTTCGACGCCTTTGAAGTGTGCTGAGAGAAGACCTTCACACTGGCCCCAGGCTTGCGGGTGCGTATATAATTTGGTGATGGAGCCGTCGTAACCTGAACACCCGGATGGGTATGTGCCCTTGCGAACGAGGAGACAGTGATGCACGGTGAGGTAATACTCCCCGCAGACTTGGACGTCGGTATACAATGAGGTACGGTCGGCGAGCAAGTCTAGTGTTTGTACAACCGAGCCATTGGTCGAATTCTCAAACGGGATGACTGCGAAGTCGGCTGTTTGATCCTGGACCGCGGAGAAAGCATCGCCGAAGGATGCATGGGGTATAAGCTCGGCATTTGTCTTTTTGAAAGATTCTGCTGCAGCCTAGTGTCGAATTGTTCAAGAGAAGGGTGTTAGAGCTGACGCTGTAAGCGCGAGCCACGGGTGTGGGGTAGATAAATAAATCAATCGCGCGGGGAGAGTGTCAGGGTTCTATGACTGTCTCAAGTCATTCTCATACCTGATGCGAAAACGAGGCCAGTGGACCTAAGAATACCACTTTTAACCGGTTGTCTGACATTTTCCAAGCTGATCCTTCAATGATGAAGTATATAATCAATGATATGAGTGTACAACCACACAAAAAAGGAAGTATGGTATGACGACCACCGAGCATCGCAATTGACAAGCGGTGAGAGCATCCTAGCAAACAAGGCAAACTCAGAGCTCAGTCGGAGCGTGTCGCATATCGCAAATTGGAGAAAGGGAAGCTCAGACTCCCCCGCATATTGACAGCGACAAGTCGTCCAATCGAGCTGTCGCACTTTATCTTCCCACAATTGCAGATGGGGCCGCATCTACTCCGGCATGCTTGTTCCAGTCGAGCAGTGACTCAATGTCTTCGTTATTCTTCTCGCACCCAGTCAACACTTGCAGAGCGCTTGCATGATGATTTGACAACGCGCAGAATCCCGCTATTTTATGACTACTTGCAACCACAGCCCTCGCATCTACTCAATCTCTCACTATCTGACCTCCTCCCGAAGATCGGAAAAACAGAAACCACAATTGATCCCACACTACCTTCGATATCGGAACCCTCGCCCATCCCAGTCGGCCACCACCTCATCTACTTCCCACCACAAGTGACTTTGTCGCAATTGTTGCCCGACGGTACTGACATCCTGCACACACCGGGCGATCCATTTCATCGACGTCTATGGGCAGGCGGCAACCTTCGATTCCCCGGCCCGCCTCTCCTGCTTAACGGGCAAAGAGCTGTATGCATCGAGTCTATTCGCAATGTCAGCGTGAAAGGGCGCGAGGGCGATGAAAAAGTGATTGTTAGAATTGAAAGACGCGTGGGCGCGGTACCGGAGAGCGAAGATGAAGAAACCACTCGAGACCGTATATGGACTGGGGATGAGGCACTCGCGGGCGAGGCATCGGTCATTGAGAACCGAGATCTTATCTTCATGCGGGCGAAAAGCAAGCTTGAACTCGAGGCGGATCAGGCGCTATTTGAGAAGCCCGGTCGTATAGTGAAAGGTGTGTGAGGATCATCTGAGGCGTAGAGATACGGACATCTAATACCTCTGTTCTACCGATAGCCCCATCGGACGCGACTTTCCGGCATTCGATTTTGCCCAACAAATCGCTTCTTTTCCGATTCTCAGCCCTCACCTTCAATGCGCATTCGATCCATCTCGACAGGTCATACACGCAAGAAGAAGAAGGGTATCGCAACTTGCTCGTTCATGGGCCGCTCACGTTGACACTACTGCTGAGTGTTCTTGAACGTCATTTCAAGGGCCTGGGGCTAGAAGTGAACAGTATCGAGTACAAAAATCTTGCGCCGCTCTACGTAGATGAGGTCCTGACGATTTGCGCGAAGCTTAAAAGTGGTGAGGTTTGGGATGTCTGGATTGAGGGGCCTGATGGTAGTCTTGCCGTGCGTGCTACGGTCAGGAGTAAGGACATAAATTTCACATGAATCCTACCGTCATAACCTATGGGTCTTTGTCGAACACGGAAGTTTGACTTTTAGGGTTTCCATGACCTTCGTACCTCGTCGTGAGATGGACTAGAGCATCGTCATCTTTATCACACGACATTGATAAAGCGGTTGATCTCACTCCCCCTCCCATTCAAACGCTACAGCGTTTCAATAGCTGGCATAGACGAGCTCTCTCGGAAAGTGTCCCGTCCCAGTCGCTTGGGAATTTCGGCTTACTGAGTAGAAGAACCTTGGAAACCTACCTTACTTGGAAACACACCTTATACCGGACTCTTAGTGAGCCCGAGTTTGAAACGTAGTGAAGATAAAGCCTTCCCAAATCAAGAACACCTGGGATATTTTGGGCTAAAAGAAATGGAGTGTAATACGATGCATGAGCTCTGTCCAAGCTTCTCGGCCAATCACGCCTAGAATCAGTCATGAGCCTCGCAGAGCCGCGCCAAGCCAAGAACGGGGACCGGATAAACCCACTGCCGTAGTGGATGTGCACACGTTTTTATTTCTTCCAACATCCTTTCTGCAACCTTCCTTCTTCCTTTCATCACTCTCGATTGCTCGGTCCAAGCTCATAGCCCTCGGGTATAATGAAATGAGCTTTGACTGAAGCAAGACCCAGCCCAACTTCCTAAAGAGCACACTAATTGGTTGTTGCTTCTTGCACACTTGGCCAACATGGATTTCTTTTGGAACGCACCTCCCGTGGCCAGGTACGCTCGTTGATCTCGCGTCAATGGCATGATCGGACGCCTCAAGCTAACGTGTCCGCCCCAGGACGCTCACTGCGGCAACCCTCATTGAGTCCTTGCTGGTCCACGGTCGGATCATCGGTGTGAGACAGCTCGCTTGGGCCCCAAGCTTGATCTTCTGGAAATTCCCTCCTCAGTTATGGCGGATTGGCACCGCTTTCTGTCTCACTCGCCCAGATCTGGAGTTTCTCTTCGACTTGTACAACTTATGGCGCTACAGCAGTGCTCTGGAGTTGGAGTCGATTCGCTTCCCCCAGCCTGGAGATTTCTTCATCTATCTTCTCTTCGTAAGCACTGTTATTCAGGTAAGTGACTTGCTTTGGCAACAGCCAGCTACAGTAGAGCCATCCAATTGCCTTGTTCATCTGTTTGCCTTCCCAAACAACCCCATGTCACCTCGCATTATCTGCCCGCCCAGCCTTTTTCTAGCTGAAGCGGTTCCTGGAAGCGAGGAAGAGTACCCCTGCATCCCGTGCAGCACCACATTCGCAAAATTCAAAAGGTGCTGCATGCGGTGTGGGCGTGGTGGGACTGCCTATGAGATAGCTGTCGCGAGCCTTATTCGCGAATGGTGGTTAAGGTGCCCTACATTCTACATAAGTTTCTCAATCTTCGTCCTATATCAACCAATCTATCATTACAATCCCGCCAAATCATTTCCAACTCAAGAGACATGATCTGCCATTCCGCGCCTTCTTCTCCTGCCCTACTGGTAGACATGATTATGGCCCTGGTGCTAACACGTTGAAAAGCTCACGGCAGGCCTGTACCTTGGAGGCTACTTCTTCCTCACTAGTAAGCAGTACACTCTACGGATTCATGCCCCAACCAGTTATAGGTCCTGCGATAGAAAAAGATACTAAGTCTTGCGTTGTTAGGTCTTACTATGGCCCTTATCTGGACTTACGCCCAGGAAAAGCGAGGCACCAAGGTCACATTCTTCGTGATCACCATCCCGGTCATTTATTTGCCCGCTGTGATGCTATGTCTCACCTTGGTTCGTGCTGGATGGGGTGGGGTCTTGTATGAAAGCACCGGCATTCTCGCCGCCCATCTCTATCATTTCCTTACGCACATCTATCCGACGTACGGAGGTGGCCGAAACTACATCTCCACGCCGCTCTTCGTCCAGCGCTTCTTTTACAAGCACACACCAACCACTTCGCGTCCTTATGGTACCCCCTACCGGCCAGCTCCTTCCTCTGCTTCTCAAGGCCGCGCCTCCGGCACCGATGCAGGAGCGCGATGGGGAAGCTGGGGCTCCGGGCGGAGACTTGGATGAGATTGATACGATAGTCCGGCTGGCAGTCTTGAAACCAAGTAAAACAGACTGCTGGGCTTTTTTTTTACAAAGCTCGTGTCCTCGATTCAGCTGCATGGCCTCTGTTTTTCGTCAAGGATCAGCATCCCGATTGTCCCTGTCTTCGTGATGTACAGTATCATCACAGTTATCACTTTCCAAGTTATCAAAGTAATGCATAGCGACTACTATTGTCTTCGACTAGGCAAATTGGCGAAGTCCGATGGATCTCCAATGTAATACCGAGAGAATTAGCCCGGGTAGAAGATCGAAATATCCTCTAAGAACCCACCGGCAGTAGTGCCTGTTAGACAGATATGACATGGTCAGCTACTGCTAAGTATGTTCGCTTTTTGACGCCCATTGTCAACCTTATCCAATGCATAATCCCGAAGCAAAGTTGAAAGTAGGTAGATGCTGACATCAAGGTCGCTTTATCACTCAGACGGGTCAACTTTCGACGGTTTTCAATGATGGTGGTTACATTCACAGTTTCCTACTCGCCACTGCCCGTGTTCCAGTCTACCTAGGTATGTATCTCAGTTACCCCAATCTTGGAAGGACCTGTACGAACACGCTCAAAGGGAGTCACAGAAGGGCGAAGAGTATACTCATGCAGGGCAAGCGCTGATAGCAGTGACCCGATACAGTTTGCCGACATGCTCATCTTTATCATATTGACTCATGTGTAGCAAAGCTATATTTGACGACACTTCAACAGAGACCGTACCTAACACTTTCCGCTTTCGAGAAATTCAGGGTACAGCGTGTACTCAACTCCACAAAGCTATTGGTTCCCTGCATACTAACTCTAGGTTAGCGAAAGATGGCTGACTTGATTGCCAAGAGGAAGAGAGAAATCACGTAAGCTTACTTGAAACCGTGGAAGGTTTCCCAGATCAGGACCTCTGAATTCATAGAAAAATGACAGATCTAGCAGGCTAGAATACAATTGATTTATAGTCAGTTGTTAAGGAGTGTTGGGGAGTTGCACGGCAGTAGGTAACTCGGATATTCCTGAGGCGTCCTAGTGGCCGAGACCTTATGGGAAGCAAGCTCAAAAGCCTGGCACATTCGATCATTATCATTGCTACAAATTGGCGGTCCATACGGTCACATCCAAAATGAGAAAACCCTCATGGCTGAGAAAAGTAGGCCTGATGTACACCTCTTGTTGCTCCATTACTTCGGTGGTTTCGGTACTAAGGGAATCAATCATCCAATCATGGTGCCCTGTGGCTGCAGAAAGAATTGCTGGTCATAATCATGCTCAAGTCACCTGACTCTTCACGGGCGCTAACCAGATTGGGAACTCGAGCTGCCGCACTCGCAAAATTTCGTTCTCATCGAACAAATTTTGGAACTTCAATAGCATACCAACCCACCAAAATGGCCGCCGTCAACAACATGGAGGTGGACTACACCATCAAGCCTCAGGCGCTTGCGCCAACCTCCTCCAGTGAGGATTGGCCTCTTCTCTTGAAGAACTACGAGAAGTGTATGTCGAGAAATCCTTCCTCAAGGTCGTGAAAATCCTGTAGGCCGTGACGATGGCTAATCGATCTTGAATCACGTTTAGTGCTCGTTCGCACCGGTCACTTCACCCCTATCCCTGCCGGTGCTTCTCCTCTGAAGCGTGACCTCAAGTCGTACATCAGCTCTGGTGTCATCAACCTGGACAAGCCCTCCAACCCCTCCTCCCACGAGGTTGTCGCGTGGATGAAGCGCATCCTCAGGTAAATGTCTTCCTGGGCACCTTTCAAAACGTCCCAGTGCTCAATTCGATCAATTTTGGCCAAACAATGCTAATGATTGCACTCGATGCACTACAGAGCCGACAAGACCGGTCACAGTGGTACTCTCGATCCCAAGGTCACTGGCTGCTTGATTGTCTGTATTGACCGTGCCACCCGTCTGGTGAAGTCCCAGCAGGGTGCTGGTAAGGAGTATGTCTGCGTTATCCGTCTGCACGACAAGATCCCCGGCGGCGAGGCCCAGTTCCGCCGTGCTCTCGAGACCCTCACTGGTGCGCTGTTCCAGCGTCCTCCCTTGATCTCCGCCGTCAAGCGTCAGCTCCGTATCCGAACCATCCACGAGAGCAAGCTGTACGAGTTCGACAACGAGCGCCACCTTGGTGTCTTCTGGGTCAGCTGTGAGGCTGGTACCTACATCCGTACCCTCTGTGTCCACCTGGGTCTGCTGCTCGGTGTCGGTGCCCACATGCAGGAGCTGCGCCGTGTTCGCAGTGGTGCCATGGACGAGGAGAAGGGCATGGTCACCCTCCACGATGTCCTCGATGCTCAGTGGATGTATGACAACCAGCGTGATGAGACTTATCTGCGTCGGGTCATCAAGCCCCTGGAGAGTCTGCTCACCACCTACAAGCGTATTGTCGTCAAGGACAGCGCCGTCAACGCCGTCTGCTATGGTGCCAAGCTTATGATTCCTGGTCTTTTGCGTTTCGGTATGTCGATCGACATTCTTCTCTCCGTTGTCATCAAATATGGCTGAACCGTCTGACTAATTTTTTCTTCTTTTTCACCCCTCTGCAGAGTCCGGCATTGAGGTCAACGAGGAGGTTGTCCTTATGACCACCAAGGGTGAGGCCATCGCCATTGGTATTGCCCAGATGTCCACCGTTGAGCTCACCACCTGCGACCACGGTGTTGTTGCCAAGGTCAAGCGCTGCATCATGGAGCGTGACCTCTACCCCCGCCGCTGGGGCCTGGGTCCCACCGCCCTCGAGAAGAAGAAGCTCAAGTCTGCTGGCAAGTTGGACAAGTACGGCCGTGCCAACGAGGCCACCCCTGCCAAGTGGAAGAGCGAATACACCGACTACAACGCTCCTCTGGAGGACGGTGAGCAGCCCGCCGCTGTTGTCGCTACCACCACCACCACCGTGGTCCCTGTCCCCGCACCTGCTGAGGAGGCCGAGTCTCCCGAAGCCGAGGATGACGATGATGACAAGAAGAAGCGCAAGCGTCACGATGGCGAGACTGCCGAGGAGAAGGCCGAGCGCAAGCGCAAGAAGAAGGAGAAGAAGGAAAAGAAGGAGCGCCGAAAGTCCAAGCAGGCCGAGGACAGCGATGATAGCGACTAGATGTCCTCAGGAAGACCAAATCTCTCTGTGCATGGTCTGTTTCCTGTATCATATTTTCTGCTTTTTCTTTTCACTGGAGTCTTGGGTCAAAAGGGAATCTGTTGGTTTGAAGATTTTAAGTTGTGTCGAATGATGTTTGAATTCATTTCAACATGTTATACATTAAGTTCTAGGATTATGTCTTCTATCGTACCTCAATGTCCTCGCTAATTGGTACCTGCGCAGATGTCTGGCGTGGAAACCTGTCCCGTCACATTGTGTACCATGCAGTAACTTATGCTCTACACCAAAACCCTGGCTGCGCAGAGCTAAAGAGGCTATGATAGGTATTGGCATGGTGGTCGATTGAGGCTAGCCAAGATAAAAATCTACCACTGAGACTCTGAACATAGCAGCGTCCCTCGGTCAACTCATTACAAACACGCTGTCTCCATGACTTACCCAGGCACATCTCAGCGCCATTGAAACAAACGTCAATTGTCATGCTACCACCCACCTCTGTCTTCCTCCACCCATGCGATCGACTCCCAAAAAAAAAGATGCAAATCACCCTCTCAGAAGAGAAATGAGATGCAAAAATCAACGTCAGCTACAGGGTTCGAACCTGTGCCCCCGAAGGGACTTGATGCCTAAACATGCTATAGGTATCAGCCTATAACCCTGACCTGACGATCGGGAGGTTCAAGTCAAGCGCCTTAGACCACTCGGCCAAACTGACATGTCAAAGAAATCGGCGATTTATGGCTATCTGAAGATTTGGTTTGGTATCTTAAAGGGGAATTGTACTGGGTGTTGGGTCGTTCACGGGCTGGTTGGTAGAGATCAAGGGCTAGGTTGGAGGTTCACTCTCGTCTGGCCTTGTTTTTACTGCGTATATACTACACAGACAAGATCGGAACAGAGGGGGGTGAAAAGCGGCACTCCGCTCGGCAGCATTGCAATGTAAACGCCCTCTTTGAATGATAGTTCCGGATCAAATTGCGAAGCTTCGTTTCTGGCTGTTGAATTACGGTCAACGCTGGCCGATTGTATCTTGTGTGGAAGCTTTATAGCCCTTGGTCTGGTCGGAAGGCATTGTACCACTGCGTATAAAGTACAAACTGATGATGAGGTGCACATCCCGGCCACGCAGAGTCATCTATGTAATTGCCTGTCACTGACCGGCGGCCCTCCGATTACATGATCGACCAGCAGCAGCCTCAAACTCAGGAAGCTCCTGGGTGTCTGAATGAAAAGCGTAAAACTTGACCTCTTCTTGATTCTTAAAGCTCAACATTTACTCAAGCCACATCCCGCGATCTCGTGACCCGAGCGTTATCCGTCCGGATCTACCATCTCCGCATCTGTAACCTCCGATATCCCGAACTATCACGAGACCTTGTCGGAGCTCTTGTCTTGAGGACTTTAAAAAAACCCCTGAAGATTGGCCGTCAATATCATCCATAGGAGTGGTCTCCAGACCGACAACTATCACAGCGATGGCTGCTGAATTAACCTCGATCAAGCTCAACGCTGAGAGCCATCTCATTCTGGTATGAACAGACCCCGACCTCCGCCGCATCGACGTCACTTCAGCTCACATTGTCTCTCTACCCGTCTCGTGCACAGGACCAACCCCTCCTCCGTGTACCACATGAGCTTGCCCGACGCAATTTCAAATCAGTTCAACGAGCCGTCGAACGAGAGAAGGAATATGTGATTCCGGCACTGAAAGATGCAGCCAATGCCGCGCTGTCCAATACCCAAACGCCCGACCAGACCTTGGCGGCTCTGGATGCGATGATAGCTCGCATGCAGGGACTGAAACGGAAAATGCAGATTCTCCAGGAGGAAGAACAAAAGATCCAGACTCAGTCCAAGAAACGAATCCAGCATCTGGAAGCGCTGCATCAGATCCCCAGCTTGGCAGATGTCAAGTATGACCAATGGTCACGTGTGCGTCTGGATCGGTTGCTGGTGGACCATATGCTGCGATCGGGATATTCAGAGAGTGCGAAACAGTTGGCCAAGGAGAGAGAGATTGAGGATCTGGTGGATGTGGATGTCTTCACGCAATGTCAACGGATTGTGCAGAGCTTGCATCGTGGTGATACCAAGGAGGCGTTGCAGTGGTGCAGTGAGAATAAAGCTGCGCTGAAGAAGAGCCAGGTATGTCGCTCTCCGCCTTGATGCTGCAACACTACCTTGTGAGAGCAAGTAAGTAAGATGACTGAGCGACATGTACAGCACAATCTTGAATTCGAACTTCGACTGCAACAGTTTGTTGAATTGGTCCGGCCACAAGATCCTCTCAAGAAGATCGAGGCTATCAGTCATGCGAGAAAATATCTTGTCCCAAATCATGACCACGACAGCAAGGAACTCCAAAGAGCGGCTGGAATGCTTGTTTTCAACGAGTCCACCAGAGTTGAACCATACAAGGTAAGACCCAGGCAGCATAATTTGGATTTCTTGACAAGCTCTCCCGAACTCTCGCTATCTGTTGGACACCTGAATTAACGAGTCGTAGACGCTTTTCTCTCCAGATCGATGGAAAGCGCTCGCAGATCTCTTCATTCGCACACACCACGAGCTCCTCTCCCTCCCATCACAGCCACTTCTCCATATCGCACTCTCTGCCGGTCTCTCGGCGCTCAAGACCCCACTGTGTCACTCGGCCTTCACATCATCTAGTTCCAATTCCCAGTCCACAACAACGTCTGTCTGTCCCATCTGCTCCACCGAATTGAATGAGCTGGCGCGTAAAATGCCCTACGCACATCATTCAAAGAGCTATGTGGAGAACGACCCGATCGTGCTTCCGAACGGGCGAATCTACGGCAAGGCCCGGTTGTCGACTATTAGCAAGAACACCGGATCTGTTGAACCGGGCAAAGTCAAGGATCCCACGACCGGCGATGTCTATGACGAGAGTGAGACGAAAAAGGTCTATATCATGTAGTTGAGGGTGCTGAGGGCGTTACATGGCTTGGTTGGGAGGGAGTCTGGCATCGATTACCCATTCTTTCGTTGTACATAGTACATCCTCATAGGCACTCCATTTGTTGTCGGCTTTGAATTTCATCCTTTCCCATTTGGTAATCATTTGGGGTGTAAATGTAGGGACCGAGTCGTATTCAGTAAAAGAGCACACCCGTTCTCAATAGGTACTTACTCGCTGTCGCTATCGCCCTCCCAGCTTCTCTTATTCTTCTGATTCTTCGCTGGTTTCTCTTCCGGCTTCACTTCAAACACATACATTCTCGCCAACCGATCCTCTCCACGCCATCCACCCCTCCCGCCGTCTTTCCCCTCCACTTCACCGAGGGTTCGCGCATGCGAATAGCCCTCGTACTCTGCCCACGGGAACCTGAAACTCGTCACCACCTGCAAGCCTGCATGTCGGGCCAAGTCCTTGACGTTCCATAAAGTGTATGGCTCGCCCTCAAACAAAGACACAAGGATCTGCCCTGGGCCAGTGCGGACCGCATTCCCGGAAGTAGCTCTCTTCTCCTCATCATCTGCCCCGTCGTCCGAATCAGATAATTCAGATGCATCGCTCTCGCCGTCCCCGTCTTCCTCCAAATCATCCTCATCTACAGGCGGCGGCGCCTTGGACAGAAGAGGCACGCACGCCTTGAAAAACGCAACGAGGAGCTCCTGGTTCGCCCGGACTTGACGATTCACGTCCGTGGAGAGACCGCCCACGTGTGGGAAATTGAAACAGATCACATCCCAGGGTCCGCCAGCGCTACTTTCTCCTTTGCCGGGGGTAGCTTGCGCGCCGTGTGTGAACCTAACCTTAGCACGGGAATGTAGCTGGGATTGCGCATTCATCTGCCGAGCAAGTTTCCAAGCGGGGATCTTGCGCTCCTTGCGAGGAAAGCCAGTGCGAACCTCCTTGCTCCCTCCGGCCGGGGTGCCTAGTTTGCGGGCATCCACGGAGAAAAGAACCTTCGGGGATGGCTTCCTTGAAGAGGACGCCGTCTGTTGATGAGACTTGTCGGCTTCGTCTTTGGTAGCGGGAGACGAGGTGCTCTCTTCATTGTCGAGAGCGGCATCTTCTGTGCTTTTACGCTTGAGGCTTGCAGAATTTAAAATCTCCTGGATGTGCTGTTCAGCTTGGGGGTACTTGCTGAAAAGCGTCTCTTTGGAGTCGTAGCATGTAGCGCATAGTTTGCGACATTTATATTGCTTTGCCAGGGAGCGGGCAAATGAGAAATCTCCTGTGATTGAGCGCATCAGCTTTGTCGATTCCAAGATTCTGGTACGATGGCGCAGGCGAGGGTGGAAAATCGCCATCTACTGGGAATAAAAGGCCAAACTCTTCGAGACAAGAACATAATGACATCGCCGGGTTACTTTGCAAAGCCGCTTCGCTTGACAATTATCCCAACTCGGAAACCGTAAAAAAGAGACATACAATATAATGCCAATCACATGAGAACATGCCCAAACCAAAACGCATAAAAAACCGAGCCCAAAAAAAAAAAAAAAAAAAAAAAAAAAAACTCACCCTCACCAACCAACAAGATCCGATCTCCCTTCAAAAAAGGCACAATCGGTCTCTGATTCGCCTGTAGCGACTGCTTCTTCTGCCCAGCACCACCCGTACCGTCTTGAGAAGCACCACTCGCCGCATTCGAAGCGACTGTCTTCTTATTCTTAACATGTTGGGATGCCGGCCCGGAGCCATTCTTCGCTGGACCTCCGCCATTGACTCCAGCGCCGGGACGATTGGCGCGTGGGGCAGGACCGCTCTTTTGCTTCTTGCGTGGCATTTTGTGAAGAGGGAGGTCGGAGGTACGGGGTTTAGTTGCTCGCGGTTTGAGGCTTCGTCGAGGCTTGTAGAAGGTGAGGTGGTCAAGTCACGTGTGGAATTGAGGGTGGACTTGATGAGATCTGGTTGATATCTTGAGTAGTCGAGCTCGACGATTCGAGAACACCTCTCGCGTTTGGAAGGGCACGCACTAATCGCTGGATATTTATTGTTCGTGAATATCTTTGTGCGCCACTGCATCAGATGTGCTACTGTAGTCAATTTCGTGATGAGGGTTGGAAAATCGAAGATCCAGTACGGTTCCGCTCCACTCGGCTGATCAAAGTTGCGGGATGTTTTTTTTTTGGTCGAGATTGTCAAGGTTCTTGTTGGCGATTTCGGACAATGCGCCCGAATGCGCCCCGTGTATCGGGCAGGTTATGGGAGTTTGGCAATTATTGACGTTTCGCTCGCCTGACGAGAGTGACAGAAAGGCAGAACATATGTGCTTCTCTTTCGGCCAAGGTGCGATGCAACAAGCGGACTTGAAGTGAACAGAGTCAGAGTGAGATAATCTGAGATTACATCAAGTACACATTGTTGGGGTTTCGTCCTCAATCATGTCAAACTTGCAGCTTGATGGCAGACGAATTCAGAAAAAAAAGTGAAACGATGCGTTCTATTCCCAACACGACATAGCTATATACAAGGAACCGGACTGGCAAAACCACGAGCTATGGCCTCAGCTTCATAGAGACATATTTTTTCCTCCAAGAAAATTACTATAATGCATACTGTGTCCAAGACCGGCGGCCTGCCTTGATGTAACAGCTTCCCCTCCAACAAACATATTAAAAGAGAAAGAAGAAAGAATTGAAACTGGAGAGGAGGAAAAGGTCCAATCTGAGAATGAGGCAAGGTCCACCAAGACCAGAAGAAGCGACAAGATTGACTCTTCAGCCCGTAAGTGGAAATCGGCACAATGGTGGGCGCAGGTAAAACGTGAATCGTACATATGCAAGGGAAATTCGAGAGAAGAATCATCTCGATGATGTCAACAAAAAGCTGTGTGTGTGAGATGCATGGAGATTTTCTCGAAAAGCGCGACAAGCGCTCATTCGAAGGAAAGGTGAAGATGACGAGAGACGTAACCACTGGTGTGGAGAACAGATCACAGAACGGATGATGGTTTCATCTGCTCTGGACGTCTCGTGGGAAGGCGGTAATTTTGACTTCAGATAGCTCCCGGCAGCGCTCAAGAGCGCAGCGAGTCACGCATGCTTTGGCTGCTGGCGCTGACCAAGGGGTTGGCCGTGGGGAGGACGCCGGTCTTGGGCTTGGCGTTCTGCTTGATCTTCGCCACTGTGTACACAACGCCGGAAATAAAACCAACAACGATGGCCGACACACTGGGGAAAGTGACGGGCGCATCGAAGAAAATGAGACCGGACACGGCAATGGGGAGCTTGTTCAAAGAACCCACCATCGAGTATGTGGTGGAAGAAGTCACACGAACGCACCAGGCGGAGGTGTAGGAGATGAAGACGGAGGAGACACCGGTGACGATCATGGCGAAGAAGATGCCGTTGCGGTTGGCCTCGGGGAAGTTGCGAGCCAGATTGGCGGCGGACCAGTCCTCAACCAAGAGAGTGGCAACGATCAAGACCGGGATGGACAGCAAGTTGTTATAGAACATGGCTGTTACAATAGTTTAGCAATTGAAGAATGTCAGGGCCCAAATCTTAAGATCAAACATACTGTCAAAGTCCTTGAAGTTGGTCAACTTGATGCGCTTGCGCATGCTGAGGATATAGGATGAGGTGCACAGGCAGTTGATTATCATCCAGACGTATCCAGCATTGAGGGCCGAGACCTTGCTGCTGGTGTCGCCGCTGCTCTCAACAGCGTGTTTGATGTCGGCCCAGGCGGCGATGATGGAGCTGAGAACCATCAAGCCGAAGGAGAAGAGGGACATGTTGGAGACGGAGCCACCGAACCACAGGACCTCACCATAGGCGATGAGAATGATGGTCAAGTTCTTGAAGATGGTGTAAACCGGAATGGAGAGGAACTGAAGAGCCTTGGAGCCGGTGTAGATCATGCCGATAAGAAGGAGAGTGATGGGGAACCCTATGAAGCGGAGGACAACATGTCAGCTCAGCGTTCGTCATCGGAAAAGAGATCAGAGTAGTCGGTGGTAAGACACACATTTCTTGGCCTCGTCGGAGCTAAAGTCCCGATAGGTAATGAGACCCATGGACTTGCACGTCTGAATTGCGAAAATACACACGACGGACTAAAAGGCGCATGTCAACAAACCAAATCTCAAACTGGACAGCAAAAGAGTAGAAAGAAAGAGAAAAAAGCCTGCAAAGAGGAATCTCGTATCACCACCTACCTGGACCATCAGAAGCAAAAAGTTGAGGTTAAAGTCCAGACCCGACAGCACATACTTGTTCATCACAGTCATGAGAATCGAGGAACCGCAGTATGCCAAAATCGGAAAAGCGGGATTGTTGGATATAGAGGAGGACGGAGAGCTTGCGGCCCGGTTCAATGGAGGAGGTGCGGCCTCGAAGGCCTTGTTGCCCTGATCGAGTTTGTCCATCTCGATGGCGTAGTCGTTGGTCTTCTTATCATCAACCATCTTGGCGGAGGTGACCCGTTGGTCGGGGGGGGGGGGGGAGGTGGTTCAATGTTCGCAAAGGGATTTATAGCCGGGGACGAGCGCAGACTCGAAGAAAGATATGAGTCTGTCGGACGAACAAGCTCGATTTCTAGGGAGAAGATAGAGAACAAAGTCCAGGTGAGACACGGCGGGATGTACACGACGCGCAAAGGAGAGGCTTCATTTCAAGGGGAGCAAATAATCTTTCTGGCCGGATCCAGCCTGCTTACCTCAGCGGGGCCCCAGCGGGTCAGTAATTTACCGCCTGCTGAGTGCTGAGTCGCTGACGGGCGGCAGAAGTCGACACCTGACGAACAAGGCCATACATCTTTCACTATAAATAGAGTGGATAAGCTTTGGCACTCCAGCAAGACTGCGGCATTATTATTGTTGAGTACGACCGCATGGGTACTAGGAGTAGGTGGCATGCTTCATTAAGATCTAAACCATACTACCTATACCTGCACACTTGGTAACTCAGACTCAGTGGTCCATTGAGTTTAAGCTTTCTCCAAGGGGAAAGCACTTCATTCTAGTCCGCTCAAGGCGAAATAGTCTAATCATATAATGGAGAGGTTGGTGATATGATGTCCAGCACTATGCCCTGCGGCCTGCACGGAGGATCTGCCTATCGTGGAAGGCATCAGCACGACAGGTCACGTCTTATCAGGTAGGCAGGCTCTCGCACGTCTGATATGGGAGACTTTCATCAAATTACATGGGATAAAATGCCCCGTCATAAAAACGATCGAATAATTTTCGACCTCTATTGGCATCAACATAGCTGGAAAACGTTCCCTCGCTAAGCGCTCCGTCAGGAAATTGCTGCGAGTACTTCAGCTTGTCGAGCCGCCCAGTACTTTCTCTTCGTCAATGATCTCGTCGATCTCGTCTGCGGCAATCGTGGTTCCTGTACGGCCGATAGGGGACGAGCCACAGCAGCAGACGTGAGTCATCTCCAGGGACTGAAACTCTTTCACGCGTAGCATGTCATCAACTGCTTGTTGTGTAATTAAACTGCTTTGCAATTCGTCAATCATGATCAAAATCTCGAGGGCCCAGATAGGCTGAACAAAGCGCTCTTCGGGTGACCATGCAGCACTCGCTCTGAGGAGCTGAAGAAGGGGAGAGCAGCCCCCGGGAGAACAGGGGCAATAGCAATTATCACGAGTTGAAGCATCTGCTCCCTGACGTAGGAGAGTAGCGACAAGTGAAAGACACTTCGATACTGTGCCATAAGGAGACGAACTAATATCCAGGAAGTAGCCGCTGGCTTCAATGATTGCGCGGATCGACGAATGTAGAGGTGTCTGGCGCCTGACATCCTGCCAAGTCAAATCACAGCCGTAGGACATGATGGTACGGGCCTGTTCATACTTCCATTGCAACAGGAATTGGTGAAATGCAGTTTTTCCAAGTTCGTTTCGATAGTTCACCAGATTAAAGCCCCCATCCATCAGAATTCGTATCCACTCTGAACCCAACGCAAAATGTAGCAAGGTGCCACCTCCATAACGAGGAGGTCTATCCTGGTCTTCGAGCCACCATGTGCTTATCGAGGCCAAGTTCAAGCATCACTTCGAGGCAGTCATGATTCATGCCAAGATAGCGCAATCTATCCACAGCATATGCCATGAGATCACGCAGAAAATGCGCGAGGACCGCCTCCGGGACTTTGTGCGCACGATAGAACTTGAATGTTTCACGCAATACATCCCATCGCTCCGCGTAGAGCGCGTCCTCCAAGAATCCCGGATGATCAAGACGATCTAGAAGACTGGAACCATTGTCGATCTTGGACAGCCTGGTCTCGGTTGCGAGTAGTAACATCAATGACTCAATACAGCCGTGTGCAGTAGCGTAGTCTAGAGGACATCTTCTCGCAACGTGGGGTGCAGCTTTGAGAATATGGGATACAGAGTCTTTCTGGTTATATGCTGCGGCGTAGTCCAATGGATAGTTGCCGTTGCAATCTGGTATGTCTAGTAAGGGAAGCACCCCGGGTCATGCTTGAAGTAAGGCAGCGAGGACAGTTGGCCTTAGAACAGAAAGATGAGCGGCTGTCTGACCGAGATGGGATGGTTCTGGTCTTGGTAGGATTGTGAATTATTTGCAGAGAATGCTCTCCATCAGTGGCGTTTGGCCCCAAACTCCTAGAACCAGCGTGTGAGTGAGGTGATGTTTCCAAGATATTTAAAGCATCCAAGGAATTCGGTAACACGTAGAATTTAGCTTACCATAGCAATAGCTAGAGCAATAGCTAGAGCAAAGTCGCTGGAACTTGAGCAGAAAAGGGTCGCCGTGTATAGGTCTTTCACCCTTTGAGCGACGGATCAATTTGGCGAGATATTCACAGCTAGATGAATCAATTAAGCAGTCGTAGCCCGCGCGTAGTAGCTCTTCCAGAATACGCGGGCGAAGACTAGTGTCGAAATGACCATGCCCATAGCATGCAACTAGGTATAGAAGCCTGAGGAAATCATTCACAAGTTATCAGCCCGATCAAATCGAAACTCGGATCCCACACAACATAGTCATACGGCATCACAGTCCTGTCATGCGCACGGAAGCTACAGAGGACCTTCACAAGCATGAGCATAACGCGATGGTCTATAGTCTTTCGATAAAGAACAGTCTAGGGGATCATCTCAGTGGTGGTCTTTCCCTAATAGGTCATATATTAGATTCAAAGTACCTCAAGCAATGTCCTGCCGCTAGGAAAAAGATCCCATGGTGACGCTTTCCGGGCTCCGAATAAGTCTGAAAAGCCAGTCTAGTACTTTCCCAGAGGTCATTCTATATAAAATCCGCATCATGGTAGTATTGGTGTGAGATATTGTAGAATATCCGAGCCGCAGCGCATGTATTCTTGACGAGCATCTGAAAGGAGAGGCTCGGAGCGAATAGTCCCATGATATCTCCAAGTCGGCCTTCACAGCATACATCACCCCTAATTTCGACAGATTGAATTCGTAAGAATATCTTTGTTTTAAATTCTGCTGATGCCTGCTAGGGGGCCCATCTTGATCTTGTATGGACTGCCGTCACGCCGTGAGCACCAATTCAGCACCTTACGAATTCACGTCATCAGCACCTTGAGAGCGCGACTCATCCGCATCTGCTTTTTCACTTATAGAAAAAGCTCCAGACTACTCCATCGACGACTGGAGACTAAGTTTCACAGCTTGAAACGACAGGACCAGAGTTGCGTAGATCATCATGAGTTTGGCATCGTTTTCAATATCACTACTGAGTTTTTCGAGCGCTTTCGCGCTTCCTTCAGACTCGGAGAGCCTTGCGGGTCCTCGTGCGCTTCGAGTCGGATGGCAGAAGGACCAGTCTGAACACCATGGCCTCTAAGTCAGTCAACCGGGACATGATCTGAGCTATCGACGTGTCCATTCTGGATCCGTCCTCCGACGTGAGCGCACGTTGAACTGCTGGGTCTTGAAGGCTTTGCAGGACCATGGCAAAAAGAGGTAGTTGTCCACGAAGTCTGCTCAGATGTTCTGGGACACGTTCAGCTTGGCAGATGTAATCGATGATGCGGCAAGTGATTGTGGCAGAACAGTCCACGAGCTGGACGAACGAGGAGACCACCGCTACTGTGGCTGGAAACCCCGCCATATTGTTTGCGTCGTGAGCTCGGACTCGGGGTGTTCAGTCTGGGAAGGCGGAATCACCTGAAGAGACTACCTTAGTAGGTAGGGGCGGAAGGAAGTCTGCATTGACGAGGGAAGAGAGAAGAGTCCTGGCATAGCGTGGATCACTGAGGTCAACCCAGGCCTCCATCATGGAGGCTAAGGAGGACTGTGCGGAGGAAGCAGGCAATGAGCCTATGGATAACGTATTCGGATGAAGCTGCGCGGCTCCTACACAGGTATAGTCTATTTCTGCGCCGACCACCGGCGTCACCTACCCGTGACGTTTACCATTAGCAAAGTTCGGCTTGGGCGCCAACTGTATAATTTAACACAGGGCGAGCTATACACAGACGTATATCTTCGAACGAACTCCATTGGAATGGGCGAGCAGTTGCGATGTGCAATAAGATGCTTAACACAGAACTACATAGAATCGACTTGAGAGAAATGAAGGTTCCTTTACGACTCTACAGCTTTGACTACTCCGCTGTATATCATAGTATCCCCGTATGAATCAGGGGCAACAACTCCTGTTGCGTTATGGAATCTGAGTATCTCTATGAAGAACTCTCTCAGTGCGAGCAACCCATCCTAAACGAAGATTGAACCTTCTTCAGATCGGCTTGAATCTGCGATTAGTTAAAACTTAAAAAAGTGACTCTACCGGGAATACTCACGGCGGTCCAAGCTTCCCCGAGTGGGGGAGCTCTCCTGAAGGCGTCCCTCTCCTCAGCCGGCAAAATCATCCACCTGACCGGCGGAGTCAGAGTGTATTGACTTTGGCTTGCGGTCCTCCCAACTTTTTTTTCTTCGTAAACATCACCACCTCCCCTCAATTCATCCGACAATTCATCTGATCAACCCCTCAAACATCAACAAGAGCTCTCAAATTATCCTACTCCAAGACCCGCAATTCCACCACTACAAACCCACGACAAAAACAATTGATCCTCTTTTCCTCCCCCCACCCCCCCCAAAAAAGAAGAAACAAAAGAAACAAAACCCCACCAAAATGCCCACCGACTCCGAAGACGAAGCCCTCTTCGCCTCCCTCGCCGCCGAAGAAGCCTCCAGCTACCGCGACACACGCATCCAACAACTCAACGCCGAATTCGCATCCTCCAAAACCAACCGCACCACCGATTCCTCCTCCACCACCACCACCACCCCCTTCACCCTCGCCCACCAATCCCCCACCTACCCAACCCTGTCCACCGACCAATCCGTCCTCGACCACACCACCTCCTCAACCCGCAGCATAATCCACTTTTCCCACCCGGACTTCGCGCGCTGCGACGTGATGGACGCGGCGCTGGCGCGGCTCGCGGCCGCGCACCACGAGGTGCGCTTTGCGCGGGTGGACGTGCGGAACACGCCGTTTTTGGTGGAGAAGTTGGGGATTCGCGTGTTGCCGTGCGTGATTGGGTTTCGGGACGGGGTGGGCGTGGAGAGGGTTGTTGGGTTTGAGGGGTTGGGGGAGAGGGGGTTTGATGCTGTGGGGGGTGGGTTTCGGATTGGGGTGCTGGAGAGGAGGATGGTAGGGAAGGGGGTGTTTGAGGAGGTGAGGGTTGGGGATGGCGAGGAGGCTGGGAGTGAAGGGGAGGATGGGGACGAGGACGAGAGTGATGATGGGGAGAGGAGGAGGAATGGGTTGATGGGACGGGTGGGCAAGGCGAAGCCGAAGGGGAGGAGTATTCGGAGTGGGAGGGTGAGAAGAGGGATGGATGAGGAGGACGATGATGATTGGGATTAAGAGTCGTGCAGGATTCTTGTATACCAGAAAGACGTCGGCGCGTCTTGTGTCATGGAATTGATCTTGACAGGACCCGCATGTTACATGTGTAAATATGGACGTCTATATGGGCCGATGTCTCGAAAGGTAGCTGAGACCAGACTAGCAGCATCTTGTCCAACTAGCAGCATCTTGTCCAGAGTCTCGGTCGTCGTGGACAGATTGAGCGGACCCTCGCTGATCATTTACACATCAGCTATTCCTGGGAAATGGCCACCAAACCCCAACCGTACGAACAGGACTTGGAGAGACTCGGACTCGAAGGAATCATTGAAATCCAGATAAAGTGGTAGCACAGACCTCGCTTTCAAGAACAACCTCAATGTAAAGTGCAACTTCCAATCCTTCAATACTGCTAGAGTTACAAAACAACATATATGCTCCAACAAGCCGCAAGACCCGGGTAAGAGGATCTCAAACGTACCCAGTGATACCCACGCATACGCACACGCACAGACAAACCACTCTCAAACAGAATACAGCAGCCATAATGGAAGTAGCAATCCAGACCAGGAAGGAAAAAAAATAATAAAGACACAAGCTGGAGAAATAAGAAAAGAAAGTGAAAAAGGTTCTATACAAGAAACTGAAACAATGGTGGCAGAGACATCCCCCAAAGGCTCGGTTCATCGACGCCGGCGTTGCCCTTGAAATTGAAAAAAAAGGGGATATTGGAAAGAAACGAGAGTTGGCAGGGTTCAAGCCGAGAGAGAAAGAAAGATCGAAAGAGGACACAATCGTAGGTTATTGTTGGAGAATTAAAAAAAAGACACAGCAGAGGCAAGGGGAGCTCGTAGCCACCGCATCAAACCCAGAAGAAGCCCAGAAGTAAGCGTTGCAAGACTCCAGTCACAGCTGAACCGGAACGGACCCCGGAAGAATATAGAAAAGCATCATGCTGGATGGCACGACCATTTGCTCCGCTTTAAATGGCCACGTTCTTCATCTCTCCCAAGACCTCCGAATCAACAGGGTCCGCCGATTCGGCAGCACCATCGGCTTTATCCTTCTTCGCCTTCTTCTCTCCCTCAACCGGCTTGGGCTCGCTGGCATTGGCCGACACCTCATTCTCCTTATTGGAAATCTGCGGTGTGGCCACCTCCATCAGCAAATCCTCTGCCGGCTCGGCTTCCTTGGTCAATTCACGAGTGTCTTCGGAGATGACCGGACCCGTCGAGGTAATCGGACTGGCAATCTCTTCGGTCACTCGGGCCAAGGGACTGGACACGCCAAAGGTGTTCTTGGGGCTTTGCGCAGATCCCTTGTTGAATCGGTGCGGAGAGCGACCGCGTTCCTCAGTGCGAGTGGGACTGCCGTAGGGCGACTCACGGCCGCTGGCCTTGCCACTGCCACTGACACCCAACCCGTGAGGACCACGCCGCCGGGGAGCCCGACGACCATACTTCTGGTCCACGCGCCAGCGGAGAATTTCCAAGTAAGGAGGCTCGACATTCTGCGACTTGAACTCCTTCAGCTTCATTTCGTTGGTCTCCTCGTCAACGGTGGTCTTGCCGCTGCAGAGATCTTCCGCAAACATGGCCAAAAAGGCCGCCCATGAGCGCGCCACCACGTACTTGCAGTCGTAGTCACGGCCAAAGATGATCACTTGGCCCCATTTACCAGCCGGGCCGGGAGCCAGATCGATGGCGAGGTGATTGCCACCCCAGTCGCGGGTGACAGGGATCCAGCCGTGGTGCGCATATGCCCTCTGCACGGCACCGGGGGCTGTGAATCTTGACGGTCCAGCAGATCGTTGCGCCAGGCACCCGCTGGTTGCTGAGCGGCGGCGGCCGAGGAGCCGGCAACGGAGCTTGACACAGCCGCGGGAGGAGGACCGTTCTGACTCAAGAACTCATCGTTGACAATCTTCCAGTTCCTTCGTTCTTGCACAATCTCTTCGCAGTCCAGAAGCATACATCCGAACATGACCCCGGTCGGCAGACCACCGCGTTCTTGACCATCGTGAATCATCAGCGACTCACGCAACTCCAGGGGCAATGTGCAGTCCAACTCGTGTTCCAGTTCATTGATGTCGTTTTGTGTACATCCTTCGCCCAGGTTATCCAACAGTTCTTCGTAGTTGTGTTCCAACCAGCGCTCGATCTTCCGCCAGGAATGCGCCACGGGGGGTGGAGGGGGCGCGCCGTCGTGGAAGCTCTGCATTTGAATCTCCGAGGGCACTTCCGTCTCATTGGAGCCCCGTTTTTGCGAGGAGAAGGATCGCATACCGGGAGAATAGGGGCGATTGCCGGCGGCGCCCTCGGCGGACGAGTCGTTCCATTCAGTGACTTGGGCAGAGCCCTTGGAAGGTTCGTCGTCGTATGGACTGGAGAGATCGGGTCGAGACTCGATTGCGCTGGTGGCAATGGAGGTGAGAGGTTCATGGCGACTTTGACTGAGGGGAACATGCCGACCGGTGCGGTAAGGTGAATCATGAGAGGCATGACGGTCGTAGGAAGTCATGGTGTGCCAAAAGGAGCGCCATGCTGATCCGATTCTATAATGGCCAAGGGGGGGAGAAGCGGACGGTTAGCACATACTAAAACCGCGACGTCGGGAGAAATAAGAAAAGGGTCAAAAACAGCGTCGTCAGTAGCCAGTATCAAGCAGAAGAATGAAAATGACAATGTAATGGTGATTTTTTTTTTCTCTTTCTTCTTCTTCTTCTTTCATTCTTCTTCACTTGTTCTGACCAGAAGACTCTCGCCAATGCCTCGGGCTCGACAAACTTACGCGTTGGCCATGATGACAGGGTGGGTGAGGAGAAGAGAGGAGTCGATGTTGTCAGAAAGAAAACTCCCAGACGATCATTGGCGACCAGCGTCTCCGGAGAGGAGAAGAGGGCGAGTTGGCTCCAAGACGAGAAGGACGCCCTGCCGTTGAAAGTTGCCGTAGACGTGGACAGGGGAGGGGGGGGTGGTGGGTTTCAAATCACCAGAGAAGGTCCAGACGTCGAGATGTGAAGAGAGAAGGGGGAAGGGAGGAGACGAGGATTGTCTGTTCCGGTGGAAACTCCCGTGATGGAGTGGACGGAGGAACTCAGGGACTCGGTGTCGAGAGCGTTTTGAAGACCCTCGTCCAGGTACTTCTTTTTATTTTGATTTGGTTTTCTTGTGGTGTCCACAGGTGAGTGTATGAATCAAACCAAGGGGAGGCAGTTAAAGAATCAGGATAAGACTTCCATGGCGGCAGGCACGAAAATTATGATTAAGTTGGTCCCTTCCCCGTGATTCGTACAAGGGCTCCGCCGGTCCTTTTTGGTTCTTTGGGGGCTTTTCGGAGCCCACGAGGAGGTACCGCCGGCCTATTTTTAAGCCCTTGAAATCGACACGAGAAGACAGTCTGCATGGATGGAAATTGACAATCATCGTCATCGAATTGTTTAAAATTACGACCATTAAACTATCAGGAACATGAAGAGAACAATGAAAAAGCACGAATCATATTCCGAGAATGGTGAATGCCAATTGTCTGCTGGGCGCATTGAACTTGCATGACCCCAAAGTATGTACACCCGTGGATGACCCTGTTCCGGTCGACTTCGAATGTCCTATCGCACGGCGAGGGTACCTGAGTCCACCAACAGAAGCCTATTTCCCGCGCCACTGGCTCAAGTGTTGGAGCTCGAGATTACCGTCCGTATCTACGATCTATAGCTTTGACTAGTTGAGGTCAACTTGCTAAAAGGTGAGCTCTACATGTCAGACCACTTGAGTACTGGACAGGCTGCCCAGTGGCCAGGTGTCCACGTACCAATACCAGCCCTGGGGGAACGAGGTACAGAGGTAGGACAACGATTCCATCACATTGACTCCTGTACTCCCAACCCACCTCACAAGGAACAACTCCGTCATTATCACGACCATGCAGCACACAGCGTCGATCGAATCACATCAACCAAAGAGCACCAGAGCACATACCCACGACCCATCTCTGTTGGGTGACACCTAATGACATTCCCTTCCGTCACCTGTCATCCGTACACGTATTCGCCACCACGGGTGCAACAGCCTCAACCCACCTACACCTTCATCAGCCCTTCAGGAGGCGACTGACCTCATAGCCACAGCCAAGACTCGACGACTTGACTGCATTCGGAGAATTGTAAGGGACAAGGGGACCATGAGTCGCCATGATCGACATGGCAGACATACCTGAACAATCGTGGTTGTCCTGAATGCGGGCCAAGGGGGTGTAGACGGGAGAGGCAGAGGGACTGACGAAGAAAGGAAACAGGTGGCGCGCGCCAAAATGGCGTCGGGAGAGGACAGAGACGAACAAACAGTGTGCATCATAGCGTCGAGTGTCGACTCTTTACTGTCTAATTGTCCAGTCAGTGTTGCTGGCGCAGTTTGACATGTGACGGAGGATCTCAATCAGGATCGTCCTGCCAGGTACCGACTCGGCACTTGTGAAGGGACTTGGACTTGGTTCTCGGTACGCCATGAAACCGACCGGAGCGGCGGAGATGACCTGCTCGTACACCTCGTATTGCTTCGACGGAGACTATTCCGATGACTAGATGACCATGAAGACCGAGCTCAATGCCTACATAGTCGAACATGATTCATGTCAAATTCGACATCATCTAGTGCCGGGAGAGTCAAAAGGCGGACCACATCCACACAAGGAGCGAGGAAACGGTGACGTTGGAACCACAATGTCCAGTCATGATGAGACGATCGTTCAATTCAGTAATGTACTGACTGTCGCCGGGCTAGAAATGATGACCACTTCCCAATAAGCGGCGATAGTAGTAATTGCAGTAGTAACGAGACTAACTAGGAACTTATCCAATATGCAATCGTGAACAGTACCAGGCCACAAGCACCGTAATAAACTTCGACTTCTATGTTCCTGAGAATCCTTACTCATTCCCACCAAAATCCCAAAATTAAGCTTCCTCGAATCCAAGACAAGATCGACCGCCGGCCAGAAACCAGCAAGAAAACAAACCAAAAAAAAAAAAAAAAAAAACGAATAAAAAGACAAAAGACAAAATCTCCTGGTCCTCCGTCCTGAACAAGTTAGCATCAACAGTTTTTGTCTCGGGAGGAGCGCCACACGCGTTAACTATCGGGTTCCGGTCTGAGGTTCCTTGACTTCCAAAACGGGCGGGTGAAGAATCTCGGGATCGGAGGAGATGGTGAATGGCAAGTTGACGAGCTTTCATCGTCATAGCTTGCTGCAAATGAACAATCATTTGTTCCATTGATGTTCTGCCTTGGGATTGAGCTTTGATGATGGCTGGGAAAATTGAATGTGTCCGAAGATCACAGCCCCAGTGCTCGAGTGCTCACACGGTGTACAGGTACAATCGAGCTTATAGGTTTTTTCGCCTGAGGTGGTGTGGAATGGAACATCTCCGAGGACTTGAGTGACAGTAATTACCCAGCGCGAGCCTACACAAGTAGGCAACTATAGAGCCAGTGTGCTGGTTTCGAGCGTTCCTCCTCCGTCCCTGTCCATTTTCTCTACCAGTGGACACCTGTATCCATTTGAAAGTTGCCCCTACCTTCTAACTAGTAGTCATTCCTGCATACTGGCAAGTTTTTGTAGATGTGCAGCACGTAGGCGAGCATAATTCAACCGGCTACAGGACGAGCAATGTACAGGATTCGGTGTGCCAGTAGATGACCATGGAGTTACTCTCAGCGGTAGACAACAGGTATTAAGACGACATGTCCGATGACAGACACTCTGCAAGTGTATGCAAAGTACCTTTTGTTGACGTACCCAGACTCTACTTGCACAACTCGAACAAAAAAAAGATTGTAGAAGGATGGACGCGAGTTCGACTTCGCAATAGTTAGAACTATGGAGCAGGAGAGTGGCACGCGGGCACATCAGTAAACATGCCGGTGCTGCAAAAAGTCAGAGAACCCCAAGGCCGACGAATCGACGCAGTTAAGTCAGTCATTCGGCATCGTCGGGCAACTCGAAAGGTCCCCTCAGCACTCTCAAAACAGACACGGAAATAAAGAAAAAAAAAGAGGAAAAAAAAGAGGGAGGTTCGCAAAAGAGGAATCGGTAAGGAATGATCCGCGTGCCAGGTTTTAAACCAAGTCACGCAACGCCCAGGGAAGCGCGTCGCCTCATCGAAGACAGAACGACGACTGTCAATGCGTCGCATCCATTGTCGTCAGCCGAGCGACCATACATCATGCATGCCACGTCATACTTGATCAAGCACAGCACCCGCAGGTGCCATGCGAGAAGATCGCCAGCGGAAAAGGAAACGAAACTCCGACCGATGCAAACGAAGCAGCCAGACCTCGTATCAAAACATAAGAAACTCCCCTTAATCGATTCAAACAAAGACCGAACCAGCCAGGCCAGATCCAATCAGAGAAAAAGGCTGCATCAAGAACCCAAAAGCACCCAAATGCCGTGACAGAAATAAACCCCCCCGCACATTCGATATTATCGTCATCCAGCAGGAATGAGAGGTAGAGAAGATCTCGGGAGCAAGTTTCGCAGTAGTAGGTAGTGGTAAGAGGGAAAGACCATAAACGCATCGAGGTGGAATCAAGAGATCGTTCAAGGAACAATACCTGGCAGGGGTTGCTGAAGGTGAAACAAGAAACAATAACATCCCTGGAACCCAGTCCAAGAACGTGATGCATGCCGCCTGGGCAACCGATGCAAGAAGATCCGTCAAACGCAGTGGGCGTGATAAATAAGAACGAGGAAGACGTTGGTCGAGGATGAATAGGTGGGTAAGAGGGAAAAGAGAAAGCCCGGGAAAAACGAGAGGAGGGGGGAGAGAAAGGCACATATGTGAGGTCATGGATCGAAAATGCGCAAGAAACGAAGTCATGTCCTTCGTTCTCTAGATATGCCACATGCACGGAAATCCAGAGCCAGAACAGAAAAGAGAAAAAAAATCAACACAAAGCTCAATATGACCGTGGAAGGGGCCTAGGCGGCAAACGAGCTCTGCAAATTCGAAGAAGGAAGAGCAGGCCCGGAGGTTTGGGCGGCATCCAACTTTAAGATTCGGCGCAGATCATCCTCCATCTTCTTAGTGTCGACCGGTCCAGAGGTGGCAGGAGGGGAGTTGACCAAAGGAAATGCAGCCTGGTGGTACTGGGGCTCTGGCGGGATGAACTGGGTCTGCTGTGGCATAGCTGCAGGCGCGGTCGCGGCAAAATTGTTGTTGGCATGAGGCGCAGGCGAGGAATAACCAGAGGAGTTTCCGTTGCTGTAGAAACTTCCATTGGCGCCGTTGCCATAGATATTAGCATAACCATTAGCATAGCCATTAGCATGACCATTGACCATGGGCACCGCACGTCTCAGAGGAGACTGAGTGCTACGAAGCGGCTGCGAGCTGTTGGCATACGGGTAAGAGTACACCGATTGTGCGGCACTGTCGCCATGGTTGTTCACTGGCGCGGGTTTGGTCGGACCGGCAGCTGGATGGCCTTGCGAGACATCGGCGGGTGGACCAGAGTAGGCGCGCATCGGGGTTGCGTAGTGAGAAATCGAGGCATTGATGTTTGGTCGGATAGGACTGGAGGCGCCATAGTTGCCCGCGGGCTTGTTGGTGGACGACGATGCCGAAGCAGAAGGCGGCTCTTGAGGTCGTGGGTTCAGAAGCATGTACTTCAACTGCTCCGTTGTGGCGCGATATTGATCTCCGCGAGGTGCCGCAGGACTGGGGGAGGGAGATTGCGCGGGGAAAGTAGTCGAGCGCAAAGCATTCATGCGATCTTGATAGGAGGGGGCGAAGGAGGGACCAATGGGGGAAGCTCGTGCACGATCATTTTCCAGATCCATTGGGAACATGCCACCGGCAGTGTGATTGGAATTTGAGCGAAGGACTTTGGAATCGGTCTGCGGCGAGCGCATGCGAGTAGATGCCTCCGGACTGCCAACGTTGTTCCCGGTACGAGCCTGAACGGCAGCTTGAAAAAGGAAGTCCAAAGGCGAGGGTTGATGAGCCGCCTGAGCTGGGTTTGCTGGCTGTGGGCGAGCAACTCGTGGCTTGGAGGGTGTGGTCTCCAGATCAACTTCCACATCCGCAGTGTCGCTGTCGGTTTCTAAGTGAGGTGCAAGATCGGACTCAGGCAGCGACTTGGAAAAGAAGCTTGGAATGGGCAAAGCGGATGGAGCCGGGGAGGCGTGGAAGGTTGGACCAGCATAGGCAGCGGTAGAATCCTTGGCGGGAGTCGCAGTACCGGACTGGGAATGAGAATGCCTGTGACCATTCTGGCCAGGGGCAGAGGAGTATCCATTGGCATTGCGCGGTGGTTGTTTCTTGCCCGAACGTGGGGGTCTTTTCTTGGTGGATTGGACATTGACCGATGAGTCTGTCATGGCGCCGACACCTGCGGGACTCATGTTGCCCGGAGGCGAAGAAGGTGGGGTGTTGAGGGGGATAGAGTTCTTCAACTTGGGGGTGTTTGGCTTCTTTGAGGATCGGCGTGGATGAGAATTTCCGTTCATGTTGTTGTTGTTGTTGTTGTTGTTGTTGACGGCGTTGCTGTTGTTGTGAGCGTTGTTATTGCGAGCGCCCTTTGGTGTATGAAGGCGTGGAGATTGGGCCGACATTGTGACGGAGTTGTGTTGGCTTGAGAAATAGGCAGCCTTTGCGAGAGGACAGAGAAAGAGAAAGAGAAAAGGAAAAAAAGCCGAGCAGTAAACAAGCAAGAGAACGCTGATTAGCACGGTCGTGGTGTCAAGATCAGAGAAGCAAGTCCGGTCACTGCTCAGCAGCTGTCAACAGAGTGAAAACGCCCGGAGACACCGTAGAGCAAAGGAACTGGGAGGAAGATTGCGACGCTTTGCGGAGCAAGATGTGGATTAGAAAAGGTAGCAGGGTTGGTGGAAGATGACGTGAAAGAAACGTTCAAATGAAAGCAAACTCGATGGAATTGCACGAGTGCAACATGGTTGGTGTGAAACAGAAGAACGTGGTAAGGTTGAAGAGGAGAGAGTAACGCCGAGTCATCGTCAAGGTGACGAGTGTGTCGCAGAGCCCGGCTGAGTGCAGCGGGGGATGACTAAGGCCTCCGCCACAGAGGTTCAGGCTGAAGTTCTACGGTGGGATTTCTACACTTGTCACACCCATTATCGGGCGCGGCATTCCTTAGCGCTGGACCCGATCATCGATCGTATCGGAAGATCGGTTTATCGAATTGCAGGCGGTCAGGCCATCGTCTTCGTCGGCTTGCCTCTCGAGTTTCTTTGACCATTCCACCATCTCTGGTCTCTACCGCCATCTCCACCGCCCTATTCACCGCCCCAAACCCTACGATGAGCGTTTCGAAGAGCTGGGCTGGTTATTCCGGCTACGGGATATAGTTTATCCGTCTTTGACTTTGAAGTGTGGAGGACTCTCGATATGCAGACATGTAGTAATCAAACCATATACGGAGCCAACGGGTGTAAGAAGTCTACCAGCTTGGCGAGTTCTCCCAGCGGTTGATGAATCATTTCGATAACTCATCTCACCGACATTTGTCACTTCTCCTTTGAGCGTCACTTCTATCTGAGTAGGTGACTACCTACCTTACTTTATGAGTCCTCCCAAGGTCTTATCAGCTTATCGCCCTATCGTCTACCGTAGAACTAGAGCGTAGACAAAGACGCTCTCCGCCTTCGAAGCTCCCCTACGTAATACGCTGTCTTAGCTCTCTCTCCCGCATTACTCGGTGCGGCTAGTGCTACACCTCTTCCACTCGTTGTTTCTCCCCACCTTCATCTTGAATTCCGGCATAACATTTAAAGCCTGTCCCAACCCATACACAAAAACACACTACGACGCATCGATGGCGGACGTCGAGATGAAGGAGGCAGATGCCGCTACCGACAAGGGAAAAGCTGTTGCAAAGAACACCGACGCGTCCAGCGATAAGAAGAAGTTCGAAGTGAAAAAGGTCTTTCCAGATCCAGCAACCTTGGGAGCCGCAGAACAAATCGACTATAGCAAAGCGCTGGACTGACACAATTTTCGCCTGCTTTCTAGTGGAACGCCGTCGCTCTCTGGGCTTGGGATATTGTCGTCGACAACTGCGCCATTTGTCGAAACCATATCATGGACTTGTGTATGTCGAAGATGCAATCTATAAGCGACCAAATCCCCAGTGTTTGACAATTTGCCGTTGACGGGTTTCTAACACGCCTCTCTTGCTTATCTATAGGCATCGAATGTCAAGCGAATCAGGGATCATCAACTACAGAGGAGTGTACCGTAGCATGGGGAATTTGCAACGTGCGTCTTAACCTCTTCTCATACTGCCCGATCTTTCTGAGTTCTTTGGTACAAGCGATCGGCACCCAGCAATATGGCTGACATCTTTCACATCGCTACAGCACGCATTCCACTTCCATTGCATCTCACGATGGCTCAAGACCCGACAAGTGTGCCCGCTCGACAACCGAGACTGGGAGTTCCAGAAGTACGGACGGTAGCCGGCGCTGGGCGTTGTTTCGTTGCGGGACATTTTGCATCGCAGTTTCTTTATCTCATATCATGTTCACTTTCCTCTTTCTCTACTTTGTTTTGAACAACGAACTTTTGACGATGGCAATGCATATTCGGGACTCCTTTGAGACTCCATGAGCCCTCGCTTTGTTTACAAACACTCGATCAATCCATAACCGATAGTTCGAGGCCAGGGCGGCTGTCTTCAACGTGCCCAGCCCTCTCATTTCAAGTACATCACAAGACTCTCCATTTTCCCGGCAACGCGCTCATCGAACTCCACATGCATTCTCGCAATTCACGCAACTTTGACCCCATCAACCACCACTCCATGACTCCCCGTCGTCCTCGTAGCCAAACCACCCACCCACTTCTCCGGATGCCGATTATAAAAGGGCCAAGGCGGCACCACGACCAGCGCAGTGAAAAGTGTCCCCGCCAGTCCAGTCCATAGCGTGAGATGGATGTCCTTGTAAATGTAGCCAGTCAAGAAGCTTATGATCTGTAGTTGGAGAGAGGGGCACTGAATTAGTCAAGCCTCCTGTAAGATTTGGAGTAACAGCTCAGCCGAATCATGTGCGCGGTCAACATGCAGAGCTGAGAGTCTGGTCATTGCACGTATGATCGACACAAAACACAAGGGGAAAGAATCGACGCCATGTGCCCATGCGAGTTAGTCCCCGGTTGCAATGTGTTTCCACCGTCCGAAATGCGCAATAGCAGGGACATGTACTGTGTCGATGAAGAGACCTCGGTACCATGGCAAACCACACACGACACAATATCCAAGGCTGGCGCAATCCCTCTCTCTTCCCTTCCCTTTCCTCCCCATTCCCTTTCCCGTTTCACACTCGGTCGTGCTTTACTCAAGCGCACTTACCCCGGAAAGTACGAGCAGAAAAGTACTCAATTGTTCAGCGAGTCGTTGACCGTGAAAGTCCTACATCACCCGTATCCAATCGTTAGCTCTCTTCTCTGTATCAACCTTGGGCATTGAGCAGTGATGCGCAAAAAGAGACAAGCGCAGGGCCTCGTCCCTCAATATGTATCCGCGCGAAGATGGCATGGGCCCATATTGTAGCCGTGTAGGTGTATAGAACTCAAAGAGGACTCATCTATCTCTATCTCTGTCCCTTCAAGTTCAAAGTTCGACTTACAATCTGACCCTCGAAGGCATCCTGCAAGGGCCTGAGAATGTCGTCCATGGCTGTGGGTGTCTCTTTTTGAATATGAGCGTGGGCTTGGACTTGAGAAATCGTGTTTCGAGGAGTAATTAATAGTGAATAGTGAGCTGGAGCTGGAGCTGGAGCTGGGACTCCGGGGCCCGCTTATCGCATTGTTGTCATCTGCCCTTTTGTTCCGCCCTTGCTCCGCCGATAGTCCGCTTCCTGTCCTACCGTGAGTTGTAGCTACCAGTACTCTCCGCTTATGCTTTGCGGGGGATCCACCGAGGTAGTTTTTATGTGCAGGATAATTGGCCGACAATGATTTGGAAAGCTTGAATATACTCTAGTACAGTGGCAGCCCGACAAAACTACAATATGTTGAACAACAGATTTGTTTTGACAACATTACATCTGGAGGGAATGGTCATCAGTGTACTGACTCAGTGGACTACTGACCACTGACCACTGACCACTGACTACTGAGTACCCAAGAATACGGCGTCCTGGATTTTGAGGATTGTCTGCGAGTGCCATGTTGACTTTTTGTTCACCGTATAGCAGTGTCTTCGTGTTGCACAGGGTGGAAAGAAGAAAAATGGCATGTGGTAGGTTTCCGCGGTTCTATACAATGATCTATTCAGAAGAAACCGTAGCACCGTCATGAGCAGGTTCCAGCAACTTCCATTGACAGGTGATGTTGTTCCCCGCAAAGCGCGCAATGATGCGATCAGCAATCTCCGTGAAGCGATCCGTCGCCAATGCCAGAATGGTTGGTCCCGCGCCAGAGAGACAAATACCCAAGAGACCGGGCTGGGTGGCGGGCGTCATGGATTGCAGAATTTCCGTCAGGCCTGGAATAAGGGTTTGGCGGTATGGCTGGTGCACTTTGTCCTGCATGGCGAGATAGATCATATCTGGGTCTGGGGGTGAGCTGCCGAGGGCAGCGGGGAGGAGGGCGGCACGTTGGAGGTTAAAGACCTATTTGGGGAGAGTCTTGTGTTAGTGCGCTTGTATGACTGATGATTTTTGCGCGGGGGAATTTAAAGGCTGGGTGTTTGATGTGGATGATTTGCTTACCACGTCGGCACGAGTGTAGGTCTGAGGAAGCACGTTTCGCGCATTTGCAGTGGGCACAACAAAGTCGGGAATGATCGCAATGGCCTTGATCTCGGGAGCCCAGTCAAATTTGCGGTAGTGGCCAATGCCCAATGGAGGCTCTGGGGGCTTGATGCCGGTATCGACGCCTCCGGCTGGGGATGGCAGCACCTCGCTCAATGGGATTTCCTTGCGCGCCACATCTTCGGGCTTGAGCTCGTTGAGGTAAGTTCCGACGAAGCCTCCAAACAGGGAGGCAGCGACGTTATCCGGGTGTCGTTCTATTACACACGATCCAAGCGTCAGTGCTGCGATTCTTCATAGAACTCGAACATTCAGGGGGAAAAGATCTGTTGACTTACCAATCATCAGGCAATAATCCAACAGACGGTCCTTGCTCAACCCAAGCTTGCCGACCTCGTTCGCCAGCATTACACCAGCCACGACGGCTGTTCCAGATGAGCCCAGACCCCGACCCAAGGGAATTGGATTGACAATGTGCACAGAGGTCTCCACAGGGAATGCGCGCTGGTTGTGGCAGCGCAGGACATAGAGGGCGACGCGGGTGATCAGGTTGACCTCGGGATCAAGACTGATCTGCTCAGTCGACTTGCTTTGATCCTCATAGGTGATGGCGCAATTGAGCGGTAACGGGGAAGACTCCTTTGTGGTATCGATCTTGACGTGGATGTCGAGGTGAAGAGACAAGGCCAGACCGATCACGTCAAAGCCAGGGCCGATGTTCGCAGACGAGCATGGCGTGCGGATCACGAACGAGGTGCTCATGTTTGGGTAGCTGGTCGAGAGATAAGGTGGGAATTGGACCGGTCACAGTGCCAATGGCTGGCCAAGGTATATTGCGGAGTACTGCGAGTCCGGTACAATCGAGGAACAGGTGTCCAAGGAGCAAATGCGCGGGGTGTGTAGCAGTTGAGGCTTATGAGTGACACGGATATGGAGGGGCCGAAGACTCGATGCGGGCTCTTGGCGTGAGCTCAGCAAAGAAAAAAGAACGAGGGGCCCGTCCGACGTCGGGGCAGATCTCCTGTAGTCATGTGGGGGGGGGGGGGGGGGGCGGCTCTCACCCTGCGTCGCTGACTTATGGAAAGCTTCTTGCATTCTGTCGATTGGTTTGAGGCAGGATAGACGTTTCCCGGTGTCAGGCGATCAGGCTCGCCAACTTGGACCTGGAATCGATCGATAGCGAGGGTATATTTGTGCTGGTGTACTATTGCATTCATGCATTGTCCAGTCGTGATTTTACCCGCACTGATCGGCAGACCATGTGCATGCAGCGTCGTCGGCATTGGTGGTGAGCAGCAGGAGCTTATCTTTGCCAAGACCACATATTGTAGTATGATAGTACCAAAAATGTTAGGGGAAAGATTCTAACCTGAATCTCCCTAGCCCTCGTCGAGGTCTCGTCCTGAGATGGACGACAAAACACAGATGGGTGATGGGCTTCTTGTCAGTTGAGCATGACCTCCATGTGTATTCCTGAACATTCCAAGCGACATCGTTAGACTCGTCACCATGAAACATACCGTACAGCCGTACAGCCGTGCACTGATAGCATCAAAAATACGGGGACATCACGCCCGTGCAGTGGCCCCAAATGCGAGGAAGCCGAATATGACCTGAAACAACAGAGATCAGATACGCAGACAATCAGATAAATTAGGATGGCCATGAGACGAACACGTGAAGTACATCGCCTGATCAACTGACATTGATACCAGCGAAGGTTTCCTTCGGGAAGCTGGACCACCGCGACTCTCACTACAGGTTCTCGGTCAACGGCATTCTCTCATCGCGACTGACTTGGTCAGTTGGGAACTCGGTGGTATCTTGACGCCTCCATGGGTAAGCGACAAATGACTACCTAGATCTCATCATCACAGTATCCTCATTTCAATAGTCGTTCTGCGAGAACATCGCCATCATCTACCAGCGTGAGAACCCCTAGGAGGATAGAGGAGAGCTGCTTCTCCGGCCGGCATCATGGTTCACCTTTTCCTCGCTGAAGCATCTCATTTGGCTTTAAAGATGCCATCACACAGTCGCGAGCATGAATCGCTTCTTTGAAGATTGATCGCATATTGAACTAGAACGAATCAAGTTGGCCGGACGCATCCCTCGCTGGGACAAACCCTGAACGCACAGGCATCACGAGCACTTTTCTCGAGTGAGCCGTTGAGACTTGAGAGACCCCACGGTACGAAATAATGCCTCAAAACGAATTAGACCGGCTCCATAACGATGCGGCACATCTCTTGTCAAATTGGATCTCTCCCTAGGTTAAGCATCTATTTGTGGCTGGAACCCACTCGAGACCGAAATGGATAGACTCGATGTCTGTCCAGTGGATCCTCGAGCCGGTTTGGTGCAAGCCAAGATAGTCTGAGAACCCTAAGCGATTTCGTACGAGGTAACTGTCGCGTGAGCAGAGAGGTACTCGGACAGGCGTGAAGCCGAGTCGATGTTTATGTTTGTGTGCCTCTTGAATCATGTCGAAACAAGCTGGAGACCACTGAGAGTATCATTATCGTTGCCGCAGTAGGACGGGCCGGGCGCTCGGTGAGGGCGGATGGGCCGTCAATTTGGCAATTGAGTTTTTTTTCCTTTTCATTATGTTTTCTTTTTTTTACCGCAGATCTGCCTCCAACTGCCCAGTTGAATGAGTCATGCTGGACCCGTATTTCTCAAATCTCTCGTCTCTAAAAATTCTAACGTCGGGGCCCGCCGAGGTATCCCTTTTCGAGATCGGAGGTCCAGACCAAAAGACCAACCGACTAAATGAATGAAGCTCGGACCGATTTTCCAAGGGGGCCACGCACTCACGCAGTCTTGCTGGTTGCACATGGTCGTCGACTGACTCGACTCGTCATGATACGCCTTACGTGTGTACAGTATCTTACATGTACAATACAGTATGGCACCATACAAGTGCAATACAGTATATGACTATATGTATCGTCATCGTGGAACGATGCCGGTGGGAGGGTGGAAAATCGGGCTCTGGTGCCCGAGAATCTTCCAGTGCACCAAAGTGATCATTAACGACACATTCCCTTTGCGACTCTCCAGTACAATCCAATTTTCGAAACAGGAATCTCATTTGATAAAGTAATATCTTTACGTATGCACGACGCACGTACAATGGCACACAGTGCGATACCTGTCGGCGACTCGGCGCAGCCATGCAGTAATTCTGCAGCCTTGTTTCGGCAACGATACCTTCCCGGGCTTAACCACCTCCACCGATAGCGTGGTGCATGATTTCCGGCGGTCGTGACTGGTGCAGCCCCCAAGCCCCGGGCCCCATGGTAAGAGCGCAAATTCATCCCCCCCAAATCACAAGCTGAAATCACTGAGTCGAGCCCGTGCTTCAGTCTCTCGCCACAAAGCTTTTTCCCTGTCTCGCCTCCGTCACGATCTTCCGCCCTTTCTTCCCCTCATCACCACCTCGTCCACCGAGTCTGTTCCCAACTTCTCACTTCACCCAGACTCGTCCTGGTGCTTTCAATCAGGACCCCATCTCTTCTATCTGGACATTCGTGATAAGAAGAAAATTCTGCACACATTCTCCCACGCAACTCCTGCCCCCAGCCATCTATTTCCAAAAACAAAGGCCGCCGCCAGCACTGGAAATCTGGGTCCGTGGTAAACCAAAAAGTGGTCAGCGTACTGCACCGCACCGTTGACCAGAGAGCTTGCGATCTAAACTCGCTCGCTCAAATCTTGCCTTTGCGCACTCCATCGTTGTCGCCCTGGAGCACTCGAGCTCCCACTCCTTTGACGCATTCAAGTTGGCGGGACCTCGCTATCTTCAATACTCCTCCCTTCTTCACCCTCTTGCGGGCCCCAAGTTCCGGGTCTTCGGCGGGGGCGACACCAGACCCCCCTAACTGGACTTTATCTCCCGCGATTCAAGCATCGCAGCCAGACGCACGTCGGAAATCGCCAGACCCTGGTGAGGGGTCTGGCTCATGAATGGAGGTCTACTGTCCATAACACGGTCCTCTTGATATCAAGAAAATTCAACTCCCTCTCCGACTTGCGCTCTGTGGCTGTTCGTGCTGCCGACAAAGCATCTCTATCATTTGACGATATCTTGACGATATTCAACCCAACATTGATTTGCACTACTCGCAAACCTTGACCGCAGGTTTCTTTTTCCACTCGAGGGAAATCCAACATTGCCCAACCTGGCGAACGAAAATTTCATCCTGTATCTACGCCAATCGCCCCCCCTCCGCCCTTCCCTCCTCCTCTCTTCTTTTTCACCCAAGAACACCCGTTGAGCGCCCCTCTTTGGAAAAGTCTCTACCCGGGCTTTCCCTCCACGCGGACTTCATAGACAGAAGTATCCAATCGACGTCATGTCAAGCAGCAACCCTTCAGACAAGGAGGCATTCCTTACTCGCTTCAGTACCCCGGCTCCTGAACTTGATGACCATCGGTTCCAGATGGATCCTGTGAATACGCCTCGCATCGAGGCTCCGCTCAGCGAGGATCTCAGCAGACAGAACACTGCCGCGCAGCAGGGTCCACGAGGCGAGATTCTGCCCGAGCGACCTGATTTGTTGTATGCTCAGGATGCGCTGCGGGAGAACACGACTGTGTTCCGTGACTTCGAACAGGCCATCGTGGATGATGATCATTCGGACCATGATGTCAGCGGCATGACGCGCCGTATCATGATTGACCCAATGTCGAACTTCCACTCGCCTCGCCGTTTCAGTGGTGTCCCTCAGGAGCTTCCTGGGGGCACTACCACCCGCACTTCTTCTGTCTCTGCCCGGTCGTCGTCTCCGCCCAACTCAGTCGACGCCTTTGCGGATCCTCGTCGCCGGGAACGTGCAAACACCCTGGAAAGTCATGTGGCTCCCGATTTGGAAGCGATGCTTCAGCGCACTGTCTCGGGAGGCACTATCCCGCGCCGGCCCACGTTCAGCAATGCCAGCGCCATACGTCCACAGCCCGGTGATATTTCTGTATGTGCGCCAGATGAGCCCGGTGTCCAGATCACCTACGAGGAGCCTGGTCGCATCCCTGTCATCGACTACGAGGAATTGGAAGAATTTGTCGCTCTCAACCAGCAGAGAGAGGTTTCGCACACCTTCCGCCGCAAGCACAGTATGAGCTCGCAGAGCAAGAAGCCGCGCGTCTTCTACGACCTGCGTCCCGGCGCCAAGAGTCCACTGGGTGACGAGCACAATAAGCAGTCCGGATCGACGGACTCCTCCGACACTTGTGATCTTGGCGAAGAGGCGGATGAGAAGTCTTCTCCTAAGGTTCTAGACGAGAAGGAATTGGTTGCGACTCTTCCCAATGCTAATGAGCCCATGCGCTTTGGTTTTTTCTCATCTGAGTCTCAGACTACGGTGCATGCGGCGGAGCTGGGAGATTTGATTCTTCCCGGCGATAGCTTCCGCGACCTCTTCCAGCTGGGACCCGAGGGTGGTGTGTGGTGGTTGGACGTCGTCAACCCTACCGAGGCGGAATTGGGAGCCATCTCCCGGGCCTTTTCCATTCATCCGCTCACCACGGAGGATATTTTGATGCAGGAGGCGCGCGAGAAGGTGGAGTTGTTCAAGCAGTACTACTTTGTTTGTTTCCGCACCTTCTACCAGATCGACAAGACCAGCGAGGAGTTCCTCGAACCCGTCAACTTTTACATGGTCGTCTTCCGCGATGGTGTCTTGACCTTCTCGTTCTCCGAGAATCCTCACGCCGCGAATGTACGAAAGCGTATCGGCAAGCTGCGTGACTATGTCTCGCTCAGTAGCGACTGGATTTGTTATGCCATGATTGACGACATTGTCGATAGCTTTGGTCCCGTGATTCGAGATATCGAGATCGAGTCCGAGGCCATTGAGGATCACGTGTTCATTGCACGTGTGGACGACTTTGAGACTTTCCTGCCTCGGATTGGCGGCCTCCGCAAGAAAGTCATGAGTTTGATGCGTCTGCTTGGAGGCAAGGCGGATGTCATTCGTGGCTTCTCGAAGCGCTGCAATGAGCAATATTCCGTGACTCCGCGTGGCGACATTGGACTCTATCTGGGTGATATCCAGGATCACGTGGTGACCATGATGTCCAACTTGGCTCACTTTGAGAAGATGCTCAGTCGGTCTCACACCAACTACCTGGCTCAGCTGAACGTCAACAACCTTGCTCTTGGTAACCGCGTTAACAAGGGACTGAGCAAGATTACCCTCATTGCGACAATTTTGGTCCCCATGAATTTGATCTGCGGTCTGTTCGGTATGAACGTCAATGTTCCAGGCAAAGACGATGGCGGACTGACTTGGTTCTTTGGTATCATTGGACTGATGGCTGCAATCGTTGTTGTGAGCATGTGGCTGGCGAGGTGGCAGAAGCTTGTATAGGCGAGAAGGGTACTGTGTGAGTACGACTTTGTTGCGAGAAAACGAATTGGATGTGCAAAAACAAAAACCTTGGAAGGGTCTAGACCCGTGATTAACATTTTTGCTTTTTTCCTTTTGTTTATTTTTTTTCTCGGCACTGGATGCGAATGCGAATTTACCTAACTGTATATTTACGATTGATATCCCATGGTCCTTTCTAATGTTGCGACGCTGCTCCTCTGTGTATAAATTCGCATTCTACTCGTTCTGCTGTGTTGATAAATTTTCTGTGTCAATGCGCACAATACGACATTCTCAGAGCTTGACCATACCCGGTCGCAATACATCGTACCAAAACACAGTTCTGACGTCTCCTGTCTGTGACGTCGATGTATACATGTGCGATCTCTCGCGGCACATCCAAAAATAGATCTCCGGCCAGAGTCGATCGAAACCCACATGTTATTCCAAGGAATCAGGCTACGAGGCACCCACTTCCGATAAGGCCAAATCTCCCCGATAAGCGTACATTCGGCATGTTGACTGAGACTCGGGATAACACCAGGCGGGTTGGAGAAATTAAATTAAATTCGGCGCTAGAACGGAACCCATGTCGCTCACTCTGGTGAACATTTCCGGGGAAGGATCAAATACTCTTCAAGTACCGATCGCCATCTCTTGACATCTTCCTCTCGCGCCCTGATTTCCCCGAGATCGTCAACCTCTGCTCGAAACTCCTCCTCCTGCCCTCAGTCCCCCACAAGTTCGGTTTCCGCAGAGCAACGGCCGCAAGTCCACCCTCTCCATGCGCCGCCATCTCGCTGCACTGCAGTACCTCCTTGCTGCATCGATCACAACCGCGCTCGGCTTTTCAGACGGGAGACCCGCCGCCGAGACAAGCGACCATGTCCATGCGCTCGACTCTCGGCGCGAAACGGAGAGCAGCGTGATCGGCGGGCCGATCATTAGCAGCGGGTCTGGATTTGCGGTTGCGCTGGACTCGTTCAATGGGTTGGAGATGCGAGACATTGAGAATGAGGAGGATGATTCTGGACAGATGGATCTCGTGAAGAGGAATTATCCTGCCGATGCTCGATCCCTAGGCAACAACCAGTACCAAGACCCGCCCATCGAAGTCGGTGGTATACAGTGGTTCTTCATCACCAAGGAAGTTGTCAATGGGGCCAAGGCCAAGACGATATCCTCGCTACCTGCGAGCCTGGGTTCGCGGGATCTGCGTGGGGAAGAGTATGTTAATGACGAGAGGGTCAAGTTGGACTTGCGCAAACGGGAACAGGCCAAAGTCGGGGAGGAGGAGGAGGAGGAGGAGAAACCACTGGTCAAACGAGACCAGACGACTGTCTACCTCTCCTTGACAACGTGCAGCAAGCCCACGACAAACAAGACCGATGCTTTACCGGGCGACTTCCCACAGTTGCAAATCTACTACTCGACAGATCCGAACTTGTCCAAGCCCGGACCTGGTCAGGATAACAGTCGTCAGACCTTGGTCTCCGCCGTGGGTGGCTTTGCAAATGCCTCGATCGTCACGGACACCGACATTTTCATTGGGGTTGTGGCGCCAAATTCTACAACGTGGACTGGAATATACAAGTACCAGATCGCTGCATCGATCGACGCACCCTTTCATAGCGTGATCGACAACGATCCATTCTTGTATTTCATCGACGCCGACATGTCGGCTGCTCTGCTGGTCACCAACAATTTGACGCAAGCGTCTCCGGACTCGGACAACTATAAACAGTGGATGAGTCTTGCTCCGCCGTTTACCATGTTTGCACACAACGTGAACAATACTGCACTGACGGGACTGGAACGATCCTACTGTGCGCTGGAACAACTTTCGAACCTGGGTAGTATCAGCAGCTCTACCGAGGTGGGAATGACGAATCGGGGTCTGGGGAATAAGCCCAAAGAGCAGTTCTATATCACGGGGTTGAACCGCAGCTCGACGTATAATGGAATCCTGGCAATGAATGGAAACTCCACCTTGTCTGGGAATGGCATTGTTGGAGGTGGTGGAAAAGTATGGCGGGCGATGAACTTTACTACCAAAACGGGTATGTTATGCCATCTCCCAAATAAGTCTTCTTCACTCAGTACACGTCTTCGACTCAAGTGCTAATCTTCTCCATGTGGTCTAGAGGACAACTGCGCCGTCCTTTTCAACCTCACCTTCTGCTCCGAAGTCGCCTACGCCGTCCCCGCCAACCCTAAACGCACCAACGTCAACCAACTCCGCCAGATCTACGATACCTATGCCTCGAATTATTACACCAATTTCACCTACAGCCTGCAACAAGTCCAATGCGATGCTCCGCCCGAATCCATGTACTCCCTCGCCGTGAACTGCAGCACCTGCGCTGACGCCTACAAGCAATGGCTCTGCAGCGTCTCCATCCCGCGCTGCGAAGACTTTTCCAATCCGTCCACCTTCCTTCAAGTTCGCAACGCCGGCCAGCCCTTTATCAACGGCACTTCATTGCCCGAAACAGACGCATACCGCCTCAACCCGATCAACAACGTGAGTCGCAACCCGCTCATCGACACGGCGATCCAGCCCGGCCCGTATAAGGAGATCCTGCCATGTCTGGATATTTGCTCGTCCATGGTGAGGGCTTGTCCGACGGTGTTGAATTTTGGATGTCCGTCCGGCGAGGGGTTGAACGCGAGTTACGGGTATCGAAGTGATGACGGAGATATCACGTGTAGTTATTTGGGAGCGGCGTATTACCTGAATGGGGCGGTGGGGATGAGTGGAAGAGATGGATTGGTCGTTTGGACGATGGTGGTCGTTGTAGTTGTTGGAAGTTGGCTTATGTAGGTAGAGAGCTGCATGGGATCATTCATCGTCGAAACCTCAAGTCTGATAGGTATAGATATGTTGATGGAAATGTGTGACTGTCTTGTGTCGTTTTCATAGTACTAGACATGTATATTTATGTATAGCCCGAGGTCCTGGGCACGCGGATTCTCTCCTCACTCTTTCATTCTTTGCGTGAGTCTAACCTACACAGGTAGCTAGTATAAGGAGGTAGGCAGTGAGCAGGAAGCACTAATCAGGAAAGGACTGACGTAGGTAGTGTAGGTCCTAGTAAGCAAGCTACGTATGCATCATCTCCACTAGACGTGTACATCGTGAGAGAGAAGTTGTGCGAGGTCACGTAGTAGACATCATCCGGATACGAGCCTAGTATAGGTAGTCTGGTCTAGAATGGAATGTCTTTAACATATAAGTATGCGAGCTGTCTCCTATCACGAAGACGAAAGAATGGAGGGTATACGATATAGAACATAGTGCATAGTGGATAGTACATACTATTGTACATACTATACATTGATCAATACATGTATCCGTATATGTATGTGTATAACATTATAACTATATTCCAAGTTTCCCCACCCTCTATCAACATAACAACATGCATACCTCACCTCACCTCACCAGTCCAAAACATCCTTCTCCATACCCTTCTCCAACCCCGACCCAGATCCAGACCCTCCTCCCTCAACCCGCCCACCCCCCACCTCTCCCTCCAAACGTCCCTCTCCTCCCTCCATAAATCCATCACGCACGGATCGCACGAGCTCCCACAACAAGATCCCAGCTCTGGCGGCGGTGGCGGATCGTTATATGCGCGGGACGCAGCGCGAAGGAGTTGTTTTGTGCGGGTCCCGCTGAGACGTTTTCTTTGGAGGGCTTTGAAGAGAGGCGTTTCGGTGGGGGGGGTAGAGGGCAGGTGGTTCGATGGGGGGTTGGGATTGGCGGTCATGTTGAGATTGTGTATCGGGAATGGGTTTGGGTTGCGAGAGGGTTGGTTGGTTTGATGCCGATGTTGAGGTTGAGGTTGAGGTTGAGGTTGGAGGGTTATCTGTGTTGGTGCTGGTGTTGAACAGTGCTTTGACAGGGAAATAGAGCGTTGACAAGAACCTCGTTGGGGGTTGAGGTTCTACATCCGCCGAGATATCTGACGGACCCGTTGGAGTGGATATCATGATGGAAACGACGTGGACGATCCAGCGCCCTTTCTTCTCGGAGCAGGAGTCCTCGAGTCGGTTGCGGAGGTCCCTATGCTCGAGACGAGATTGGGTTCGAGGAGTTTGGTTTGCGTTGTTAGTTTCAGTTGGAATATTGTACCATGGTCGAATTATCCATCTGATCAGATATGGATACAGCGGTGACTGTGACGGGGATGTGTCAGCCCTGGTTCGAGCTTTGATCTGGAAGCGTCGAGACCATTCAATGCATAGGGTGTGTGATGTCCAGTGAGCAGTACCTATACACGATAAAGTCTAGGTCATAGATCTGATGTGCGGGTGCTGACACCTCTCACGTAGAGAGTGTGTACTGTGTACTCAGTACTTATACTCAATTCCCAGTACTGAACCTCGGCCACGATCTCAAACTTGACGCAACCCTGGCCCCTGCAAGGCTCAGCTCATCTCTACTTGATCGTCAGAGAAATGACCCCCATCATCAGCAAACAACGTTAGAAGACTCACGCGAGTGATTTGGAGGTCAACCATCCGAAAGTGCGTCTACGTCTGGCTGGACCCCGTAACGGAGTTAAATCACGAATATCCCGAGCTCGGGCCGAATAGGAACAAAATGACTTGATCAGGTTGAAGTCTCGGCAGCTCTCGGGATGGGCCATGGGCCGTGGTTCTCTAGACGATCGGGAAAGAAGATCTACTCTCGAGTTATGTTGATTGACCTTTGATCGTGCCTTTATTGTCTTCGAAAGGTCCCTGGATATGCATCGCCATGGTCTTCACGAGTCTGCGACTGCGAGAGACTGGTGGGAATACGATCTGATGGATACCGGAATGGCCCGGAAAAGGGTCTTGAAAGTTCTGACTAGAGTTTATAACAAAGCCGTGCTATCCATCGACGGGAAGACCATGGCTGCGCAGATCGCTGTATGTCGCGGTAAATCGCTAATCATGGATATCATTAATCATAAGTCAAGCGTCCGGGGAAAGCCCTGACAGCTTAGCTACACCACTCCCTATTTCCGCCGTGGCGTAGGAGTCCACAAATTTCCCAACCCAGACTTGCCCGTCGATCCACTCCCTGACCCTCGCGGTGTACTTCCACCAACCTGCGATAAAAGCTTCTGCGCGGCAGGCGTCAACATCTTCGTTCTCGCGCCCGCACTCGGCCCTGAACCCACGCCAGCACCAACCGGGGTTCCGCGCAGCCCAAAGTCAATCCGAGGACTACTAGCAAAGCGTGGTGTGTTTGTCACCGGCGTTTTCAACGTCTGAGCAGCCTTTTCAGCACGCTTGGTCCGCGATGCACGATCCACCATGCGGTGATGCAGAGCCTCGCGCTTGCGCGTCTCGCCAATTTGAAACGGATTGGGCGTTGTGTCGGATGAAGATCCTAGAAGGCGCCAGTCTGCCTGGTAATCGTCGGCGGAGGACGTCTCGGGCCCATAGTCAGGCTCGGGTTCATCTTCGTCAACAAAGGCGTAGCCATTAACGCGAGGTGTTTCGCCGCCTGGAATTGCAGAGGCTTCGGATTCGCCGAGGTGTGGACGGCCAGCGATGGCATCTTTGATCGCGGTGAGGGCTGGGGATGGTGGGATTGAAGATGCGGCGGCGTCTGCGGCAGCAGCGGCGTCATGATCGAGAAGGCGGGTGTTTTGATAGAGTGTTCGCTTTGGACCGGCGCGCGAGGCGATTTCGGCCTGCTGTTGAAGGGTCTCGTGGGTATGCTCAATAGAAGGCGGGAGGAACATGAGCCCGTTGTCCGGACGGAATTTCCAGGCATCGGGCCTCGCTGGTCGAGCGTCAAGATCTGTCTTGATGAGATGTTCGGCGTCGGCATCGGCGTCGGCATCGACTTGCTTAATGAGGCTTGTTTGTGGGTTGCCACCTTGTGCAGTGATGCGCTTGATCTCTTGCTTATGGTGAGCAATCTGCCGGGCCGAAGGGATCTTGTTATTGTTCCAGAGAAAAGCGTAGTTTTCCCGTTTCTTTGTGTTTTGCTTGTCCAGGACTTTGTTAAATGACTCGTTGTCTTCACTGGTATATTTGGCCTGGAAGGCCGTCAAGCCCATGTGGGACACGTCGGGAATAACGCTATCCTTGATGGTCGACGTAGAGGTCGCAGTCGACGCAACAGACATGGGAGTATCCCCGGCCCATCCACGAGGAGTCTCGTCGCTCCGACTCGCAGGGAAATGAACGGGGGTGCCCGCCATCGATCCATTGCGAGTCTTTCGCCTGGCGTTTGAGCCCGGCGTGGGGGTTCGCATCACATCTGCGAGTCGTTTCTTGGCACTTGAGATCCATGCTTTGTCTTTTGAGTCGAGCGCATCGAGATATTCCTGTTTTGCCTGGGTCTCGAGGAGACCGGGGAAGAAATCGCGGGCGATAATGTGGGAGAGGGCGCTCGTGTAGACGTCTTCGTCTAAGACGGTTGCGGGACGTTTGATTCGTTTGGGAGCGGGAGGCGGTGGCATCAACTGGTTGTCCGGTCGCTTGACCAAGGCATTTGAAGACGAGGGGGATGCCATGGCTGTGACATGGGAAGTTGTTGCGAAGGTAAGGATTGTCACAAGCGAAGCTTCCAGTTGGATGGGTGGCTGAGAGCTGTAGATTAGAGGTGAGATCGGAACTTGAAGAGGGAGCGATAAGATAAGACCTGCGGGTCTGGAAATCACGTGTCTCATGTCTGACACTTACTTTACTCTCGGACGGAGACTTTCATTTGACGAATCGAGACCCAGGCAAGCACAGATTGATAGAGACTATGAAAATTTATGCCATAACAGATTTAGAATTATCAGCCTGATCAAAGCTTCCTCTAATAGCATCATAATTTCAATAAATCCGACCATTTCCTCGTGGCAATGCCCAGAGTTCCAGACATATCAAGTAACTAGTCAGTACTGAGTTGGGAGCACTGACTGAATTACAATCCAACACCTATCAAGGTTCTTCCTCCGTAAGACATGGCATCAAAGTATAGAAGCGGAATCAGCGTCCCGCAAGTATCCCTTCTCTCTTCCCCATGACCCCCCCCAAATCCAAATGCTGCCCTTTCGACATTTCCATCTCTATCTCGCCTCGACACGATGTCATCTGTCTCTAATCGCGAATTGCTCAAATGTAGAATACGCCAAAGCCACGGATCTCATATTGATATACCCTTCTACATTCTCACCTCCACCCATCTCACTCCTACCCCCCCCATTAAACGCACCTCAGAGGAAGTTACACCGCATACTTCCACAACCTATCCAGGCACAAGACCAGTTCAACTGTCCAACCTGCGAATACTGTTGAATCCGAATACAGACCTACTTTCAAACTCAGACCAAGCAGCCCCCGGACCTACTAACACCACCATAAACAGAGTATGGCTCGTCTCACCGAGTCACCGCTAGACGGGGAACGGAAGCTGGTAGGTAGGTATTCATGGAGCTACCTACCCAGCTCAACTTGCATCTTCATCTACTCCCTAGTATCCAATGCCCACCACTCCCAAATCCCACTAACATGCCCAAAACCCCTCCTCAACACAATCTTGTAGCGACCATCCGCTGAACTGAGCCCCGCCTCTTAGATTTACCTCCCGAGTCAGTCTCAACCGCCATTGGATGCATGCGCGAGACTGGTCCCCAACCTCTTAATTGGGGTCTCTTGCGCAACGCAGTACAGCTGAGTCGGCCACAAGCCATGCGAAACAAATACCCCGGCCTGACTTGACTTGACTCAATTTTGAGAAACGGCTGGAGTCCGAAAAGGGAAGATCTGAGACGGTCCGCGATCTACGGCCCACGGTGTACTTCGCTCTAAGTTATTAGGGGTATGTCGAGGCGGTAGTCCAGCGGTGAGCTCGAATCACTATTCCTAAGCAACGGGGAATGAAGATGGGCTCTTATCGTACTGACACTCTGCAGGCTGCACTCTGCACTTCGCAGTATATTGAATATTCTCAGAGTCTGAAGTTTGAAATTGAAACGTCATGTACCTCCATGTTCTAGGGAGCTTGGGTCACCGACCTCCTGGTCCTCGGGAGTCGGCATATCACTTGCTCACTCACTCACTTAGATTGAAGGCCATCGTTGGTAAGACTCGATCGCGAGAACCGAGGTCAACGTTGAGCCTGGGGATATAGACACCGGGTACGAAAGACTGATAGTAGCATTGGCTCGACAGGAGGGCCCCGTATTCCTGCACTGTCGGACTTGGGATTAGAACCGGACGTCACGGGCCGGCATGGGGGACTCAGTTACTACATGGGTATATGTGACACAGGCGTGACATTCTGTATTGGTGTGCTGTTTCAGTATGGAGTGATTAAGTGATCAAGTGATCGACTTATCGAGTGTCGAATATCGGGCTGTTAGGTAGGTAGTCCAGTCGCCTCTCGAGTGATTGTGCACGAAGCCATACGAGAGATAGTCAACGCGGATCAAAACGAAAAAAAAGCTGAATAACCTTACGTTAGTCCTGCATAATCCTACTCCTAATCCTAATCCTAACCCCTCCCTTTCCAATTCACTATTCCCATCGCCAGCCAGAACCAGAAACTCTGACTTTATCATTTGAAACCCAAGGCTCAGGAACACGATCCACATCAATACCGTTTCGATCACGTCCGGCTTGTGTCCCCTGTATACTCTTTTTTTAATCCGATATCATACCCCGACCCATAACCTATCCCACGCATTTAGACACCTATCCAATATAAACAGACTTCCAACGAGACAAGATCCGGTGAGCAATGCGGCAAGTTTGACCCATAAAACAAAGATAAAACAAGAAAAGACAAGATAGCCAAGGACATGAACATAACCCCTCAGAGCACAGAGATCCAAGAGGCAGAAATTGGAAACAAATGTAGGACGATTGAGAATGACGAACGATTGATTTGATCACCACGGAAATGGTTGACATGAAACGGAAAGCAAGCAAGGATCCAGTACTTGACAAATGATATGTTTTGAGATGTGGTATTTCATTGGTTGAGTACGAGCGCGTTGAGGTCTCGTAGATGATGTGATGATAGGCATGTAGCAACGCCGTGTAGAGGAAAAGACAGGAAATCGCGAAATATCAACCCCCGCAATGAGATGCGTACACGAATAACAGCAAAACGATTCGACAACAGGTCATGGGCTCGTAGACATCTATCACGGACAGAGTTTCTTCTAAAAAAAAAAAAAAAAAACGAACAAAAGATCGCAAAGCAAGGGATGCAGGAAAAAAAAGCGCCACTCGGGACAAGCCAGATGACAAAATGGCTGGCCGACTAGTATGCACCATATATGAGACTCAATGCCGTCGTGTTGCGCAAAAGCTTTCCAAACTTTTCGGAGGAAGAGAGACTGTGGGTGCCTTTTTTTTTCTGGGAGGAGAAGAAAGGAAGTTGAAATGGTCGGGACGAGCTCAGCTCGCAGCGGTAGGAAAGAGTGAGTATGAAGTGGTGCGGGACTTTTTGCGATTGGAATTTCTGTTGGGCAGGTTCGGAAGTGCTGGGGTGGTGGATGCACTGATCCCATTTCCACTGCTCCCGCTGAGACTGACGGTCTCAGCTTCGGTGACAGCATCAGGAACACTCTTGGAGCGATCATGCTGCGCAGCGAGTGCAGACTCTGCACTTGCAAGGCTTGCGTTGCTATCGGCATGCGTGAGCAGGTGAGTCTCGGCGAGACTCTTGGTCGAACGATGCAGGTTTCCCGAGGCAGGACGAGCCAACGTCTCTGCAGCACCGACTCGATCGGTTGGCATCAGTTCCCGAGAGTTGCTTAATGAGTGAACAAGTTCTGGGACGGACGTGGTAGAGACTGATGATCGGTGCTTGCGAACGACACTGGCAGCGCGGGATAGCATCAGACTCTCTTGAGAGTTGCATTTGCTGATAGGGGAGAAGCTCGATCGCGGTGAAGCGTTGTGAAGCCCAGCCAGGGGAAAGGGAAAATGGCGGTCGGAAGAAGAATCGGCATCGGGGTCCGCGCCAGAGAGGTAGTCTTCATACATTGCATCGTGGTTGAGTTGTTTGGAGAGGATAGAAGGGGCGACGGGGTGGAAGTAGCCTGTGGGCTCGTGGATGTAGCCCCGGTCATAGTCGGTTGAGGGTGTCGAGGCAGAGGGAGGTGGTTGACTTGAGCGCGTAGAGGCGCGGTCCAGATCAGGAGTTGCCAGGGTCGATGTACTCAATGGACTAGGCTCGAGGTGTCGGCTGAGCTTTCGTGGTGCGGGAAACCCCCAGGAGGCACTGGCACCGGCAACGTTGATTTGGGGCCGACTTTCTTCGATCGAGGTCCGTGTCCAGTCAAAATCAGAGGTCGACTCGGCAGCGTGATCGTAGCAGTAGTCAATGTCGGCATCCCAAGAATCGTACGAAAGGTCGTCCGCATACGAGAAATCGGGACCCAAAGGCACAACTGGGGAGTGGCTGTCTGCACCTGCGGCCGCAATCTCTTCATTGGGAGAGTGCATGGGCACCGTTTGAGGCAAGGTGGGCGAGCTCAGGGCCTCGGAGAATTTCCGGGACAAGTCTTCCGCAACGTATATCGAGAGGGGCGCTGCGGGAGCAGCAAGACGGCCCATACGATGAGGCTCGACGGTGCCTGGGCTGACATGGGAAGTAGATCGAGAGTGGGCCGTGTGCGTGCTTGACTCGGGACTCTCCCACATCCGTGTACCTTCATCTTCCTCCGGGACCTCTTCCAGCTCCTGCTGGTTGCTCGAGAAGGGTTTCCGGGTGTTGTCCAAGGTGTCGTGAAAAACCGGTCCAAATTGAATATGACACGGTGAATGCTCGGTACCGATGTACTCAGGATAGGTCGGCGCCATACCCAAGCCCAGAATCTCGTCGATGGCGCGAGGTGCAGGCTCGATGTTTTCCTCGGCCGGTACCTCGGGAACCATTGGTGGGGGTGGTGTCGTGGGACATTGACGAGGATATCTCGGTACCGGCCGAGAAAAATTCTCAAACGTGCGAGACTCTCTCTGCAATTGAGCTCCTCGATTCGGACTCATCGATACTGATGCGGTGGGCGAAGCAGGAGGACTTTGCGGAACCGGCTCATTCGCAGTGGTGGCCGTTCCCAACGCGGCGAGGTCGTCTGTGGAAAAGTTCCGGAAGCTCAGATCTTGGGCGCGAATACCCTTGAGGCCAGCCTCGGGACGCTGAGAGGCGCGAATGACTGAGAACTCGGTGACGAGGTCGTTCTCACGTGCCTGGTCTAATAATTCGAATTGTGAAGGGCTGGTGTGGGTGAGATGGTGAAAATCAAATGGATCGGAAATGATGCTTTTCAATCGTTCATCTATAAGGTTCGATACAAAAAGGAGGATTCAACGTTAACTGATCGATGTCCCACTGGTCCAATGATTGGTAGAGCGGGTTCAATCCGGCAAGATCGACGGGAACTTGCAGATGTGAAGAGCCCCGTTCGGTCCGTCGTGCAAGTTTCCCGAGTGGAGATTGGGGATTTTTTTCGTGTGTGTGTGTGTGTGTGTTTGAACGCGCAATGGTAACTTACGATGATCAGCTTGACGACCTCGATGCCGACTTGGTCTCTCGGTCCGGGGTTCGTCCTCCTCGTCCAGCGTGGCGGCGATGGTGATTTTGCTCCCTTGACGTCGCAAAATGCGACTTCCACGTGAGAGCAGCGACCTGGATGAACGCTCTGACCTCTCCGGGCGCATGCCCAGGGCGGATGGGGCCCGCTCGTCATGCGCGTCGGCATTTTCTACAGAGGACATCATGGATGAACTCGGGGAGCGGCGTGAGGCGGTTGAGGTGGTGGTGTTACTCCGCGAACGACCACCGAAGACCGACAAGCGTTTGGGACTGGGAACGACGGCCGTTGATCGGGACCGAAAGTGCGATGCATGCTCTGGGGGATCGTTGGAGGAACGTGTAGATGGCGGATCACTCTGACTGGATTGGTCATCGTCCCACTGTGCGGGGATACGTGTGAAGGCTGACATGATTCAAGACCCGAGACCTTTTTTTATTTTCTTTCGTTTGGTCGTGGTAGTGTCTCAGCTGTCAGAAAAGGATGGGTTGCTTTTGAAATATGACGCTTGATCTTCAAGCCCGGGTCTTCGACAATTGTAGATGGGGGCAGAAAGAGAGAGAGAAAGAGAGAGAGAGAGCCTCAGAGAGACAGATTGGTTGGCTGTCTGGAACTCCTTCTCGTTGTTGACGTCGAGACACGAGAAAGATAGAAAGCCGAGTCCGTGGTGAGGGAAAGGGCGAGATGATGCAGATGTACAGTGGACGACTGGATGCTCAGTCGTGATGTCTCCAATTTAAGTGCGGACAAGCTGAAGCACCACCTATTGGTGCGGTTTCATGATAGAATCGAGGCTGTCTGAAACCCGCTTTCGAGGTGTACCAGACCGGTCGAGAAAATAGGAAACGGGGAGGAGGGGGAGCGCCGTGCAGTGGACCGTGGACACAATTGACTCCTGGCGGTGTTTGAGAATATGTGGAGGGGGTCGATTGAGAAGGTGAGAAGCAAGAAGGAGAGACTGGTCACTAGTAGTAGATTGAATGATCGTGGGGTGGAGGCAGAAGGAGGGTGAGGAGTGGACAAAGCAGACCACAAAATTGAGTCACGAGAAGAGGGATACTACGAGTGTGGTACTGTCAGATGGGCACTGTTGCCATCAACATTCAACGCCGTCCACGCTCAAGGGCCGCCAAAATAGGGAAAAGAGCGAAGATTTGAGGGAAGAGAGAGAGTGAGGAGAGAGTGAAAGAGAGAGACGAGATGGGCAAAAGATCAAATGAAATTGAGACTTGGTGGATGCTGCCGGGAAGCTTCACGTTTCCTAATGGGGATAAGAGGAGACGGGGTGGAGAGAGAGGAGGAGAGTACAGAGAGAGAGAGAGAGAGAGAGAGAGAGAGAGAGAGAGAGAGAGAGAGAGAGAGAGAGAGAGAGACAGAGAGACAGAGAGAGATAGAGAGAGAAAGAGAAAGCAAGAGGGGTGGATTTGGAGTGTCTCTGATCTTCAGGCTGGTTCTGGTGGACGGAGGTTGATGACTCTAGAACCAGGCCGACGAGGTCGAATACCAGGAACCGACCGACAGGACGGTCTCGTTCTACTGCTGCAGTGCTGATGCCCACTACGGAAGATGGAGAAGCAGAGAGGAATCAAAGGATCACCGTCACCAGTCACTTCACCCGGCACAAAGTGGACAAGAGGATCTGTCGAGGGTAGTGAGGAGTCCCACCGTCTCACACCCGAAGGACTAAGAATAAAAGATAAAACCCCCATTGCTTCCCGTCTCGACGGTGGTACTCCGTCCCGTCCACGGAGATGTCAACCTCTCGGTACCAAATCAACGATCGTCCTGGGCATCCCTGTCGAAAGGGTTCAGAAAAACGCAAACCGGGTGGAATTAAAACCGAGAAGGGACAAGCCCGATCGAATGATTCTCAAAATTAATGAGTCAAAAACAAAGAAATGAAATGAAATGAAAAGAAACAGAAACAGAAACCAAAAAAAAGCATTCCACGGCCCACGCAGTACCACTGAAGCAGAGGAATTTCTGGTGCAGACTATGGAGTCCATACTCCATAGTATCGACTACAGAGGGAAGCAAAAAAAAAAAACAAAAACACACACACACACACATTGAATTAAAAATAAACGAAATCCACTTTCCATCTTTCGAACGACTCCAGAACGGAGCCCCCGGTGGAGCCGAACGTTCAGGGGCGCTGCACGATGATTTGAGAGTTCGACCGTTGCACAGACAAATTTACGTTCCTCGACGACTGGACTGCCGTACCCAACGGTATAGTGACAGCTATGTCGAGAGCTACTAGCTACTAGCTACTAGCTACTAGCTAGTTAGCTACTTAGCTACTGGTAGACTAGATGGTCCACTCCGATAGACACACGATGAATCGGACGGATTATTGTTCTTGCTCTCATGCCGGGAGATTGCAATGAGAACGACGGCGCGGCGCCGGTCTGGCCAGACGCGACGACAGTGGTCTCTCCTTCGCGATCTCCATTGCGTGCATGAATTGCATATCATACAACCACGCACGACCGCACTGAGATCCTCTTCATCCGCCGACCCTGACTCACTGATCCCTCGACAGTGGCATCCCCCATGAAAGGAACTGGAAATCCCTCGCCAACATCACAGGAATCCCAATTCCATGGAACCGTCGAGCCAAAAAGATCCCGATGGAGCTGAGTTGCGCGTGTAACCTCGTCGGAAGGTCGGAAATGTGTGGTCGACGGTGGACGGTGGAGACTCTGGAGAGCCCTGGACCTGGCCGCTTACCTCCATCGGGCAAGTATCGGCGTGAGAAAAGCAAAGACGAAGAGAAAAAGAAGAAAAAAAAAAAAGGTGGGAAAATCGACCGAAGGAAAAAGGACCCAAAGTGTGAGCATGAGCGTATTCACCCCGACCGGGAGAGCATTGCGATGATTAAATCCAGGGCGGTTCGTGTGTCAGCCTGTCACACCTCAAGTTCCAACACGATGACTTGGGAGTCGGGACAGAGACTGTCACCGGCTGTGCGACAGTGGAAGGACTCAGAGGTGGACAGGAGTAGTAAGTTAGTAACACGCACGCCCAAGTCCAACCACTGCAGAATGCAGATGGTGATACACGTAGTCACGACTCACGTACTGTCCCGCCTGTTGGGTCAGGAACGTGCCTGATTTGGCTCATTCCCATGCATCATGGATGATCAACATTGATCATCATTGGGTTGGACCTGTGAACAGGACCAGCCGTGTTTGCGACCAGCACGAGGGCCGGTCTGTTGATCTATCCACTGCCCCTCGAGACTTTGACGCGACTTGCCATGCATCCAGGCTTCTCCGTCCTGTTCTGGTCCCTTTTTTTTGTTCTTTCCCGACGTGGGCTCTGACAGATCGATCCGTGGAACCCCCAGAGAGCAGGATCTCAGGAATCTCATCGCAAAGTCGATCTCAATTTTGACCCCTTTTTTCCCAGGATTCAACGACAAGAGTAAGAAAAAAAGAGAATAAGCAAAACAAACCAGATCGAATCAAACCAAATCAAATCAAATCAAATCAAATCAAATCAAATCCAATTCCAACGTCGGGGCCAAATCTTGTTCCTGCGTGCATGCATACGATGCAGGCTGGCGCAGGTGCATGCGCTTAGGATGTACGACGGTGCGTCCGGCCATCTACCGAGCTGCGTCCACGACATGATTGCTCCTCTCCGTCCGAGAGATTTCGGTCAGTCTCTCCTAACTTGCGTCTCCATTCCGTCCTTGCGCCCTGCCTCCCTCGGCTTTGGGAGGGATCTAGATTGCGTCGTGCTGGAGTGGACTGCACATGATTGGAATGCGCATGAGTTGACTCACTGGGGGGACTGGAGGGATTATCGGTCAGGTGACTCAGGTCACTCTAGTCATCGAGGGACTCTTCTGACATGGACATGTGTACTGTAGGATCAAGGATGACCATGATGGTATTGTGCCAATGTTACTGTCTGAATCCAGTGATACATTGATCTATTGAATTCAGGTGAATCTCAATCCAGTCAACCACTGATCCAGTGAAGTCTCATTCGTGTAATGTTGATCATTACCATAGTCTCAACGTGAGCTTCATCCATGATAGGAAACCACCTTCTCTCTATGATAGGGTCTCATTCTACACTCTGCCTTATCCTTCTACAGTAAAACCAAACACTAAACAGTAGTAAACACTGTTTAGCAAACACTGCGTAGTAAACACTGCGTAGTCAACACTGTTTAGCAAACGGTGTATCCAACTATACCCAAACAACAACAACCCCCCAGCTGGCGTTATGATCCCCACGCGTCGCTCGAGCGCAGCCTCGGCTGGGGGTGCGTCCAGGAAGAGAGGGGCGTCATCCACTAGGCTCACAACGACAGAGATCACAAGCACACAGAAGTGGTCTCTTGGAAAATGCCTCAAGAAATACAGACTTCCGTCCATGACTCGAGCTCGGCCCAAGTGCGTAAGACTCCAGACTCCAGACTCTTATCACCTGTCAGTCTCTTTGCACAGCGGGCCAATTCATACCCAATTGAACACAATCAATCCGCCGGTCTTTTGGACGGGTCAATCTAGTGAGGGGAGGAAAGATCGACAAGATCATGTCCGGCGGTCCACAGTCCGTTGGCGTTCTATCAGTAGTATCACTGTCCAGTGTCCACTGTGATGTCCACCTCAGCTGATAATGGCCTTGTCCGATAGCCGCTAAAGCAACCTAGTGAGCTTTTTAGTCGCACTTGAGTGACCGGGTCTCAATGCTAGTGTGCTGCTCCTCTTGCAACCAAGGTCGCTTAGTAGCTGTTCTTCGCCATGTCACGCTTGCCACTCTTCCCCAAACGGCAGAGACGCCGCCCAAGTCGCAGCGCGGGGGGGGGGGGGGGGGGGGGCCCAATTCATCTATAGGCGCTTGCCTGTAAAGTACCATGCGGGGATTCTGCCAGGAGATGGTTTCCAAGGGGGTCCAAAGGGTTGAAAGTGGGATGGATTGGAAGCCCAGAAGGGGTGGCGTCGGAGACAAAGCCTATTCGGTTTCTATACTACTTAACTTCTGTAGCTGCGGTAGCATACAGTAGGACCGCAGATATACACCACGGACCTTTTCTGGACTAGAGACGGACCGTAGCACCCCTTGGCAGCTGGCGTCAAGAGGATCGGTCTTCGTACCTAGTTCAACCACCAACGGCTAACTTTTATACCACCACCAATTGAATTTACCCACTACTACAGGACATGCATAACCCACACCAGTCTTCTTCGACTAGGCCTGGGTCTTGACGCTGACAGGTGGACTGCCCGACGGCTCCGTCGTAATCAGGCAGGGCCGTGATTTTGTACCTGTATGTATGATCCATGGGGTCCACCAGAAGACATTTATGAATCCTTGTTCAGGATGAATCGCGCATAGCCATGAATTATGTATCGAGGGCCGAGCGAAACTCATGAATAGGATCTCTTGTAC